CGCCTGTAAAGTAATCAACACAATTCACTCCTTTTTGATGGGCATCCAATGTAAAATTGGGATCAGGAGAGCCAAGATTCCAAATCTGAAAGGGAAGATAACACCATTGATTATACAATAGGTACATGGAAATAAATAAAGAAAATGCAGAAAGCAACTGGCAAGAATAACACATGTATACCTTTATGGTGCGATCAAGAGATGCACTGGCAAAGGTATTTGTGTCTTTAGGATTAAAGGTCACTTGCATGACATAATGAGAATGTCCCTCAAATATCTGGGTACAGATCCAGCCCTTTTCCCAATCCCAAAGTTTTATGAGCATATCATCAGATGATGACAGCACATAAGGAAGGGTAGGATGAACTGCCACACACCTAATGTAATCTGTATGTGCCTCAAATACTTTAACTTTATCCATTGTGTTGTAATTATATACACGAATAAACATATCATCTGCTCCTGCAACAACCCACTGTTTGCGTGCAATAAACTTGGCTGACCGAACTGCAAAATCATGCTGTATATGAGACCCATGAAATATACATAAAAAGAAAATGACTTCAGGAAAATGAATAAATACATAAACAACAACAAAAAAAAACACAGTGAAAAATTTTCATGTACCTGGTAACTCAGTAACCTCAAAAGACTTGGCCATGGTCTGAAATAAAATAAAAACATTAAAGTTAACTGCACATAAGAATCTCCATATAAATTAATAATGAATATCCATTAGAAGAAAGGCTCATGAAAATTCTAAATGTAAGGAAAAAAGTGTTAGAGAGGCTGTCTTTTAATACCTATCTATAAATACATTACATATAGAATGCATCATAGTCAATGGAATTATAAATGATCACAAAGAGAGCATGAAGCGGTCATTCAATATTAGTAGAACTAACAAAATAGAACACAAAATGTACAAAACTAAGTACAAGAGTAAAATTCTTCCAAGTCAATAATGATAATTTTTTGGGCACATAAGAGGGGCAAAAAGCCCATAGCCAATGCTGATATTACATATACAAAGGTACACACTTCATCAAACTATGAAAGTGTGCCTCAAACAGTGCAACTAACAAAAGTGTAAGGCATCAAGAATATTCAAAAGGAAGGAATTTCATCTAAAATAGTCTTCCACTCTTCCCAAATATGGGATATTAAGAATATCAATTTATGTCAAATAGGGGTAGCTACTGGCTTTTCATCTAAAACAGTCTTCCCAAATTGAAGCAATGAAGTAATTTGTTCAATGAAACACAATATATTTATATCATTCTTTTTAATGTTACAAAGGAGGTCTATGACCTGATGCAGAGAGGGAATTGATAGGCTAAAGTGGAGCCAAATTAACCTGGTTGAGATTTGAACCTAGGATTTGGAACAAACAGGTTCCAAAGGAACTTGTTGTCCGTTGTGCAATTATACTCTTGGGCATTTATTCATATCAATTTATCGGAGGGTAAATTTAACACAACTGCTCAATCTCAATCTATTTCAAGGTATAAAAAATACTACAATAATATCCAATCAGTCTTCAACATAAGTTTACTAAAGTCTGATTTGGTTTAAGGAAATGATCTCAGTTTTAACAAGAAAAAAGTTCCCCCTTATTTTCTCTACGTAAAAATAGAAAACATATTTTCTTTATTCTTACACAAAACACCCCCTGAAAGAGCCACTTTATTTACATTTTGTTTCTTCTAAAATGGCACATTATATAGGCTGACTATACAGTTACTAGAAATTTGCTTGTTGATCCTTTTCTAAACCTGCATGCATTGAGCAAAAATCATCCTAACTTCATACAAAAGGAAAGTCATTCCACATATCATCACAAATTTGAAGTTTAAAAGGATCAGTTTTTTATAAATGCTAAACTGCTAAAGTTCAATTTATCTAGGTTGTGTTTAGTCAACAGCTTAACCAAGCGCTTTTCAGGAAGCTCTCATCAAATAAGGGCTTATAAATTTGACCATAGAACTAATTGGAAGTAAGCTAAAAAGCGTATAGAAGCTCTTCCAAATGCCCTCTTAGTAGCTTAAACTATACAATCATAATATTTTAGCAGACACCAACATTTTGAACAATGCCTTCAAGTGATATACAGGCATAAACTAGTCTTTTAACGAAAGAAAGAAAATATGCCGCTGCTTTTAATTTCAAGGAAGCCACAATAGAGAGGCTCCTTATTTGTGGTCCAAACTCACTATATATAGGCACCATGCAAAAAGGTGGCTCGTTTAGTGATCTATCAACAAACACCCATGTCTGACTCAAGTGCCAATGCATAAATGAAATCAACATTACATATCTCAATTTGGTACATCATATTTATTACAATATATAAGACAACTAAAATATATTTGACATACCTGAGATTGGTAGCTCCAGATACAGACAGTTCCAGAGTATAAACTTGCTAGAATCCTGCATTAATGATGGTAACATCACACAATTCAGTATACCATTGGACTACTATTTACTTATGTTTCTAATCTTCACAATAAAAAATAAAATCAACTGTATTCCCATGTAACAGGCATAACTATTAAAGGCAAATGATCACAAATTATTCATATAGATACCACACTTGAGAAATACCAAAAGATGGAGTAAATTCTAGATATTCGTAAAAGCAAGAAATTACAAAATCAGTTTTAAATTTAAGCTTTATATTATAACATAATTCCAGAGGCAAAATCACAGAACACAATCAAGGACAAGACATTACCATGGTTCTGTTGGATGTAGATCCACAGACTTTACTCTTTCTGATCTTTGCGCAAGCTTTCTCTATTCAAATATTACGACAGCACGTCAGTTTAAGAAGCAGTCGGAAAGTTAAAAGACCTATACTATGTTTGGTTGCGGAGATATCAAATTCACAAAAACCTCGCTGACAGTATAATCAAACATTTCTCAGTAACCAAACAACAATAAACCTTAAATCAAAAGCCAAAAGAACAGTACCTTGATTTCGAGTCTGAGAGGCTGCAAATGCAAGCAACAAATAAAGAAACAAACAAAAAAGAGTCAATCCACAATTCCGCACTAGATCCCACAGGAACTAAAATCTCATGAACTAACAAAGCAAAATTAGGAGGCTCAAGTAGCAAGTTACGGATACACAAGCAATTGAAATTCGAATACGACAGAGCGCAATAAGAAAACATCAAATCGAAGCAAGTTCGCTCCAGATCTAAGTTTGTTGAGAACAGTGAAGAGTTCGCGAGATAAAAGATAGAAGAGGAAGCTCACCATTTCCGAAGATTAAAAGAACTAGCTAGCTTTGGTCGAGCGACCTCGTCGGAAATCAGAAGCCGAATTCGAAGAGCCCAAAAGATCGAACTCGGAGAGAGAGAGAGAGAGAGAGGGGGGGGAAGGGGAAGGCGACGAGGTTTGCAGAGCAAGGTGCAAATACGATGATCGATGAGAAAGAAAGAGGGAATGCTGCTTTGCAGTTAAGGCACGGATTTACGATAATGCCACTAAGCGGGACACGATCGTATTTAGCTCTGTTCTCTGTATATGGGTATGGGTAGGATGTAGGGATCTGTGATAAAATAAAACCGCGATGATAGAATGGACGGCGGAGATCTAACCATAACCTTCTATTACAGTGCTTGCAAATTACAATATGCTTGGCTTCTTGGGCCCCGCATTTTACATTGTTGATTAAAAATTAAAATTATAAATGTTATTTTATTTTATTTATTTAATATGTAATTGAATTATATAATTATCTTTGTTTATTATTTGATTATTGAATGTAATAAGATTTTAAATAAAATATTCATGGACTTCTCCTTATTCTCACTCTTCTCAATTTATCAATTCTACTCTCCTTATTTTAAGTTTGTTTTCTCTTTTAAAAGAATAAGTTAGACCATAAAAATTTTAAGGAAATAGTTTTTTGAAAAACTATTTTAATGAAGAAAAATTGTGAAAAAAATACAGCGCCAGAACTTACAAATGCACTTGTAATTTTTACAAAAACAGGGTAGCCATTACGTGTAAGTTATCATTGCCATGCTTGCATGACCGTCCTTTGGAGACTGATTACAATGCGAGTTTAACATGTCCATGTATGGTATGGTTTAAGACTTTAATAGCTATTCCTTTACCATCACTTAGATACAGTGGAAAAAAAAATAAGAGAAAAGAATAAATTTCAAATTAAAAAAATTAAGAGAAAAAATTATATTTTTATTACTGAAAGATTTTTTTTTCGCTTTATTTTCATTTCAACCAAACACAAATGCATTGTTATCGATATTTCTTTCCCTCTATTTTCTTCCTCTCATCGAAACACGATAAAGCATAACGATTAAATTGTTCAGAAAATCTATTATCTAAAATGAAAACAACTGCACGTTAATATACTTATCAACCAGCAATGAAAAGAGACTTAATTGCATAAAAAATACCAATTAAAGAAACGCAATTAATCTCCAAACTCCAATTTCGCTAGCATTTTGAAATCCATTAGGAAAAAAGGCCACCAACCTTGATTAGCAAACAACAAATTACTGTTTCAACATCAATGTTTCTCTGTTTACATGTTTACAAATTCGTGCTAACAAGAAAACAAATTCACACTTCTTCCTTAACCCGACCGGAAAAATATTCTCTTTGTACTAAAAGAATAATATGATAAATAGTAACATTCTGTCATTCAGCTAAAGGGTTAACAATGCAATATTTAATATGTACACAAAAAAATGAAGTACGTTAGAGGCATAAGGCATGATGTTATTCCAAAAACTGCATAGGTGGCCCACTCCCCTCCACAACTCATCACTACTATTGCGTCATTTAAAGGGTAAGTGCAATGAAATAAAGCTCAGGTAGGTAAAAATGATACTTCTAGATCTAGTTTGACGCCCCCATCGTAGATCATGTTATAAACTATTAATTGATAGTGTTCTATCAATCTACGATTTGTCAGTAATTTTTGTGGCTTATGTTTAAGTTTGAGGTTATGTTTAAAATTGCCATCTCTGAATAAAGACAGTAAAAACATCATCTGCATTTGTAATAGAGATCCATAGAAGGGAATGTTAAGGGAGGAGGAGGGAGATTGAATCTTGAGGTTACAGATAAAGTCGGTCCATATAAATAAAATGTACTTAAGGGAAATCTCATGGAGATATTTTTGACATGAACAAACGGTAAAAGATTAATCATTTTTCAATCCTGCTCAACAAAAACTCTGATACAATGAAAAGAAATTAAAGATAAACTTTCTTACATCTTCCTCCTTAATCATATGGTATTTGGATATATGCTGCGTCACAGATAAATGGAATATCAGCATAAATACCAACAAGAGCACACCTTATGCACTCCAAGACAGTAAAGAGATACCCAAATGACACAGCAGTCCAGAAATGCATTCCCAGTTTACCCCAGTAGACTGACAGTGGCATCCAACGGCTCACAGTCCCTATAACCTGCAGGGCAATCTCCAATAACATTCCCATCACAACATGAAATCTGAAGAAATGAGGCCATTCTTTTCTCCTCACAATGCCAAGATATGCAACAAAAAAGTATGCCATGAGAAACCAGCTTGGTAGGCTCCCAATTGCCATAAGAAAAGGGTACGTATAGAATTCAAAGCATTCCAAAAACGGGTGAAGATTGTATGCTGTCTCAGCATACATCCATGTCTCATGAAGTGGCATGAGGTAAGGAAGGCAAGCTAATGATCTCCACCACCATCTCGGTTTTTTGGTCATTGGAGGATAACGGAAGCTAGTTGGGACATCCTTCGATGCTCGAGGGACCAAATAAGACTTGCGCACCCGGGGTAACATAGGGATAGTGCGAAAGAGAAGATTTTGACCCCCACTTAAAAGCAGGCTTGAAGCAGCAGAAATGTCTGAGAATGCCATTCCTATCACAGAATAATTGTATATACAATTAGAAAATAAAGTTATCAAGGACGCTTATTGCAAAGATTGAATAGACTAAAGTGAAAACTGACAAACAAAGTTCTTAACACAATATTCTAGCCCCAATAAGATTTCATTTAAAACTATCACATTAAGTAATACTATTACATAAAGGCCATAGAGGCCCTTTCTTACCAAACATCATATACAGGTAATCAATTATCTCTATTGTGTCTAAATGTCATGTCTTTGCCATTTGCAGATCAGGGGAATCAAATAATAGTCTCACAGGTCATGACCTCAATAATTCATAACTACTTGTAAGGAAAAGAGAACGTGATAACAAATAAGCATGCCATGTACCTCTTGGCAAGTAGGATTTACATTCTAAATTATGTCCCCAAAAGCTACGAATGTTTGAGACGGCAACCTTAGCAGGCATCCGAGAAGCGCAACGAAAGACTGAGGTAGTTGGTATGACAAGGTTGCATGACCTAGAATTCACAGGGGCACACCCTTGGGATGCAATGCATCCATTTTGAATCATGGTTGGTCAACTGGTTGAAGAACATAACAATAAATAACAGCAATAATAAGAACCTCGGGAAATTAAAGATTGAAAAAAAAAGGTATGCAACATTATAACCACATCCCTGTTTGCTTGGCTTTGCGGTGTGTCGAAGACTAGCAACAATCTAAAGACATGGATAAGATACTTTGTTTAACTTACCTCAAACTTGGTACCAATGTATTGCTCCGAGGGCCAAAGCAGCACAGCGAGGAGTGCTAATTTGCACGCTTAGGCTATGCGGTTCATGTCTAGGTTTATCTGCCAGCGCCTGTACATCGTTCTGCACAAAACAAAGAGATAAGTAAAACAGTATGTGTCTGAATTGGGCTGGACAGTTGTTTTCGGAATTCAACTACGGGCCTAAATTATGGACCAAAAAAACAGTAGAAACCTAGGCCCAATGAAAAACTATAAACAGTATAAAGCTTGAGAAATTTGTTCAACTCGTCTCTTTTACATATAAAAAACAACTGTTGACTACAAACTATTTTCCGGAACAAAAAAGAAAACATTGAGAATATAAAGGGAGATTTAATTTTAGGAAATATTTTTTTTATTTTTACTGTAAAATAGTTACATTATTTTTTTATTTTTAAAGATTTGTGTAAAAAATAGTAAAACTAAAAATGTTAATTGTACAATAAAATTAGATAATTTTGTTATGAATTAAAGGAAAATATGAAGAGAAGAGAGAAAAGGGGGTCATAAAATGGGTAACGTGATAGAGAGATGGATAAAAAAAAAAGGTAGTAAATATTTGTTGCAAAAAATTATTATAGGAATATTATAATTCATTTATGATTGTTTGATCTCGTGATTGAATTTTAATCATATTTTAGGATACGATCACAAGGTATCTCCCTACTTTTTTGAAGTATATATAGGACTAATTCTTGTTCAAGTATTCATCAAACTTGGATCACAAGATGTTTTCGATAGGTTTTGAACCCAACGCTGTGCCTACAGAGTTCAATCGGCCAATCAAGTCAATTTTTGTGGTTCAACCAAGCTTTTACATGCTCTTTAGCTTATCATCCGATCCCTTCCCATCACTAGGTCATATACCCCATTTATTGTTTAATAATATAGGGAGGAAGTGCACCTGGTTTTAGAAAAACCAAAACCAAAATTGAATCAATCATTATAACTAGGAAACTAATAAAGTTGAAGTATAGATAAATTAGAACCATAAGGTATATTCCTAGAATAAACTCCTCCACTTTTCAATTTTCTCAAAGCTTCCCTTGTGTCCCTTCACGTTCATCCCTCAAAATAAGGAATCACTCAATAGAAACACTAAATACCAAAACTTTTTCCCTAGCCAATACTTCTAATCTTTTATTTAGTATTGTCTCTACGCTCTTGCTGTGTGACAGACGTGTGGATTCCATTTCATGCGTCTTTGTGGTCCTAAGCAAAAGAACCCATAGTCTTGTTATGTATGTTGGTTCAAGTTAATCCCATGTAATGTCCCAGTGTATTGCTTACATCAAAAGAAACTATTAATTGATTAGGCTTTGTAGCATTACTGCTGAATCCCTTGTCCTCTTGCCTTTTCTTACACCAACTAAGGTATAGGTCGTCTAAAAGGAAAATTTTGTAGCAAACAGGTTTTGAATTGATGTTGCTGCTAAGAGATCCGTGTAGCAAACCACCAAGATATTTTTAACAGCTAAAACATTTTTTATGGATTAGTTTATTCAATTTGGCTCCACTTACAGACTTCCCTCTTTAAGATTCAACGGAACAGCAAGAGAACCATCTCCAACTTTTTGAAAATATTAATAAAATGAGTCCACATTGCCATTAATTTTTGTGGTTTATGCTACTCTCTATCACAAGTGACCATTGTTCGCAATAGAAAATGCTTTGTAAATGTTAGCTAAAAGTGTGTAGATACTTGAGAAATTGACAACAGCACTATGCACATGTTGTTATGCGGGAATCAATTTATAGTTACTTGCTTTTTTATGTGACCTTGTTAATAAATCCATGTTATATTATTAAGAATACTCGGTGCATACCAGGAGTTTAGTTCCTGCTCCTATACATAAGTGGGTCTTTAATTAAATTTATTTTAGTGCTATAGAAAAAGTGGCATGGAGAAATTATGTTAGATCATTAAGAAGAAAAAAAACCAAATTCCTTTCTCCCAAATAAAGTTTAGGGGGGATGATGTATAAGAATTAAGATATCAACGCTGACCTAGAATAACAAAATAGCTATCTCGAAGTTCAATTATCATGATGGCAAGCATGGGTTCCCATCAAACCTCTTTTTATTTGGTAGTAAGCGGAGAACCTTTCAAAATGAGTCTAAAGAGAAAGGTAATTGCATATGGTCCACCATTTTGTTCCTTTTGAATTGGCAACTCATCTAATCCATCAATTGTGGATACCTTATAAATCTTGCATTACAATTTTTCCTTATCTTGTACAATCTATTTCCGGGCAGCAATCAAACACAACTCCCTCTCGCCGCGTATACAAGTCTGTCTCTTTTCCCTTCATTTTTTGAATTGAGTGAACAAAAGAAATAGAATCTACTCCATCTAGCTAGGGTTCCACCCAAGTCAAAATGTCCATCTTGTTTCACAAACTTTATTGGTTCTTGATATATTAATGTGAGAACAGGATTCACATTTGAGCTTCGAGAAACCTTTGAAGGCGGAACAGAAAAAGCAGTTCTATTTAGTACGAAAATTTCAAGCATGGAATGCACATAAAATATGATATATATACAGTTAAAAAAACTATTTTTATTTCAAAAAAGTATTAATCTCTTTCCTATTTATTTATTTATTTAAAAAACAGGAAAGGAAATATGATTTTCGTCCCTCTGGAAATAATCATTTTTTAACTGCTTTGGGGAAAAAAACTGAAAGCTTTTTAAAATGCAAAATAAACAAACATAAACTCGTATGTACTATGCAGTATAGTGGTAGGATAATGCTATCAATTTTATGAATGATCGAAGGACTCTGAAACCATTAAAATCTGTGGCCAAATTATGGGTGGGATCATGATAATGAATTTTTGTTATAGCCTTTATTAGCAGCTATCCAGGTGTAAACTTTCTAATGGTTAATCTTCGAAGTGGGAATATAGATGGGGCATTTTGGTTCCCATTAATGTATAGCAGCATTCTTATATGAAACCAAACCTCAGTTTCAAATGGATCTAAAAACAACTATGATTGCTATTTATCGTGCGCATTGATTAATATTTTTTATAAATATATAATAAATATATTTCTTTTACAATTTTAATATAATTTAAAATAATTTTTAATAAAAATTTTACTTCTAATTCTTTAATGAATGTGGTAAGAACATTATTTAGCACTACCCATACTTTATATATCTGTAGGAAGAATAACATATCTGGATTAACGGTGGGTCTAAATTTGTTTGACCCAATTTTGTCAAAAGATGGGGCTAGAAAGATTTTGGTGAGAGTTCATTCTGACAAAGTTGGCACTTGTTGCCATATAGACCCCAGCTTTTGTATAAACAAAACCAGAAATTTAAAAACTATATTCAGCTTCTGAAGACTGTTACTTATTCTGTTTAAATGAGAAATGTTTTTGAAATGAATATCAATAAATAAATTTAAAAAAATAAAAGAATGGGGTGTAGGTGATGGATGTAAAAGACAACAGTATACTGCAACCGTCTCTTGATTTTTAAATAACATCCGTAGAATTTGGAGAATTTGTTCTTGGTTTGGATATATCCATCGAATTGGGTCCTGCAGCAAGCAATGTTGCTACATTGGAAGGGGATCTTCATATGACATGCTTGCTTGTATAGGCCAGTTCTCATGCACTTGCCTTATTAGGGGAGCCAAAAGGAAAATGACTTTTGAGGTTGGTTCTTTCGTTGCATGCAAGAGTTTATGATTAAAAAAGGGAATAAGATCAGTTATAAAGCCCAATTACCCCAAAACAATAACATGGGTTCTGCTTAATTTCACATTTAGGTTCTATGATTTGAGTTCTAGTTCATATGATTTTTATTCAATAAAAGTAAATTATCTCTGTTTTTATGAAAGATCGCCCTCTAATTTAACCTATTAAAACATCGGTTGATGTTTTTAAAATATGGACTGTTTATATATTAATTAAACTGATAAAGATATATAGCTATTTACAATTCATAAATCTAATTATAAATAAAAGTTGTCAAACCATACATACACACGTATGCAGAATGAAGAAGAAATGAATTAGTCATTAGATTTATTCTCATCGATATAAATTATACTAAACAGAGATGAAAAAATCATGAAGTTAGGTCTTTACCAACAATATTACACACTAAGTATCTCGTAGCAATGTAGTAGACATGGAACAAATTCGCCGAGAAGATAATACTTTAAAAAACAAGTGTGGTGCTTTCGGTAAAGTTAATCTCAAGTTAAATTACTTCCGTTGTAAGTGCAAATCAATTTTGGGTAATTGCATTGCCTAATTTGATTCATGCTTAGGTAGGTTTAAAGCCTAATACTTATTGTTAAACATGTTAATTTCTTTAACATTACATTACCTTAGACATAAAAAATTATTGTGTGATCCAGAGTATATGATCTCGGCTACTTAAATTTAAATATATGTCAAAAATTGTATCATTTGTTTATTGGTCAAAACCATCATGTAGTAATTCTGGATTTACTTAAAGAAATTGAGGTGACTGAATTGCTTGAGAAATGAAAAAATTTTGAATGTATAAAAATATTTCACTCCACATCATTTAAAAAATCTTTACTAATTATTATTTAGAAAAATTATAAATGTTGTCTGAGTAACATTATGATAATACACTTAAAAGGTTGAATAGATTCATATGCCTCATATTTCTAAAACGTTAATATTAAATTAAGTGATTAAAGTTTGCTTTTGATATATACTGAAGGACATATATCATAAAACAAAAACAAGAAATTGAGTTACTGAACTACATCATATGTTTTCAATTATATATTAGTTAAGGTGTATTTGAATAAACAGTTCAATTAAATATTTATTTAAAAGTTTAATTGTATATAAATTTATGTCATAAATTTAACCATTTAATATAATTTAAAACTATATCAACAAATTTATTAAAATAAGTTTAAAAAATTATAATAATCATAAGTTCAAATAAGTTCTCTATCAGGAATAAGATTTAGTTTTGTATTATGGGAAGAAACATGACAAGATTTTGATATTTTTAGTTGTTTCAATAGTTATCATTCAATATCTTTTTTTACATTGAATGTGCAGTTATGATGCAATTGGGAATGTGCCAACGTATCAAAGGCATGAAATTTTACAATTTTGTGGACAATCTTTCCAATTGTTTATTTATTTTATTAATTATATAATATGCTACCATTCACTTAAAATTCATTTTAGAATGAAATGATTTATTATATTTTTAATTACATTCACTCTATAGTTTTTGTAATGTTACTCAATATTTCTACTAAATAAGTCAGATAAAATGTTAATTAACAGTGTATCTATCTTAAGTCAAATTTATTCAAACATAAATTCATTTTAATGCTACAAATTATAATTAAGAAGTCAACGGTCATTACTACATTTTCAGAAGCTTCTCGACACAGCCAAGAGGGGCTTTCTCTTTGCAGAAGCTCACTCTTTAAATTGGTTTCCTTTCGTTGACCTCATTCATAGGTCAATATATTCTTACCAAACAGTTTCGTGACATCTTATATGAATTGTATGCAGTTATTTTTTTTAATCTAAACATACTTTAAATTATTTATCAAAATAATAAATAAAAACATTCCTTCTCATTTAACTAATTATGTGCTTAGTTAGTTTCTTCACTCTGGTTAGCCCATCACACCAACCAATACGCTGTAACATTTTTTTTATAATTTATAATAATGTTTTTTAGGGTAAGTTGATGTCCATCGAAGGTGGTGATGACGAGTGAACCTATAAAATCATAAAGTTATAGTTACTCAAACATTTGATAGTGTCACTTTGTCATTCTAATATTACAGAAGCCGGTTTCAGTTGCTAATAATTAATGTTTATAAGTGATGTTGTGACAGCTAGAAGTGGTGTATTTAATTTTAAATTTTATATGCTTTTGCTTGAAATTTAATATTCATATAAGAATGCAGGGAGGGAAAAAATAATTTGAAACTGTTTCTTGTTCCAAATTACATTTCCTGGTGTCCTCAAATGTTTCAAATATTAACATTAGTAACCCACTTCGGATATTGGTTAAAAAAATTTAAAATATTTTTAATTAAAAATAATGCTAGAAACACATTAAAAATTATGGTAACTCTATATTAATAATTTTTTAACTAATATTTAAGACACCATATAGCATTTATCTTAGTATTATTAAAATGTATCAATATATTTTTCTTTTCTTTTTTTTGTTGTGATGATAATATTTCTTTGGAAATAGGAAAGCATGTTTGGCATTTGTACTCACTAGCGTATGCGTAGTTTAGTTTTAATAAAATCAAATTTATTTTCTAAACTAAATATACAATTTTCATTTTAAAATTGATTTAATTTTTTTTGCAAATCAGTTTGGTTTAGGCTTAATTGATTTTAATCTGTAATAGAACTAATTTTAAATCAGTTTCTGGACAAAATTAGTTTTAATTTTAGGACTTTAAATGACTTTCACACACTGATATTACATAATAATTCAGTGAGTAAAAAATTATGAAATTGAGGATGACTTTGATATAAATTTGAAGTTAAAAAGTTGAAAACAGATCCACCTATATTTTTTCAATGTTAGAAGGGCATCATAATTATGAGATTTGATAGTAAAACTTTATCCTTTAGTAAATATCATTTAAATGACTATAAATATTGTCACTTTTTTGTAAATACTCGTAATTAGTTTTCCTTTGTTAATTATTGAATTAAATGTAATAAATATTTTAAATTGAATAATAATAAATGTTAAAAGAGTAAAAAAATTTCACACTAACGTAAAGTCTAAAATTTTTTTACTCAATTTAAATTTTTTATTTAACTTATATCTAATAGTCAATAAAATAAATATAAAAATTTTTAGACTTATACTATATAAAAAGAATCTTTTCCAATGTTAAATTATATTTTTATATTTTAAAAATAAACTTAATCAAATAAATTATAATAAACAAAAAAAACACCTCATTAACAAATGATAACAATATTTTAATACATAACATATTTTTTAAATTTTTTTTACTAATCTAAATAAACTAAAAAAAATTATTTTTTTCATTCTTATTATTATTCATCTAGTTGACATATTATTTTTATTTCTTTTCTTTTTTTATTTTTTTTTATTACCAACAAACTTAAATACAATTTCTTAAATATTATATATTATTTTTCAATTAAAATTAAAATTTTACATCAATAAAAACTCAATACTCAAAATCATTACAAATTATAAAATAAAACGTAAATTTTAATTTTTTAAAAATTACATCTAAATTTTATCTTTACGTTATATATCCATAAAAAAAAATGGGTCGAAGTGAAACATTTGAAGCAAAACCGAATATTCGAACAATGCAAGTTGGCAACAGTAACCCCCACCCTACAGCGACAGACACCTGCTACCTCTGGAGTTGATGCTACGGTTTCCCTCTCTCTATAAATGCACAGCTCCTGAATGTATGTGCAGTGAAGAGTGAAGAGTGAAGAGTGCAAAGCAATGGGTGTGAACTCCAACAGAGTCGAACACTTCGTATGCAATGGAAGCAGCATTAAGATCCAAACCGATATACAAATGCCACCCTTTGAAATCCACAAGGTTCGCTTGCCACCACAACGCACCACTTTACAAAAACTCAGACACAGACTCTCTGAGATTTTCTTCCCAGATGACCCACTTCACAGGTTCAAGAACCAAACTTCCTTCATGAAGTTCCTTCTTGCTCTTCAATACCTGTTCCCCATTTTCCAATGGGCGCCTCACTACAACCTTTCTCTCCTACGTTCTGATATCATCTCTGGTCTCACCATTGCTAGCCTTGCCATTCCTCAGGTTTGTTTTCTTCACTTTTCTTCATTATATCAATATGTTGGGACATACAAGAGGGCTTAAGCACTAGAGAGATCTTTTATCAATGGGTCTTGAACAAATCATGCAAGCAGATTTGAATAACATACCCAACATAAAACATTAAGGCTATTAGGCTGTGAGTCTTTGTTGCTTATTTGTTGCTAAACTTCTGCATTTTAACCCGTTGTGAGACTTCTTCACTCGTAATTGCTACCTCAACCCAATAGCCACACGTGCATGCATTAATGCATATATATGCATGACTTTGTTTTGCAAATTAATATCTCTTTTTTTGCAGGGAATCAGTTATGCTAAGCTTGCAAACTTGCCACCCATTATTGGATTATGTTAGTATTCTCTATTTCTGCACGGCATTGAGTTGTTATTATAGATATATGTGCTTCTGTGTGATTAATGATCTCAAGTGACGTTTCCAAGTGGTGTGAATATCATGCAGATTCCAGTTTTGTGCCCCCATTGATATATTCTCTGCTTGGAAGTTCTAGACATATTGGTGTTGGTCCTGTTTCGATTGCATCCTTGGTCATGGGATCAATGTTAAGCGAGACAGTTTCTTATACTCAAGATCCAATCCTCTATCTTAAATTGGCTTTCGCTGCCACTTTCTTTGCCGGTTTATTCCAATCTTCTCTGGGTATATTAAGGTATTGCTAAATCATGCAACCCCGAGTTTTAAACTTTTTTGGGATTTTGATGGGAAATTAGCATAATGCCATGAAAAGGGGCGATAAATTGTTTATTTTTTAATGAAATGGGTTTTTTCAATGAAGTTTGAAACTTGGGAAATTTAGTACCAACAAGTTGAAGCAGGCTATAATGATTGGAATTTGGTAAATTATATTTTATGATTAAGATTAACCTTTGATGTTCTATATTTACAGGTTAGGCTTTGTAATAGATTTTCTCTCAAAGGCAACGCTGGTGGGCTTCATGGCTGGTGCAGCGATCATTGTATCACTGCAGCAGCTGAAAGGGTTGCTTGGAATAGTTCATTTCACTAGCAAGATGCAAATAATACCTGTAGTGATCTCTGCTTTGAAGCAAAGAGACGAGGTAGGTATATTTTGTTTGATTTTGATATTTTATTCTACACAGTTTACAACTGTTTTGAAAAATATATGCTAAAGGTGAGAAATTATTATTTTAAAGGACGGCCACAATTGTTCTTAGATATATTTTATGATTACTGTTTTGCATATATTAAATTTGAAGGGTAATATTGGTTGGACTGTAAAGCTACTTTTAAAAACAAAAAATCCCCACCGCATAACTCTTTAAACCATTCTGATAGCACTGATTCTGCTTTAAGAAATAAGAACACCATGATTGAGATTGCTAACCAAAAGCCATCAATTTGTTGATATTCTCTTCTTTGACTTGTATATTAAGGGATCAGATTCCAACTATTAATCAAAAAAACTTTTCTTCCTTCTAATTATGTCATAAATGGAATAATTAAGGGTCACTTTTAAATGAAAATGCGTATTTCATATTTGTCCTAGTTATGAAAATCAATGTAAGAATAATTACGTATATGCTTATTAAATTTTTTGAGCAACTTGTGCAGTGGTCATGGCAAACTGTCCTGTTGGGATTCAGTTTCCTAGCTTTCCTGCTGATGACAAGGCACATTGTAAGATTCTATATCTTGCTTACAAAAATATATAGCTCAGACAATTCATCAGCTTCTTAACATCTGAAAATTCTTAATGATTGCAACAGAGCTTGAGGAAGCCAAAATTATTCTGGATTTCAGCTGCAGCCCCGTTGACATCAGTTGTTCTATCGACCATTTTAGTCTTTATTCTGAGAAATAAGACCCATAAAATTGCTATCGTAAGAAATGATATTCCACCTTCTGTTTTTTCTCAACATCCAAGAAATGCTCAGATATATATTTTCTTCCAAAATAACACTATTTTTCTTTTTCCTGTCCTTGTCTCTGGCAGATTGGTGAATTGCCAAAGGGACTTAATCCACCATCATCAAACATGTTATACTTCAATGGTCCTTATTTGGCTCTTGCTATCAAAACAGGACTTGTCACAGGGATCCTGTCCCTCACTGTAAGCTGTCCCAAACCTAGAGACATAATTGATCATGGACCTTTTCACTAAAATTACATGTTTTAATAATATACCCTACTTCTTAGACTTGGCTTAAATGCACAATGACGAAGACTATGATACACTTGCTGTTTCAGGAAGGTATTGCAGTTGGTAGAACATTTGCTGCACTTAAGAACTACCAGGTGGATGGAAACAAAGAAATGATGGCCATTGGTCTCATGAACATAGCTGGCTCTTGCTCTTCATGCTATGTCACAACAGGCAATGATTCTTCTCTCACTTAACCACGTAAATAATAGTTATATTGTTGAAGAAATGGAAGTTTTGATAATATGTCCACTCTAAAAGTAAAATAAACTTGCAGGATCGTTCTCTCGATCTGCTGTTAACTATAATGCCGGAGCACAGACAGCAGTCTCAAATATAATCATGGCTTCAGCAGTTCTAGTGACCCTTCTGTTTCTCATGCCTCTGTTCTATTACACCCCAAATGTTGTCTTGGCAGCCATTATCATCACTGCTGTTGTAGGGTTAATAGATTATCAAGCTGCATATAAATTGTGGAAGGTTGACAAGCTTGATTTTTTGGCTTGCTTGTGCTCCTTTTTTGGTGTTCTCTTCATTTCAGTGCCTTTAGGCCTTGGAATAGCGGTAAGCTTATAATTCATTAATCGGTTTCCTGTTATTATTAAGCTAAAAACATATTGTAAGCTAATGCTTTGTATTAATAATATCACTGACATCGCCAAAATCTTCAGGTGGCAATATCAGTCTTCAAGATCCTGCTTCATGTCTCTCGGCCAAACACACTGGTTTTGGGGAATATACCAGGGACGCCAATATTCCACAACCTTAACCAATATAGAGAAGCTTTGAGGATTCCTTCATTTATCATTTTGGCTGTTGAGTCTCCCATCTACTTTGCTAATTCAACGTACCTGCAAGAAAGGTTAGATAAGGCGATAGATTGTCAATTTGTGAAGTTTTCTGAGTGATTCTGAGATTCCAACCATTTGAGAGCTTCTCCTGCTATAGGATACTGAGATGGATTCGAGAAGAGGAAGAGCATATAAAAGCAAACAATGAAAGTACATTGAAGTGCATAATTTTGGATATGACAGGTGTGTATTTCATCTCGCTCACAAATTTTATCCATGTGAGATAGTTTTGACTGAAAAAAGCTTTTTTTTCCATCCCAGCTGTTACAGCCATAGACACAAGTGGGATTGACACATTATGTGAACTGAGAAAGATGCTGGACAAAAGGTCACTTCAGGTATAGATACTAACGGAGTAACGGTAACATTATAGACTTGCCCCACTTTTCTTTATAAACTCTACAATCATAATTGATGGCTATTTGCTGCAGCTTGTGATGGCAAATCCTGTTGGAAATGTGATGGAAAAGTTGCATCAGTCAAATATTTTAGATTCCTTTGGGTTGAAAGGGGTCTATCTCACAGTGGGAGAAGCTGTGGCTGACATTTCATCTTCCTGGAAAGCACAACCTTGATTTCCATAGATGAATTTCTAGAACAAAGGAAAAAGATTACGGGTTTTAACTTCTTGGAGAAAACTCTTAACGTTAGAAGTTTTTTTGCCTCTCTGAGACAGTCTACTTTGTTTTGGTAGATAGCTTGAAAAACAAGCATTGTTATTTCAGAAGAGCGTTTCTTATCCCAGGATGTTTTGACTTTTATGCCTTTGGTTACTTCTGTCCATTTTTGGCTTTTGTTAGGAAAGAGCATCCAAGCTAAAAATATTGGGATGACTTTATTCTGTGGGCATTGATAAATATGAATAGATATTTCAACAACAAAGAAGGAATCAAAGACGGGCGTTCCCCTCTTCTCCCTTTTTTTCGGATATGACAATCGTTTTTTTTTTCCCCTTTCAATACAAACTCATTATTCAAATAAACGTCGCACTAATCATAAGATAAAGCGATTGTTAGTGGAGCCAGAGCCCCCATGCCTACGTGTAAATCAAGTAATTTGTCTTGCAATATTTATAGTTAAACAATCTTCATTACCATGACAAGGTATTAATAACTCCGGTTTAACGTAGAAATGAAGAAATATTATCAATCACATAAAGGAAAGTCAATCCAGATATTTATCAAGGTGAACCATCGTATGATGCAATTCTTTTTATTACAGGTTCGATTGTTATTAATAAGGAACTACAGTGGCAATGTAACAATAGCAATTAAACTATATATAGAACATCATCAACCACAAATCGTGGCGTGCATATTTATCAATCAATAAAGAAGTTAAAAACAAATCTGGCTAAGAGGCTCATTCTGCTATCTGATATAATAACCCCATTAAAAGTAATGGTAAAAGTAATGGGATGGGGCAGAACTAACATATAATTTCAAGAATATAAAAAGATCCGAGTGCTCACAAAAAGGGTGAAAAGAATAAAAACTCTATCAACTAAACGCATCATCTTAACCAACACTAAAAAAGAGGGAAAATCGAAATAGAATGAGAACAAATTACATTAAACTTTCAGAATTTCCTGAAAAATTATGTACCTAGTCTCATCTGGTTATCTATCTTTCACTCTATTGAAACTAAAGAATGGAAAGGAAAAGTAGGTCTTTCAATGCCCAAATAGAACTATTCACTCCACGGGCTTTGTCTTGGAGGTAATCCAATATATAAAAACTCAAGTTGTTACCATCCTGCAGCACTTCCTTCTTGAATTCAGGATTACTTCAGTCAATCAAACATCTGCAAGGAACTCAACTGTATTAAAATAAACGAATAACCAACTAATATTTGGAAGTACAGAAAACAGACAACAATGTAACACATCATTATGTCCAAATAATAAAAATTCTTAATTAAAAAATGGTATTAATTCAAAAAGACAGCAACTTTTAAAGTTTGCAATGGATTTTTTGAGGTCCTCCCTTTTTTCAGGGAGGATGGAGCCTCTAATGAAATTTACCGGATATAACCACTGACGAGTTAGGCATTTTAAAATGTTAATATTTTATGTTTTTATTATTCAGTTGCTTCTCAACTTCACGATTAAACAAACCCCAAGTCACCTGCGACCATTTTTTAGGTCATCTTCCACAGCATCTGCTGCTTCACCATCGGTTGGGGTTTTCATCCATTGCTTCTCACTGCCACTGCCATTTGCTGCTGAGCTGGGGTGTCAACAGCTGGCTTAGAGAATGCAGACAACTAGATGACTTGGTTTCAGTTTGGTAGGTAGTTTGATGCTAGGGGAGATGTCATGGTAATTGACAGGATCTGGAGGTGGTTTCATGGTGAGTTCACAGGTTTGGGATGTTGGCCTGGATTGGAGGTGATGGGTTTGGACAGAGAACAGAGGCTTAGCACACGGGGTTGGTACCAGTTTGAGTCTGGGCTGAGATGCAGAAGGTGACTTCACCAGCCTTATGGCAACAAGGGGGAGGAGAGGTCACTGGGAAAGTCGCGAGTGAGTTTTAGAGGAAGGGGGTAATTTCCAATTTCAAAAACTATTTGACACTGAATAAGAATCTTTTATCAAATTAAAATTCTAACCTTTAGATTTTCACAACTTCTGATTTCAGCCTTATATCTAATCGGAGTATGAATAACCTAATCCTATTTGGGGTATTGAAGACAGTTTTGGTTTTGGGACTTTCCTACAAGTATGCTCCATATGAGACAATCTAGCTCAAGGCAAGCACTAAATGTGGGCACCTCTCCTAGTGGGGATTCAATTCGCCACTTTGTAGGGAACTAGCCCCTTCTGCTAGACCCAACACCTGCTGGTTTCAGGACATGGGGAGCATGCAGTGCATACTACTGCTAGGATCAAACCCCACTGCTCTCTCTAGGTGTCCCACCTCTATACCATGAGCTACTGAAAGGGACATACTATAAAACTTGATGATAAGCAAACTGAAATGACAATACAAAATTTAATGATTAAATTAATGTCCCACTAAACATGAATATTTCAAATCTGAAAGCATAAGCATTCCAAAGGGAAAAGGCAAGCAAGGAAGAAAAAGAGCAGTCAACAACACAACATATAGAAGTTAATCATAAGCAGAGTTTGACAGCCTGAACATATATTCAGGTTTCTGAAAATAAGTAAACACATGAAAAAAGGATACAGTAAAACATATAAAATATGTTACTGATAAACAAATCTATAAACAGCACGTCCAATTAGCCAGCCAAACATCACTAAAGGAGAAAGTTCTTACTTGAACGATATCGTGTTATTGGTATCTCCCGGAGCTCTCGCCTGATGCAAAGATATTCACCTAGCAAAGCCATCACTGCAATTCCAGAACCATTCACAATCCACCATGTTATAGAGGAGGGCCAACCCCCATAAACAATGCATATAAAAAGATGGATGATGTAGAGTGTGGCTGAAAAATCCAAGCACTTCTTTGCTCTTTCAATCACATAAAGCATATACACCGCCCTGCATAAAAACAATAGAGGCATAAGGACAGCGTAAAGCTACTGCATCACTTCAGCCAAAAGTACATAAAAGCCATAACCCAACGGCTAAGAATGCCACCTTCAGTTCCCTCCTCCCACACAAAATAATCATGGAACAAACACCATATTTGACATAGTCATTAAATCTAAACCATTAAAATAATAAAATTCATTGCATTATGAAAGACCAAATCGTTTCCTATTTTGTAATAGTCCAAACACAAGATCTAACTGACAAATCAAATCCCATTCATTTTATATTCCAAACACACCAAAAGAAAGAGACACATAAAAGTTCCTAATTAAAGCACATCTATCTCAAAGGTTTAAAGCTTAACTTTTTGTTTTTCCCCATACTGGAATAAAGTACAATCAATCAACACAGAGAGAAAAAAAATAGTTATGAATAAACACTCATTCTTATAAGCTTGAGGGCATACCGCTGGTAAACCAAACAAAAAAATGAAAAAAAGAAAGAGGAAAGATGCTAACTACAAGGTTAAAATAGTTTTAAAAATGCTAAAGGTTCAACAACTTTGTAGAAGGTTAAAAAAATAATAAATGGAAAATTTTTATGAAAAAAGTACATATTTATTATAAGTTACAAAAGTATAAACACTGTTTTTTTTTTTCAATAAAATTTTACCATTATTAGTTCTTTATCCTCAGGGCTGAGTTTAACATTTTCCAAAAAATAATGATAGCACATAACCTTGTAAGTTAAAAACTATATGCACCAGTAACACTATTAAGGAATAGGCAGTGAAGTCACAATCAGGAAGTCGTAACACTGTCTTAATTGAGTATAATCAGCAATCAATTACAGGCAAACTAATCACCAATTCAAGCATAGTGTTTAAAAGTGAGTAAGGTGGAACCGAACAATTACCCTGCAACTGAACTGAGCAGAAATGAAGCAATAACACACAATCCAGTGACGGTAGAGGTAGTGACGGCAACATAGTCAAAGAAATACACGAGGCTCATCCGAGATACACGAGTTCCAACAAGTATCGACAAGAACAATCCCAGGGTGATATAATACAAACATTGAAGACAAACAATTTGAGCAACAATAAGCCAAGGGTCCCATACCACCGCACCATAGAACATGACTCCGACCCAACAAACACTCAAAAACACCTAATCCTCTCCGAAATTTCCTCAACAGAATCAAAACCCAGTTCTTAAACTTTCTCCACTATAGCAGCGACCTAATTACTCAAATCTCCACAATTGAAGCCACACCACTCGTCATTCGAAAAATTTATTAAATTTAGAGACCCCAGTTCCCTTAAAGCAGTTCAAACCCCAAATCGAGGTTGTTACGTTCAACCCCCCAAAGCAAACGATGGGTCTATTTGCAATCAGATCTGGTTTCTGGACGCTATAACCGTTGATGGAGATAACCGACTGAAAGAGAAGATCACCATAAGAAAATCGAAATCAATATAAGTTCATGATCGATGTATCTTATAAGAATTGAAGATGGGGGAGATTCCTACTTTCTGGAAACACTGAGAAAAACAGACAAGAGTGTGGAAAAAATTACAGATTGTGAGAACTCGCCGAACACTGAGCAGGAAAAGAACAAATTGCTGTGAGAGAAAATTGGAGTGTTCTCCTCCGTCGATGGAGAGTGACACAAATTTTGGGAGAAAAATTGCAGACAAATGCACCAAGGGTGAAGTTCCAACTAGATGTGTCGTTTAATCCAATAATTAGTCGTTTGTCTATCCTTGGCGTCGTCTAATGCTAAATTACTTTTTTTTTCAATTATTTTAATAAATTATTTTTTTAATATATATTCAGACATATGAAATGAGTTTATACATGATAAATTATTATTGAAAAATATAATACATTACAGAATTTACTGCATGTATAACATTAAAAATTATAATTTCTAATAAAATTTTATTATCTATTAATTTTTTATTATGTTTTTTTAAAAGAAGATTTTTAAAATAATTTGTTATATACTCTTGTGATACTTTCTTTAAAAACGTACAACTATATATATATATATATATATATATATATATATATGTGTGTGTGTTATATTAAAAATATATTTAATAATTAGAATAACTTATAAAATTATAAGATAAGAAAATTTTAAATTTTATTTATTAAAAAACCGTTGATAAAATACACAATTAGTATATTAGAATGATTTGTAATAATGAAAACATATTATGATGTGGAACGAACTTTACTTAAAATTTAATTATTATGATAGAGATAACTTTCCTTAGTTGTCATCTCAGCTCAAACATTAATATCACAACTATACGAGTAAAATATTATTTTTTAAAAAATTATCTACTTAAAAGGATTACTTGGATAATTATATTTGTTTGTATACTCGAAAAAAGAAGAAAAAATATATTATATAACACAGTTATAATATAATAATGAAATTCAACTTGCTCTTTAGGAAATTTTTCTTTACAATGTTTCAATTTTAAATTGCCACATTAAGAAAAAAATCTTATTGTCAGAAATATGTACAATATGGTTAAATTAGTTTTTTATAAAAAAAAATCAGCTACACTATACGTTATCTTAATAAATTTAATTAAGTTTCTTACAGACCAATTTATGCATATTTAACTTATTTACTTTTTGTAGGACTGAATTCTTATTTTGAACTAAATCAAATTTAAAAATTACCCAACTTATTATTAATTTTTAAAATTAATTTAATGTTAAATGTAAATATTTCATGGCTTAAAAATCATCAATTTATTACAGACAAAACGTAGAGGAAAAATAAAATGGTAATTTTAGTTTTTTCTCTGTCTTTTATTTTTATTTTTATTTTGGTGTGAGAGAGTAAAAGCACAACAAAAGGCGAGTCTACACTTTATGTTTGAATATCTAAAGATACATACAATTATAAGTGGACCGCATAGCGCAGTGGATTAGCGCGTTTGACTTCGGATCAAAAGGTCGTGGGTTCGACTCCCACTGTGGTCGCATTTTAAAATGAAATAAGATCAAAGCATATCAGTTATTTTAAACTTTCGATCAGATTATTATGTTATGTACACAATTGCAAAGAAAAATAAAACGAACTTATACAGCCTCACATATAAGAGTTATTTAGTGATTTTACTTGGAAGGGTCTCGAATAGTTGCCATGAAACTATTTCATCGAAAAGTTGCTAAACTTTCTCCATTATTTTTTAAATTTAAACATTTCACATATGTAAAACTAGAATGTAATAGAAAGTAAAGTGTTTGGATTTTCGTTAGGAAAGCTTTCAAATTTGGGTAAAAAAATGATCTCTTGTAACATTTGTCCAAACTAAACTAAAATATTGGACTTTCAACATGCAAATATGTTAAAAGTCATAAGGAGTAAAAATTTATAATGAAACCAACTGATTTTCTTCGTTAGAAGACAAAACAAAAATGTAGAAACCTAATTCAGCAACAAAAGACCCCAACTTGTTTTATCCAGCCCTTTCCCATTTTTCTATTTGATAAGTACTTACCGCGTGAATATTTTCTGAAAATTACATAAATCTAGGAAAAGGATTTGAATGAAGAACCAGGAGGCAGGAATCAATGTAGGTAAATCATATTTGAGCAATAAATGAATATGGACTACACAAACATATAATCGATCACAGTTGAGGTTACAAAACATATAAATATTTTGAAAAAATCGTAAAATTATGGTTGGTTTGCATTACTTCAAATAAGATTGAGGTTACAAGATAAGGTTTGACTCTCTTAAAAACTTAAAGAAATAAAATGTAATAATAGTATGCATAGATTGAAAAATTAACGATTAAAATTTTAACAATTTTCATACATATTTATTTTATTAGAAAGGATAACTCAGACGCTGCAACCTCCGCCGCCACCTGATTTCTTCAATTAATAGAAATAATGGAAATCATTAAAAGACTAAAATCACAACGATAATAAGTAAATCAAACTTAATTTTAATACATATCAGATAAAACAATGCATAAGTTCTCCCATTGCATTTACCAACCCATGGCGCGTCCAATTGAATCACACTGAATTTACTTCGAAACTTGATTTTAGGAAGAAATTAAACAAAATTTATGGTCACCTCTGTAAGGGTAAAGTTAAACTTCCACGCAAAACGAAATGAAAATTATTAAACAAGGGGAAAAAAAACATTATAATTCATTTTCTAAAAATCTCACACAAATAATCTATGAACCTAGAGAACGTAAATTTGGCCTACTCCCACCGGATTTGGAAAGATAGACCACACACTATCGTTTTCTCTTCAAAAATGGTTTTTTTGTGAAAAAATCCGGATTCCAAAGATGACCATAATATTAATTAAAACTAACGCAACCAACCAATCGATAGGCTCTACTACGCCAATCACTGTCAACCAACCCAAGCCTATTTTCCCAGGCCCAATTCCTATGCTTATACAAAAGGTATAAATCGTGAACTCTTGAGAGCAAAGCAACAACAAAAATTAAGCAGAGGCTTTGTTCTCTGGCTTCTCAGTCTCCATTTGTTCAGTAGACGCAGGTGGGACCTGACCACTGCTATCCCCGGCATTCTCATTATTAGTCTTGGCGTCAGCATTTCTCTGTGGTTGCTGCTGCTTATCACCCTGAGAAGATGGGGATGTAGGTGTTTGTGGAGTAGCTGGCTTCGTTGGCCTTGGTTTGGTCATTATGGGCTTGCAGAACCTACTCAAAAAAATGTATGTTTTTAAACAGAAAACATGGATGAACAATTAACACAGGAAAAAGGAATAATAACGAGAAGAATTTGATGTTTCTCAAAAAGTTTCACGAGTCATAGCTAATCCTTCCCCGCCTCGGCTGGGTTTGCTAGTACATTAAGCAAGGCTACAGAGACCACCAAAAAATTCTAATTGTCTAAATAACCGGAATACTACCCAGGCACGGCAAGAAGTTAAACAAATACCTATCAACGGCCTCAGCTTTCTTTCTTATTTCAGCTGACAAGAGTACGGGGTTGGCATATTTTGGAAGTGAGTCCTGCTGTTGCTGCTTCTCCCTAAGCCAGTTCTCAGCTTGGACACATTCATTTAAGACCTAACAAACAAGAATTTACAGAAACAGTTTCAGATTTACTGACAAACAATAAAAAAAACATGGGCAAGTAAAATGACAAGTAAAATAATTTTTCTAACTTGTGCAACATTGCATAAAATAAGAGGTTATATATGATAAGTTTTAATAGAAAATTGTAGCATTTAATGCTATCAATTTGTAATTTTTAATAACAACTTACTATATACTACTTTTTATGATATGCTATATTGCACGTTAGAAAAATTGCAAGTAAAATTACCTTCTGTTTCTCGTTAATGTCAATGTGATCAAATTTGGGATCATTTGACACTGCAGCTTCTCTGTAACTATTTATACAATAGATAAACTGATCAATTATAGTACCCCTCTCCATGTATTCTTTGTAACGCCCTTCAATTGGATCACCTTGCTGCATAGCATATATAAATGTCCAATAAGATTACCAACGTCAAAATAGCATGAAAATACCTCACACCACTTATGTTTGTGCATAAAAACACAAAGGGTAACTGCAACAGGAATTCTCATATCCCTTTTCCTTTTTACAGTTCAACAGTTTGACTGAGCCATAGGAGCAAGGATTCTGTTAAACACAAAACTGCCTACCTTTTTGAGTTCTTCAAGCTTGGCAATATATACACCTTTAGTTTCATCTTCACCCTCTTCATAAAGCCAATCTTCCACTTCCTGAAGTTTGGCGGTAAAATCTTCTCTCTCTGAGGCAGTGACAAACTCATGGTAATTGTCATTAAGCTGAAATAATAACAGAAAAATTAATTTCAGTGATTATTAAATGACAGGCATGTGTATTTCATGTTAGACCCAACCTTGGGTAAGAGAACAAAAAAGATAACACCCACCTTGTTTCTCATGTCATAAACATAAGCCTCAACTGCATTTTTCTTGTCTTTTGTTTCTTCCATCACACGATCTTGCAAAGCCATTTCAAACTCCTTCTCCACTGCTTTCTGGACATCCACAGGCACCATTGCTCCATAAACTAACTCTGCTACAGGAATGTTTGTTTTCTTAACCTTTTTCTTTGGAGCCTGAACCCACGGAATTAGAAGTCCAGTCAGCCAAATTACAAATAGAACTAAACCATGCTGAACAACTCTAATTAAAGCAAAAAAACCAACAAGCAGAGTACATAATGTTACATGACTGACAGTACATCCATAGAAAACACAACAGTCTATTTGATTTGAAAATTTGTTTTCTATTTTCATTTCTTGTGTTTTACTTTTAATTACAAAAATGACATCTAGTTTTCTGTTTTTCAAAGATATGTACAAGAAACTATGAAATCTTTGTATTTATTTGAAAAATTGTTTTTTATACAATTCTTTGAAGACAGAAAATACAATAAAAACAAGGTGTCTTTTTTTGTCATTATTTGTACAAACAATTAATGAAAACAGAACATTTTTTCAAAGTCAACAGGCCCAAGGATTTACTTGATCTGAAGTCGAAACTTGTGTACGTTAAATCAACCACAATATGTTGCAAACACAGGGAGATACCACATTACAATTTAAAACTCAACAAGGTCATATTTGTAAAACTCTTCCTAAAATTGGTGTTTTTGGTTTGTTTAAACAATAAAAAATGTGATACTATCATCTTACTAATCATGACACCATAAAAGATAAAACCACAAAACCATAACACACTCAAAATAAAAGACATTTAAATATATGCTTAAGTATTCCTTCCAACAGTACTAACCTTGTTATCAGTATCTTTTTGCGAAGGCTTATCTCCACTCTCAGGGACGCCATTTTCAACCCCCGAGGCATCGGCATTAGCCTTTGCATCCAGCATATTAGCATCCTTTGCATTGGAGGTGGGAGGTGCAGCAGTATCAGCTGGAGCTTCATCAATGTCCATCTTGATATTTTCCCCTGCTGTTTCTTTGGAAACTGGAACCTCAACTTCTTCCTCTTCCAGGAGCTAAACAAAATGACAAATGTTGTTAGATCAAAGGAACAAATGCTCTCTGTTTGCTATCATAAGTTTACAAGTGTTAGCGTGTTCTGGTAGAACAATAGCTAAAGCCAGAAAAAATTTACCGTTGCTGATTCAACAGAGACAATTCCATGTAGACTCAAACGAACTTTCACCTTAACTTTTGTCCTTTCACTATTTGTAGTTTGGAAAGGACCAATCTGCATACGGCCAAGAGTCAGAGGACTACCAAAAGAAAAAAAAATTTAACAAAGAAAAAAGAAACTTGGCAACTGCCTTACAGTATATGTGCTGATCCTAGCAGGTATTTGCAGCCCACTCACATCAGTATATTGTACATCTACGGAAAATGTTCCAGACCTGTAGAACGTCAGTGCCTTGATACTTGGTATGGGATTACCCTTTGGAAAAACAAGGGAACTCTGATGATTTTCTGGTCCATTATCCGGTGCATCTGGACCAGAACCTTTCCATGAAAGAGAAATGGAGAAAGGAAGATTTTCGTTGACCTTCACATTACAAAAAAGACAAAATATAATAGCAACATCATACAGAATAAAAAAATTTGTATATGAACAATTCACAGCTGACATATCAATTTAAAAAGCACAAAAGAAACCGATGCGTGAAATTGCAGAAGGCCTAACAGATGTATATAACACAGATATGTAACTAATTAATAAATCATAATCTCTGAAGGTCAGTACAGTTTTATGTTAAGGTACTGAAGACAATAGCCAAACAAGCTCACAAACCAAGTGTGGCATATGAGGGTCCTGAATTGAAATAGTGAGCAGTCCAATGGGGGGGAAACTTTACCTGAAACTCTCGTACTTTAAATGTTGGACTAAGAATTGCACATTCCAATGCACAACCCCGAGCAACGCACTCACTAGCATTCATTGTCCGTCTAGGCTCCTTTCTGAAAAATTCTGTCAATATTTTGTTTATAGCTGGTATACGAGAACCTGAACCAACCACCTCAACCATGTGTACATTTTCAACCGTAAGACCTGCCTCAGCAAGTGCCTTCTCCAAAGGTTCCTTCACACGTTGCAAAATTGGAAGACTCAGTTGCTCAAATTCATCACGCTTGATGAAGCCCCTGACGTCCTTCTCATCCATTAAGCACTCAATGTTCAGAGGTGCCTCAGGATTTGCACTAAGCATCTTCTTCAGCTTCTCACAAGCAGCCCTGAGCCTTATACAAGCCCTGGCATTCTGGAAGACATCAATCTTGTACTCCTCCTTAAATTTCGCAGCAAAGTGATGGAACAAAACCTCATCAAAATCCCTACCGCCCAGAGACCTATCAAATGAATGGGCCAACACTTTGAGCTGCCCCTTTTTGAAGCCAGCAATGCACACTTGCATGCTAGCATGTCCAATGTCGACGAAGGCAACATTCAGCTGATCATTCTCAGGAAGGTCCGTCTTATAAATCCCATATGCCAAAGCAGTCGCAGTCATTTCATGAATTAATCGAAGCGGATGCAAACCCGCAATAGTGGCTGCATCCAAAACAGCCCTTCTCTGAAGATCAGTAAAATAAACAGGGATTCCAACGCAACAATCAACAACAGCTGCACTCAGATTTTTCTCCGCTATTTCCTTAAGATTCGACAACATCATTCCAAAAACCTGGGTAGGCGTGAACGTTTTAGCCTCACCCAAGTAACGTGCATGAATCAAGGGGTATCCATCATTGCCTTCAGTGACAACAAAAGGCAATGACTTAAGATCCCGCTGCAATTCAGGATCAGAAAATTTTTTACCAATAAGTCTCTTAATCTGAGAAATGGAATTCTTGGGATTCATCATAGTGGACGCAGCACCAGCGGTGCCAATGAAACGTTGTTTATCACCAAAACACACAACAGCGGGTGTTTCGCGCTTTGACTCATCATTGAGCACAACATCAATCCCTCTCTGCCTCGCAACCGCAACAATGCAGCTCTCGTTACCGAAATCGAATCCCACCACGCTCATTTTCGTGAATCAAAATTCGATCGGCCAGCCAAAGTAGAAAAATCAAATCTGGAAAAATAAAAGTGTTTTCAGTTACTTAAACAAAAAATAACAAATAAATTTAAACAAAACAGTAATTCAATAGTAATAATATAATATTATAAGATGAAAATTGTAATTTAAAAGAAAACAAAAAAGGAACGATGAAGAATGAAAAATGGAAGAGTAAGGAGCAGTAAGGAATCGAATGCATGAATCTGAGAGGATCTGGAATAGGGTTTTGGTTTACCCCGGCGTTGGCGAAGCGATCGGAGCGGGGGTTTCGTTATGGTGAGGCTGTGAAGAAGGTTTGTAATGGCACGTTTCCCGAAACAGAAAGGGAGAAAAGAGATTGGGTGGGGGCTGCTATGGAATTTTGTTTTTATATTTATTTGATTTTTTGTAAAATTAGAATAATAGATGTATGACTATGTATGTGTATGATGCGGCATGAATGAATGAGGGCATGAACATGATTACATGATGAGGTTACTAATTTACGAAGGAAGAAAGAAAGAGTAGATTGGTCCCACACCTATTTGCACAGATGTCACCTCACCATTCTGCTTCTAGAAACATCTTCTCCATGGTTCTCTCCCTTGTGCCCAATGCCAAATGGAATTCATCATGTTTTTTTTGTCTTTCCTTTAAAATAAATAAGACTTAATTATATTTTTATCCTTATAAATATGAAAATTTTTGTAATTAGTGCCTACAAATATTTTTGTTAGAAAGTTTCTAAAGTAAGAAATTAAAAAATGATCTCTGTTGTTAACTTCCAGTGTTGAGCTGGCTGACGAAGAGTCAGCTCAGCACTCTACGTGACACCATGTGGCCTAATCATTTCTTACACATACCACATCATTTATTATTTTATTTTTTAAAATTAATTTTTGTAAATAAATCCTTAAAATTATTTTATTTAATTACATAAAAACTCTTTCCTATTTCTCATCTTTCTCCAATCTTTTCTGTCATCCCATCTTTCCTCTACCCCTGCCCCTCCCCTTTCTCCCACCTCTACTCTGCACAACGCCTTCCCTTCTTTTTACGCACACCCCCAAAACCCAAATTTGCAGGAGAGATAATTATAGGATTTGATCCACAAAACGTACCGATTAGAACTTGCACATGTATTGATTGCTCAACTCACTCTAATGCCACTATTTCACACCCCACCCAACCTAAGCCCTAAGAATCTGGGCCAAGAGGAAACTGCACGACATGCTCATCATCTATCCCATGTTACATATACAAAAATTGTGATTCATATCACTTGTTAGACCACATTATATGTATCCCAAAAATCATTAAATTAAACCTTAAAATTTACCCCCTTGTGATATTCACTTGCTTGTATAGTGAAATGGACATGTAGATAGATATCCATCTTCCACTTAGCCTGCAAATAGAGTGTTGAGGGGAGGTGGGTACTTGTGGTTGGACCACTTTTTAAGCAAAGGTTTGGATCTTGAGAAAGTATATGCACCTTTGACTGGGAAATTGGGGTACAAGAAAGTGAAGTGGGCGACGGGAAATAAAATCGATTATGGCGATATCAAAAATGGAAAAGTTTACTTGACTGCGTTGTTACAGAAGCCTGTGTCTAGATGAGATTATGCACAAAGGTAAGAACTTTTAATCTCTAATTTCACACTTGAGAATTTGTTTTCTCACCAACTTTAAAGTTTTGATGGGTAATTGTTGACAAAATTGAAATTTGTGAGTGATGGGGTGTGGGGAGGAAGAAGGGTTGGGATTAGGGTGGAGTGGTTACGGAGATAGTGAAGAGGGAGAGGAGTTGATTGAGGAAGAAGAAAAGTTTATTTATAAATATATAAAATGAGTTTAGGAGTTGATTTATAAATTTTAATTAATTAATAAAAAATAAAAAATTTAAATGACATAGCAAGCCATGTAAGCTGTGACTTGGCTTCTATGTGGCACCACGTGGAGTGCTGGCTCTTCGTTAGCCAGTTCAGCACTCAAAAAAAGGGGTTAACGGCAGGGACTATTTCTTAATTTTCTACTTTAGAAGGACTATTTCCAAACAAAAATATTTGTAGGAACTAATCACAAAAACGCCTATATTTATAGGGACTAAAAACATAATTAAGCCAATAAATAATAATAATAAACCAAGGTTCTATGATTTCTTTCTTTCTAAGATTTCTTTAGAACTTATTATTTATTTATTTTACTTAATTGTATCTTTTTTTATTTGAATTATGCATAATTTTAATTTTCTAAGCTTTTAATTAATTGACTTTTTATTTCAGATAATTGTACAAGTTTAAAATTCAAAATTTTAGATAATTTGTTATAAAATTTTAAACATTTTTATTGGATATGATGATGAGATTTAATGAATAAAAGATTGAACATTTTTCTTTTAAATGAAGCTTATTTTTTATTTGTAAATTTTCATGTAAAAAAATACCTGCCTATATTTGCAAAAAATAAGTAAAAAAACCTGATAAAAATGACAACAAAAATAAATTTGTGTAATTTTAAAATAGAAAAACTAAATAAAAAATTAGGGAATTAAAATTGCAAGCAATATAAATTTTCATTATGTTTTCTTTCTATAGTATGGGTTTGCATGATTGCATCCAATTCTTCTCTTTTTGCTTTGTATTATTCATGAGATTAAAAGATAAGTTTGATTATAAAAAAGAAATAAATAAAAAAATTAGAAAATGAATGCATTAGTATTTTTAATACCTCACAAGTAAAGTTATTAGGTTAAACTTTAAGGATGAGTTAAGCAAATATGAAACTTTGAAATCAAGAGGATGATTAAGTAAAAATTAGTTGTTAAAATATAAGAGAGCTTGAATATTAGAGTAATTTCTTATTAATAAATTACGAGTAAATTATAAAAGTAATACTAAATATTATATGTTACTCTCACTCATTTATTTCAATAATTTATTCTTCAAGTAGTGATATTATTTCATTAAGCAAATTATTGTTTAGTAAAAATCTTTTAAGTTTTAATTATGAATATTTATGATAATATAAGAATATTAGAGTCATTTTTCTCCTTGTAACAATATCGGTCAATATCTGTGTTATCACTGCATATATGAATTAAATAAGTAAGTGTCTGTGTAATATTACTACACATTTAGTGTTAACTAATGTTTATGTTTTATTATCAATCAACTAATAATAATTTATTACTTTTTCATGTATCATCATAATGCTACGGAATTATAACTCTCGTCTTTTAAAAAATATCGTTCTATTTTATGATAAGAGAGATATTACTAATATTTGACTCAACATTTCTCTAATATTTTTACACCTTGACAATTTTACTTACATGCTTAGCCTTTTCACATTTTTAGTAATGTCTTGTTCTTTTCGTAATTTTAATTTTCATAAGGCCAACTTTTAGCCACCAATAATGGGTTTGATGAAATATCATTTTTACTTTTCATATATTTTTTAATTGTTTTATCATCAAATTCATCAAAATATATTTAATGTGCTCATAGAAAGTCAAAAGAAACTACATGAACTTTAGCGTTTAATCTTAATCATTCATCTTAAGTTTGATAAGTTTTGATTTGAGATGCCAGTATTGAAAGTATTAAGATGATTAAAAACTTTCGTATTATTATCGTCTATGTATGGATTATAAAATTGATCTTTTGACAACAATTGAGTTGAGATATTCTTTAAGTTTTTCCTAAAGTTCCATTTGCAACACTTTACATTTGGGCAAAAATATCATTAGCCAAATAAGGATAAATTGCAATTTCTTCTAATTATTGTTGTCTACATAAGAAACACTTCCGTTTAATGTCATATGTAATCTTATGTATATTTTTACTATTATTTGTTGCAAGATAAATTTGATTTTTCTATCAATTTTTTAAAGTCAAATTTCATATTGTTTGAAATTTTAACATTGCAATTATACCTAAGCAGTAAACTATGTATTAAGCAAACCTGTGAAAAAGTCCAACTGACCCAACCCATCTCTAACTCATGTGAATTATGATCAAAGTCTTGTGGTTCAACAAAAATTATTAATATATACTTTAATGTCTTCTAAAGTCAAAATTCTTTAACTTATACAGATTTATATGTTAATCTAAATACTAATAATGTGTTTTCAAAATCAAATAAAACTTATATAAAATTAAAATTTAAAAATATATTATTTTAATTTATTTATATATAATTAAATAAAAATTTCATCATAATAATGAGTTTTATTATTGTTAAATAATGGTAATACCAATATATGGTATTTTGAAGAAAATTATAAAAATATAGAATTTTTTCAAAATGACAAAAATTGTCAATAACAATTTGTTTTCTACTTGAAATTTTTTACTACGGTGATTTTTTTATATTTAAATTATTATTATTATTATTATTTGAAAATTTATTATTAACGAGTTTTCACTTTTTAATATTTTGAATTTTTTTTTGAAAAATCATTATTTACAAGTTTTAAAATTTCTAATCAAGTTTTAAGATTTTTAAACATTGAATTGTTTCATCTCTTAATCTCGTATAAAAAATTATCATCAACGATTTTTGAATTTTATATTTTTGTAATTTAAAAAAATACTATATTTAGTATATTATTTTTAAATATCATATATAAAAAATAACCTAATACTTTTTATACTATTCTATAAAGTTATATTGGTACTTTTTATTTAAATTAAAAAATATATTTATACTTTATACAAACTTGTGAGTTTTTTTTTTTTGTATGTTATTATTTCTTTCTTATTGTTTTTTTATATAAATTTTTTTAGATGCCATTTACTATTAGTGCATCAATCTTAATAAATTAATTATTTTGAAAGTAAATAAAAATAGCTAATAAAAACAAAGGAAACATATTCTAAAAAGGAGTAATTTTACATATGTGTATAACAAAACATATAAACAAATATTTAAATATATGTGAAAAATGAAATAATTATAAATTAAAATTTAACTATTAAAATTGAAATATAATTAAATTTATACGTAATTTAATCAGGTTATCAAATATTTATTGTCATTAACTTTTAAGATTAATTTTAAATATTTAATAGTAAGATTTTCTTAAAAATTTAGTTTTATATGTTTAAAATTAATATAATATTAATAATTTTATTAATTAATAATAACATAAATTTTATTGTATTTATTAATTTTTTTGGTTCTAACGACACTAAACATAAACTGAGAATAATGAAAGATAAATTTCAAGTATAACATTTGAGTGTTTTGAGGGTGAGGGTTAATCCATTAACTCACATACTTTGAGTTAATCAATTTAGAGTTTAATTAATTTTTTTTAATTAGTATAGAGACTACATGAATTATTTATGGACTCGGTAGGATTAACCCTTAGGCTAAAATTCTTATTGATTGCTTTAACATTAGGCAAGTTCTAACGAAAGAGAGATAAGTCACAGTAGACACTATTAAATATTAATAATATATTTTGTTTCTCTTTTTACAAAAATAAAAAATAAAAAAACTTGTCTGTAAATTTGATTTTGTAAAAATATTTTTAAAATTTTGTTATTCTCATTATTTAAAACTAAAAAACAAAAATAGTCTTTAAAGTGTTTTAGTTTTAATTTTTAATTTTTAAAACTAAATTAACAACAAAATTTGTATTTTATTCTTAAAAAAAATTTTCAAAGTTATTTTAAATTATAAATTTTTAAAATTAAAAACTAAAACAGAAAAAAAGTCCTAAATCTTTGAATTTTTTTTTTTCTAAAATAACACTCTTACGGTGTCACATCTTATTAAATTCACTGATTTTTTTTTATATATATTAAAAAGCTTAACATTTTTTTTTATCTCAACATTCAAAATGCATAAAACTAGAAAGAATAGAGTCAACATACGACCTAGGAATAAAATAATAATATTAATTGAATTTAATTTATATAAACTCATTATGTAAAAAATATTAATTACAAATTTTTAATTTATTTTTTTAGGTGAATAGATAGAAACTAAAAAAATACTTCTAGGTTTTAAAATAATTTTTTTATTAAATGTACGTGCCATTTATTACTAACATTTCCTAGTTTTAATTGAATGTGAAAAATGAAAGGTAAATTCAAATCTTAATAAGTATTAAATGTACAAATACCATTTAATTACTCAAATACTGTTTTTTGAATTTATAATAATGAATAATTAATTACTCATTTAATGAGTAAAATATTTTTTTAAATGAATGCATTTATTGATTGTGTTAGAATAAAAATATTTGTGAAAAAACATAAGAAAATAACTTTTAAACATTTCTTCACGTTATTATCATAGTTTATAAATATATTTAAAAGTTTTTCTGTACTTATGATTCACACACTTCTTTATGATTATTGTTTTTTAATATTTTTATTGAATATATATTGTTCATTCAACCTTTCCAAATATCATAGTTTTTTTTTAATTTAATTGTTTTAATAAGCTTTAAACAATCCAATGATATATGTCTATATACAGTAAAATTTTACTTCAAAATGATAAAATATCATAAGACATTAAATATTATAATTTTAATAATTTTTTATTTATACCATTAGATACATATTAAAAAAAATATTTTAGACAAAAAGTTTTTCATCAAAGGAACGAGAAAATAAATTAGACTAGTGGAAATATTATTTAATAATTAAAAAATATTTTTTCCTAATGCATGTCTACAACAATATAAAAATATATTTTTATTAAAAATAATTAGTGTTACATAATTTAGTGTATTAATAACTTTATATATTATAATTTAAAATAAAAATTATTATTTATTGATTTCTAATCCTAAGCGAATAATCCTTTTCATTAGCAACCATGAGAAATGACCCTATGAATGCTGGAATCATCACTGTAGGTAAGTTTCATTTGACTTTAAGAGTTATTTTACTTTAAAATCAATAAAAGAATAAGAGCGTTGCTAAACAATAAGAATGAAAATATTAAAAAATTGCAATGTTATGTCATTGAAGTAAAAGAATCAAAGTTAAACGTTTAAACCATCATCAAAGTGTTCTGAACTAAATAAATAAATAAAACTTATCAACAAATTGATCTTGTTTTCTTAACGAATCGTAAAATTCACAACAAAACAGTGATTTTTTTTTCCTGTTTCTCTTTTTTTTTATTATAAAAGATTTGAGAGAATTTTTTTTTTCACCTTTATTTCCTTACAATGCCAAGGTAATAAAAAATAAAGGTTTTGATCTTTTTCATGATCATGAAATTTTACGGCGACTCAAATTCCAAGGTAATCTCTTTGGTCTTCTTCCTTACCTCCCTTCCAATCCTTACAGTTCGAACGCTCTGTGGCTTGGGCTTCGCCGGAGCAGTCTCCGGTTGGCAGCGCATGGCGGTGATCAAGTCAACAAAAGCACTGAGAATGAACTTGCGAGAATTCTTCTGATTCAGGTTTATGTGACAGAACAAAAGTTCCTCCATGAATTCCCAATCCACCTTTTCATTGTTCTTCAACTTCGCCTCCACCATGCCTTCCATGGATCGCCGGAAATCATCATAAGGGCTAGGAGAACTCGCCAGCACCACCACACAGTTCTCCGGAGCCACCGTTTGATCCTCCACGCCCTCGTTTTCAGACGAATCATTCTGAGTTGTGGTTGAGAACATGGTTGAGCTCGAGCCTGCTTCTTCTTCGAATCTTCTGGAGGAATCGAACAAGATGGGGCTAAGTTTTGGCTTTTCCTGTTCCTCTTCTTGGTCGGAGACAACCCTTTTGGTGTTATGGTGTTTTCGTTGTTTATTGGTGTTGGTTTCTTCGTGATCTTCTAGGTACAAAGACTTAAAATTCTCGAAGAGGAAACGATCGATGTCGGCTAGCGAGACTTGTTCATCATTGTTTTTCCTGTTGTTGTTGTCTACGCCGAAGGAAGGAGTTCTGGGATGCTTGCATGCTGAGAGAATCCATTTCTTAGAGGGTAATTGGATATTTGAAGGAGGAGATTTCATTTTTGAGAGGTACTTTCGAAGGGATTTTTGAATCTTCTTCCGCATTTTGGTTTTGGGATGAATAAGGGTAATTATTTTTGATAATGGGATTTGAGTGAGGTGAAGAGTGAAGAGTGTGGTTTATAAATTATGGGTTCTAAATTGTTTGAAAAATCGAGGTGTGTTCTTTTAATGCATTGGCTGAAAAACATGTATCAGCATCGTGGCTCCTACCAAATCTCACTCAGAAGGAGAATTTGGTGGAAAGGATTTTTTCAATCTTTTTACCATTTTTGACAAATTTGGAGAATAAATGGGATATTGTTCCTTTTTCTGATACTATGCTTTGGGTGAGGAGGATTTGAGGAAGAAGTTAAAAAAAAATTAAAGGAAAATTGGAATGCTTAACAAAACAAGATAAGAACAACATGAATAATATGTTACTAATATTTTTTTTAGGGTAAATAGAAGATGTTTTAAATGCCACTTTAAATGCTCTTCCTTTGAAAGTTGAAACTCATTGGCCAACATTAACTCAAATAGCCTGAACTTGCGAGTATATCTTAATGGTTAATTTAGTGCTGCAACTGCAACGCTAATATCAATATTGTAATTTTTAATGATCACTAAAATAATTCTTTAAAATATTTTTTAATTTATAAAATATTGTATATGATAAAAATTATATATAATAATTTTTTAATAAAAATTTATTATATATATCTTCTCAACCTGTATAATGTTGCATGTGTTAAAAAAATAATAATATTTTTAAGTACAGGTTAAATTTTACGTAAATTTTATTTTTTACTTTTTAATTAAATAAATAATTAAAAAAATTTACTTGAAACAAGGTGTATCGGAGATAATGTTCCTCACATTCTTGTGTAATTTAATACTTGAGGCAACCATTAGTATTAGATAAAAAGGTTCTGATTATAAAATAAAATTAAATGAATGGTTATAATAATTCAAAAAGGAATATTAAAGATATTCTATAACATATTTATTATTATTTAAATTGATTGAAATTATAAATATATGAGAAAAAAACATTAAATTAAGAGTAAAAAAAATAAGAACTCATACAATTTTTGTAATTTTTGATTAATAATAAATAATATATTACTAATTTTTCATTTTTTTAAAAAATTATACATGTACATGATACAGATATAATAAATTTTTATTAAAAAATATAACATTTAATAATATTAATACATTAAATTACATTAATTTCTACAATTTTCAATAAAATTTTAATATATATAATGTTTTAGTACAAGTAGTATTACACATGTTAGAAAAATGATTAAAAAATTATAAAACAAAATTATTAATATTGTCTCACCTTTTTAAATGTGTTCAATGACGTACAAAAATAATATATATATATATATATATATATTATATAATAAAATCTTATTAAAAATTATAATATTCATATTAATAATATTAAATACTATAATTTTTACTAAATTTTTTATTATTTGTGATTTTTCTATTGCATATCTTAAAATTCATCATTAAAAAATATATTTTTTAATGATGAATTTTTTTCGTTTTTTTTTTGTTTGCTATTCATTTCTACTCTAGTTTTAAGACTATATTTTAAATATCATTAAAACATTTGTAAGAGTACAATAATAGAATTGATAAAATATTTAAATTTAGGTGTAATAGTATCATAATTTTTTAATTAAAATTTATATTTTATATTAATAATATACATTAACTTTTATTACATAAGTTATTGCAATAAAAATTTTATTTGAATTAAAGATAATATTAAAATCAAATATAATATTTTACATAATTTTTGTGCATTTTATATTTAGTTAGTGTTTACGCTGAAGTAGTAGGAATCTTAATCAATGTAGTTTATAAACAAATCAGTGTGGCAGTCTAAGGGTATATTTAATTTCTATTTTAAAAAGAGTTTTCTGTTTTTTTTTTCTAAATGTATTTTTCTATTTTTTTTTCTGTATTGAGACATACTATTTTAACACATATTTCTTCCCTTTTTTTTCAGCAATTTTCTAAATGTTCCCTCTGATTAATATTTTTGGGATTATCAAATTTAAAACTAAGATTCCAAAGCAAAAGATAGTAATAGGCAAAATTTGGTATTTGAATTTTTTAACCTAAAAATTCAGGATGTGTCGATTGTGTACTTTTAAAAAATAAAATGTGAAATATAGTTATTAATTAAAATATTTAACATAATTTATTTTATATATTGATACATTTTAATAATTAATTTTTTGATCGATGATTATCATTGCATTTTATCTCTAAATTTTAGAAGAATTAGTTTAGTAATTTAGGCAATATACATGTATTTTTATTTTAAAATAAATATACATATAATTTAATAATTAAAGATAAATATTTATAAAGATAAAACATTAGAATATATTATAAAAATTGATTCACTTAAAAATTATTTATAATTTTATATAATTATAAAATTAATCAAATATAATACACTAATAAAATTTAAATTAATTATAATTATATCTCTACAAAAGTGTAATTTATATATATCATGTTAAAAAAATATAAATATTAAAAAGTAAAAAATATTTTAATATTAAAAATTAATTTATTTTAATTGGTTTAAAAAAATGACGTGACGAAATATGCAATTTGTAATAGAGAATTTTTTTTGTATAAAATAAAAAATATATAATTACTGAAAAAGTATAATTCATTTATGTATTAACTGCTAGAATTATTTATCAAAATCATTATTTTATATATTCATATCAATATATTTGTCTTATTTAAAATTTTTAGACCATTGGTATCAAGCTCAAATTTAAAATTACAAATTAAGTTAGAATAACTCTTATTTATTAATTTATGTACTCAGTGACCTTTAAATTCATTTAATGTGAGGAGATTATAATAAAAATACCAAACTTGATAGTATTATGACCAAAATATACATCAGAAATAAATATCTATAAAAGTTTTAAATAAAATTACAAAATAATTTAGAAATAATAAGAACATTTAAATAGTTATAAAAAAAAGTTTCATATTAAATATATAATGCAGACGTGGCTTTGAGGCTTTACATAATTTAAAAAAACTTAAATAAAGTTTTGAATTAAAAATATTATAATATATTTTTTGATATATTTATTTTTTATTTTTAAATACTTTTTAAAATATTATATTATTTTTTATTAATAATTTGTAACTTAACTCGTATAATATTACAGAGTTAATGTGAAATTAGCATTTTTTCTTTTATACTTTAAAATTTTAACCTTATAAGTCATAACTACATAAGTTAAATATTTTTCTAAATGGAAATATAATGTCATATTTTATTCTCAGTAATATTTTAGTTAAGCTAATAAATTACTAATAAGGGAACTAAACAAAAATAAAAAATAATTTTTGAAGGATTAAATTTTTAAAAATAAAAAGAGAGATAAATAAAAAATCACAAATTTTAAAAACTAAAAATTTATTTATGTCATAAAAAATCTGTTAGTTAATTAAAAATATTATTTAACAGTATTTGTATTGAACGTCACTGTTAAAAATATTATATTTATAACATTATTTATTTACAATTAGTTTTGATATATTATTCATTATCAACTTCTAAAATTTTCTTAGTTTTAATATACATTAACATAATAATAAAAAATTTGGAATGTAACCGCATTTTTTCAAAGTCCATTTTAAAAATATGTCAACATTTAATAATTAAAAATGACATAAAATATATAATTATTCTGACATCAAATAAGAATGATACTACATTTGTGCAGTTTTATAGATTTTATTTTTCTATAAATGTTTTTGAAAAAAAAAACTAAATAATACAAATGCATTTTCTTGAAACAATTGATAAATTAAAAAAAGTGGAAATTATTATAAAAGAAAAAAATGCTTCTTTTTAACATTTTCCCTTTGTTTTTTTTTACAACCATGTTTCTTAGTTATATATATCGTAATAAGTTTCATTCGTGACACTTTCAAATTTTATACAAAGATTTTCAACTCAAGCAACCTTACTGAATCACATGACAGGATTGGTCAATTTTTGCTATTAACATTCATTAAATTTTGTATCCTATAAATCACCATTGTACATTCTATTAAAGAATTTGACTACACCAATTTGTAATGATATAATTTAGAAAATATAAAGTGACAGGATGGTCATTGATATAAAATGTTATGATTTTTTAATGATATTATATTCTACGATTGTGTGATTTTATAAATTTTTTATATTGTTAATATATAGATTAAATTCATTAAAAAATTATTAATTGATCCATTATACCTTAATTAAGGTGTTTTTATTTATTAATTTTCAATTTTACATGGTTTATTGAAATATTTTAAATCAATTATCCATATAATTACAAATAAGGATTTGATTGAAAAAATACTAAGTTTTGAATTTCTAAAATCAATATATAGTTTTAGGGTAACTAAGTCTACACACTAGTTACAAATACATATCCTAATATTAATTGTACGACACATTTTAAAATATTTGCTTAAATATTTTAATTTGATAATACTTGTTGAGTGTAAACAAATTATTAATTTCAATTAAGTACGAGTGAGATTAACTGAACACCTAAATCAATCCTCTCAAAAAATATATGACCTATTAGAACATTATTCTTAGATAAAACTCATTAATTCAACTAACCTCTAGTTGTTTTAAAATGTTTTGTGGCAACTTGAAAAATATTAACGTGATCAACTGAAAACAAAAACAATTTTACACATATATTCACCTTTTAGAGTGTGGACAAAAAATATATAATAAAATTATAATACGTTAGATATCCATAATGAACAATAATAAAACAAGATGACAGAGTAAAATAACAAATATGAAATTTAAGGTTCAATTAAAACTATAGTTTTTTGTCCTCAATCTATACACACTAATCTCGAATGATTTATCAATGAACTTTAATTTATTTCATACATGCAATATTAAAATAATTATAATTTTTGTACAAGTAAGCTAAAATTACATACAAATAATAATTTTATAATTTTTTAACTCTTAATTGACATTCATAAATAAAAATATATCCCGTTAGAACAGAACTTACATACATTTATATTTTTAGATTGTGGGCATTAGTTGAGAAGAGGCCTTGTCAAACGGCGTCGTTTCCGGGGCTCATGCCAAAGATTTGCGCAACAGAAATACCAGAAACACAAATTTCAGAAAGAGAGAGAGAGAGAGAGAGAGAGGGAGAGAGAGAGAGATGGCGAGCAACAATGGAGGGAAGGAAGAGAGAAGAAGAAGGATTGCAGAGAGAGGTTCAGATCGAATGGCCCTAATAACGGGAAAGATCAATGCACTTCCACCGACGCCACCCTCTGCGGTGTCATCACCAACCTATCGCCAAATGCCACGCCATGGACAATCCTTATCCGTTGATGCCAATTCAGATACTACTAATCATCTTCCCCCTCGCCATTTGCGCCCTCAGTCTTTGTCCTCTGCTTTCACCGTTCCGTACCAGCAATATCCCTCCGGTTCGTACCTTCTCAACTTCCTCTCTCTCTCTCTCCCTCTCTCTCTCTATTAATTTTGGATACACTAATTTTGTAAGGGTATCATAAAAAAATTAACTTTTTCTTGTTTTTTGGAAAGGGTTTGATAAGACTGTATTTGTATTTCTAGCTTGCTTCGTTATGACACATTATGCATCTATTTGAATTCACGTTTAAATGGTTATAGATAGTTATAGTTTTCAAAAACACACTGTTTTGGGGGGATTGTGCATTGTTTATTGTTATTTTATGACACGGGGAAAAATTTTGTGTGAGAAATCTATCTGTGAACATATCGTTACTGATTATTATAAGTAGTAACACATTGCATTGTTACCAAGGCAAACGGCGATTAAGCATGGATATGTGACTGATACTCGATCATCATAGGTTTTATGCTTTGTTTTCTTTAATTTCCATTCTTCCAATTCCCAGTATAAACGGAAAACAGAATAATAATTATACGAAGTAGAATAATAAAAAAGGAAAGCTTGAGTCAATGGAAAACGTGAAGAGAAAACATACGTATCATCTGTACAATTGTAAATTTATGGTTAAGGAATAGTAAAACATATAGGAGAAGTCATATTTACATTAGCGATAATGATTAACACAGACCTACCTTCTGAAGTGGTTTTCATTCAAGGCCAAGGGATCCAGTTATGAACAACCAATTTTCTGCAACTCTGTAACTTGTATTTCTGTGAGATGCCTAACAAAAATAGATATTTATTTCTCATTGATATTCCTCTTAGCAAATATCTTCTTTAACCCTGTCAGTATTTGCATTGACATTGTTGTATTGCAAGTAAAAGTCACTATTTTATGTTGGAATGTACATAATATTGCTTATTTGCATTTTCGGGAAGTGCAGAAGATAGACCTGATGCTCCTGCTCCTTTCGCAAGGCTAAAACATCAGGGTGGATTTAGGTATGCAAGCTTGGAACATTTGGACATCAAAAGTGACGAGGAACCTCTAATACAGGATTCTGAGACTGTTTCAGAAGTCAACAATCAAGTGTCTGAGGGTGATGATGCCAAAACAAAATCACCTCCAGCCATGGTAAGAGCTGATGATGCCAAAGCAAAACCACCTCCAGCCATGATAAGAACTAAAAGTGAAGTACATGAGACACATCAGCTAGAGAAACCTTCCAGGCACAAGGCTACTTTTTTCTCCTCAAGAGAGCTGAATTCCTGCATTATAGCTTCTGAGACCACACGTGCACTCAGTTCTCTGATAATAGCATTGCTAGTAGTTTTTTATTACATGATTTCAGAGAATGTTTTAGCCTCAAGGCCTCTTTACATAGTCTTGTTAACTGATATTACGATTGTGCTTACTCGCCTATATCGTGGAAAGGCAAGTCTCTTGGAAGAAACTGAAAGAGAAAGAGTTGAAGCACATGGAGATAAGCAAAGTTGGGGAGATGCAGTAAAGCTCTTGGAGAGGGGTTTGGTTGTCTACCAGGCCATTAGAGGTGCTTTTATAGATTGCAGTATTTATCTGGTGGTTGTCGTATGTGGCACCTCCTTGATGTAGCTCTTGCTGCTTCAGTACTTGCTGCTCCCAAATAATTTTGTTGTAACCATTATAGAGAATGTGTTTTAATTTGAATTCAGAGTTGGGTCAGAACTATTACAGAGAATATGTTTTTCTATCAAATTATTTGCTGAAACAATTTTATATATATTCTGACGTTTACCATCTAATATATTTGATACATTTTATGAATGCCAGAGCTAAAAGCTTGTCTAATTTGATGCTCAAATGAAGCAGCCACAGTATAATGTAAGCCTAACATGAGAATTGCTCTACACAGGATATAAGGTTTGAAGTTGGAACACTTATAATTGTGTTTTGGAACATGGATATATTATAGTATGCATGAGAATAGGTGACATTTCACGCAGACAACTTTATTTGGTACCGTTGAATCTGGCAAAGATTATGACTTGCTTGATGAACAATTACTAGATTTTGCGCAATGATAACAAAGAACTAAATAATTCGCTGACAATTATATTGTTTAAAGAGAGTTTTCGTGCATACAGGTTAACGGTTATAGAAAAGAAGGGAAAACAATATAAAGCAGTCTTACTTTGCTGAACTGAGAAAATAATGTGTGCACACGTAAACACAAAATTTCAATGATAAAGATATTAGTATTACAATATATTCGTACACTGTTTATATAGTGTATAGAATTAACCAAGAACAATTGTTCCAAGTTTGGGGATTCTATAATTCTTTTTTGCAGCCAGCAGCACCGGTGATTCGCCCATAATTTATCAAGCTTGCAAACGAATTTTATATTTAGATACATCAGCAAATAAAAAAAATCTAATCGAAAATAAATTATATTGAATGTTAAAACTAATAAGGAATTCTTTAAAAATACACAAGGTTTTAAACGAGTCCGTGAAAACTCAATTATGTCCTTTTTCCCTGTTTTTTATATCAGATCTTAACAAACCAAGTGATTCGCAGGTGATCACCGCCATTTTCTATCAAGAATTTGAGGACCTGACGTGATTTGGATTCAATTGAAAAGCAAACAAATTTTAGAGGACCAAATACTTTTTAGCGATTTATTTGAAAGTCTAAAATTTTAGAACAAAAATTATAATTATTCCAAATACAAATGTTCATAAAATTTGTTTCAAGTGTTTGAGCATATCTATCTATATTGATTGATTCCACTCTTATTTGAATTTATAACAGTTACAACACATAAAAAGACACTGAATACTCAATAAAAGAACAAGTGTGAACGTGTGTGGAGTAACTTTAAAAAAGTTTCTAATCAAATAAATGCAGTAGAGTCGACATATTAGAAATTAGAAATGACATATTCAGAGACCTATTAAATGCAGTAGATACTTATTTGATATTTGATTGTGTTTTTTTTTTTTTTTTTCCGGTTATTGGTTACTGCTAGAGGTGGTTAGCTTGCTATGATATTCAAGGATTTCCTTAGCAATTGAGGGAGTCTAAGAATGTACGTGTTTTACAATTTGCATACATCACAATCATGCATGCCACAGTCACCAAAGAGAATGGTACCATGAGTAGATGGTGGAGCTTAGAGTAGATGTTCCAATTTTCACCCTTCCACAAGGTCAATCTATAATCACGGTAACTCTAGTGGGGATGAGCTGCCAATTATAATGGCAAATGATCCAAAATTATAGATTGTTTTCTTTCCCATTCATTTGAGCAGTGATTTGGTTGTGAATTTTTCCTTTAGCACCTAACATTATATTAGTGCCAGTGTCACTAGGGCATAGCAGACAGATAGGACAAACAACTTGATTTCGATCTCTTTGAAAGCCTCAAATGATTGATAGTTATGTAGTGAATTCATGGAGGACCTAATTGAGTAAAGAATTTAAAACTATTTTATTAAAAATTACATTAAAATTGTAAAAAAGAAATATTAATAACATTTTTATTTGTTTACTTGTGATTCTTTAAGACAATAATTAGAATTTGCCAATGTTACTATAGTCCTGAACTCAATGTTACAAAATACAGTCTCTTCCGCTTCCAGCTTTCATAACGATTTCTTTCTCTCCCGAATTTCGTTTTCATGACCCATTCCCTCATCTTGAATGATCTGTTAATATCGTTTAAGTATTAAAAGCTATTCCCGTAAGAAATAGCAAACTTGAATCCAAGTTGAAGACCTCGCGAAGAATGTTCATTCTAGTAAATAGCAGCACAGAAAACTTCAAAAAAAATTTCCAGCATATCACTTCTAATTGTTCTCAAATATTTCCGCATACTTCTGACTTGTAACATTAAGTAGATATGTGTATAACCTCCATCCTTCAACTTTCAGTGGAAGACATGGATCAAAGACACCCAAACCCCTCACAAATGCAACCAATCTTTCAGTAGCCAACTCATAATTCATAGCCACAAAACGCATTATGGCATTAATGTTTAGAGGGTAGTAGTTAAGTCTTACAAGGATTGTCCAATTCCAAAAGTGCTAAATCGTGCTTAATTGAATAAGAATAATGTTAACAAACGAACCCAATTACAGATTCCACTATTCCCATATTATTTGTTTTACAGTTATAAAAACTCAATTCTCACGTTTTCTAAACCCTAAAAACGGAGCCAAAATTAATCTATGCACGCATCTTAATCATACTCAACCAATATCATCAACATCGGTTCTATTCAACCTTCGACTATAAATCAAATAGGGACTAAACCTCATGTTTCAACTCATTCGTACCTAAATACAAAGTTCAACTAAAATAACAAAACAGCCAATAATTAACAGTATGGCCAAAATTATAGAACTACCAATCACGAACAAAAGTTTTCCACAGCATAAAACATGAACCGATAACCAAAACAAATCTGCAAAAACACCTTTTTTCTTTTCCTCTCTTCGAAAAGGAATACCTCAACGGTAAGACTTCTGAAACCTAGCGCGAGCGCCACGACCACCGAACTTCTTGGGCTCGCAGCGCCTGGGATCAGCAACAAGCAAGGTGCGATCGTATCGTACGAGGATGTCCTTGATCTCCTTCTTGCTCTGTTCATCAACGTACTTCTGGTAGAACGCAACGAGAGCCTTCGCAATGCTTTGGCGAATAGCGTAAATCTGTGAGGTGTGGCCACCGCCTTTCACGCGGATTCGCATGTCAACGCCGGCGAACCGGTGCTTCCCCAATAGAAGGATGGGTTCGAAGGCCTTGAACCGGAGAATTTCTGGTTCGATCAGCTCGATGGGGCAACCGTTGATCTTGATCAAGCCGCGACCGCGCTTGCAGTATGTGACGGCCACTGCGGTTTTCTTGCGACCGAAACATTGAACCTGTTGGAGCTCTTTTGCCTGCGCCATTGTTGTTTGTTGCTGCAAAAACCCTAATTCTGCGCAGGGAGGGAACTAGGGTAAGGTTGGAGAGGAACCTTATATATGGTGTGAGGGATTTTTTTTTTAATAGCAATTTTTTTAAAAAAATTTGTGCATGATACAAATATAGTCAGTTTTTATTAAAAAAATTATAACATTTAATAATATCAATACATTGAATTACATTAATTTTTATAATTTTTCACAAAATCTTAATATATACAATACTTTAATATAAATAATATTTCACATGTTAAAAAAATGGTTTAAAAAATTATAAAAGAAAATTATTAATAATTTTCACTTTTTTAAATGTGTTTAATGACATACAAGAATAATATGTATGATAATTTTTTTATTTTAAATTATAAGATTTAATGTATTAATGATATTATATACTATAATTTTTTATGAAAAATTTATTATTTGATATTTTTCTATTATATATCCTAGAATTTATCATTAAAAATTATATATTTTTACTCTATTTTTAATAAAATAATATTTATAATTTTTTAAAATGAATATCATTAAAGCATTTGTAAGATTACTATTTAAGAAATGATAGAATATTTAAATATAGGTGTAATAGTATTATAAATAATTTTTAGTATTTTTTAATTAAAATTTATATTTTATTTTAATAATATATATAAAATTTTATTATATGATTTATTGTAAAAAAATTAATTTGAATAAAAAATAATATTAAAATCAAATATAATATTTTACCTAAATTTTCTGCATTTTATATTTAGTTAGTGTTTACCCTGGAGTAGTAGGAATCTAAATCAATGTAGTTTATAATTTTGATTCAATTGTAAAGCAAACAAATTTTAGAGGACCAAATATTTTTTAGCCATTTATTTGAAAGTCATGAAATTTTGGAACCAAAATTATAATTATTCCAAATATTCATAAAATTTGTTTCAAATGTTTGAGCATATCTATCTATATTGATTGATTTCTCTCTTATTTGAATTTATAATAGTTACAATACATAAAAAGACACTGAATAGTCAATAGAAGAACTGGTGTGGAAGTGTGTAGAGTAACTTTAAAAAAGTTTCTAATCAAATAAATGCAGTAGAGTCGACATAGTAGAAATTAGAAAATGACATATCGGAGACCTATTAAATGCAGTAGAGACTTATTTGATATTTGATTGAGTTTTTTTTTTTTTTTTTTAAATTAATACTATTTACTGCTAAAGAGGGTTAGCTTGCTATGATATTCATGGATTTCCTAAGCAATTGAGGAAGTCCAAGAATGTAAGTGTTTTAAAATTTGCATACATCACAATCATGCATGCCATAGTCACCAAAGAGAATGGTTCCATCAGTAGATGGCGGAGCTTAGAGTAGATGTTCCAATTTTCATCCTTCCTCAAGGTCAATCTTAATCATGGTAGCTCTAGTGGATATGAGCTGCCAATTATAATGGCAAATGAGCCAAAATTATAGATTTTTTCTGTTGCATTTAGTTGAGCAGTGATTTGGTTGTGCCCGTGTGTCACTAAGGCATAGTAGACAGATAGGACAAACAACTTGGTTTTGATCTCTTTGAAAACCTCACATGATTGTTGATTTTGTAGTGAATTTATGGAGGCCCTAAGTGAGGCTTTGTCTCTAATTTGGAAGCCCCTTATTTACCTGCTTGATGATTGTACTAAAAACATTTATAGTTAGACAGCTTGGTCCAAAGGATATTGGAAAGTATGGTGGCACAAGGACAAGCATTAAATTTCATGAGCCCCACTGCACCGGTCTGAAACACATCAGTGATGGGTTATGTAAAAGGGTTAACGAATTAGGCTGCAAGAAAATAGTACCTATAGCTTTTATTATTCCAATTTTTGCACTTTTACTCTCTAGATTACTTTCTAACATTAAATGGCAGACTTAGATTCCAAAGAAAAAGAAGCTGAAGGAACCAAAAAAGAAAGAAAGCAGATGGGTGGAAAGAAAGAGGAAATAAATTCTAAGAGAGACAAGTGAATGAGGGTTGGATAGCACTAGCACATCATGTACTGATAGCACATGGTTGTTGCAGTTACTGCTTTTTACCGGAGAGGCAGATATAATGGTCCCAAAAGACCAGGAGTTAGTGGACCACCATGCAAATTGTTTAATGATTTTGTTGGTTGATCAACAGGAGAGGAATTTTGAGCTAGAGAAATAATCATATCTTATTTTGTCACTATCTTGCAGTATTAGAACATAGGGGAATCATAAAGACAATGGTGCTCTACCTTAAGCGCTTAAAATCCTTACAATGAGTAGCAGTACATAAAACAAATGCTGATGAAAAGGAAATGTAGCAATGCCATAATTTTAAGCAACTAGGAACAAATGCTGCATCTATGATTAAGATGGGTTGCTTCTTTATTGTTATAGTAAATGTTGATTTGGATTGACACAATCCTGACTCAAGTTCTAGTTAATGAGTCAAAGGGCCCATACAAACACCAAGGGAAACAAATTCTATCAATATCATCAATGTTTGTGCAATATATTGAGAAGATGAAAAGCAGAAAACACAAAAAAGAAGAAATGGAAGTATTAGGGAGAACATAAGTTTTATAACATCTAATAGCCAAATAGATTAACAAGATGACTGAATCTTTGTACAACAACATCATAATTCATCCGGGGAGAAAAAAATTAAGTGCAAAAGAACTCAAAATTACACCATATCACTCTTATCACTTATGTCCAAATCTTCATCGTGCATTACCGCTTCATTCTTCCCAAAAATCTTGGAGGGTGCTGCAAATCTAGCTGAGAATGAACGAGAAACATTATCAGGGTCGGTGGAATAGCCATCATCGAAGTTCTGTAAGTAGGAGCTAGGATCGTATTGGACATGAAACACAGTTGAAGGTCTAAAAAATCTTCTCTTTTCTCTCTTGATCTTCCTCCACAACGTTTTCCAGCTTGCCATCTTCAATCTTGTCACAAATTCGTTGACACACACAATGGGATCGTAGCCAATTCTCTCATAACTCGGCCAAGTGCTATTGCTTAGACAGGGATAATTTTCAAGGTTCATGGTGTATAGAACAAAGAACCTTGGGAGCATAAAATACTTTAGGAGACCAAGGTGTTTGAAGTGCATGCACCAAGGCTATTTATATAATGACACCATGAACCCCTCCTTTTTATTATCCCATCACCACCACCTCAGCACAGCACGTACTTTGAATGGGATAGGATCAAGAGAAAAGAGTAAAATGAAATGCTATAATTCAGCAATATTAATAATTCCTTGTCATGTCAGCAATTGAAATTGCTATTATATGATTTTTTTTAAATGTAATTCTATGTTGTCACATGGGGCGTGGTTTGTTCAGTAAGTTACTTTGGAGAAAGATAAATAATGCTTTGACCAAAAAAAAAAAAAAAACACCTATGTCCTAACCTACGTGTTTGATGTGCCAAATGTTATAAACAATGTTTCCACAATAATAGTTTTTGTATTTTCAGTTTCTTAGGGAGTTCAAAACAAAATATAACCCAGGAAATAAGCAACGATTTGAGGAATTCTTATGTTTTTTGAGTCCATTGTAAGGTCACCATATTATAAATAAACGTTGGTCGGTGCTTAAGCATTAGATTTTAGGACATAATTTTAATTTTTAAATCTATTTAACCCTTTGTAAGCTCGTTTCGTTTGTGGTGTTCATTTCACTATGACATTAATTTTTTTATTTTTATTTTTAAGTCATCTATCAAAGTAACTGTGTGCCACTAAACCCATTGGCCCACTCTCTTCTCTCATTACCCTTTTTCCCTTCTTTCTATTGGCCACCACATTATGCTGCTGCTTCGGAAAGTTATTTTAGCATTGTTCGGAGATAAGGGGGAAAAGATGAAGTTGATGAAGAAGAAAGTAATAAGACTGCAATGATTCATGCACAAAAAAAGAGTTATCTCATATAGCTCTCAAAAGTTTGTTGGGCCATTAATTGGGAGGGAAAAAAAGAACGATGAAAAAAGAAGGTGGTGATGAAAATTTTATGAGACTTTTGAGGCATGTTGTTTCTGTAAGTAACAAAACTGAAAGTAAAATTAAAAGCCAAAGTTATATTAAAAGATTGCAGAAAAGTTTGGGGTTTTGTATAGTTTTCCATATACATTTGCTTATTTTTTAATTAAATGCCCAAATTAGAGATAAGAAAATTAAATACCCAAATGTATTTATTATTATCTTTTTTTCTTTATTTTCTACGTTCACAAATAAAAGGAATAGTGAAAACTGAACAAGATATATGATGTTTCCCCAATTTCTTACACAAGACTTTAGAATAGAAAATAAACAAAACTGAAATTATGTTTTTTATTATTATGTATAAAAAAACATATTTTAAAACCAAACTTGTCCTTATTTTCTACATTCACATTTTCAATAATTTTATTTTCAATTTCCCCTTTTTCTTTTCAGCATTAGGGATGGCAATGGGTAGGGTACTATAGTACCCATCCCCATACCCGCATTTTAAAAAAATATCCGTACCCAGCCCCATACCCGCGTGGGTATGAACATTAATCCCCGTACCCGTACCCTCTGGGTACCCGCATACCCATCTTTTATCCATTACCCGCGCTTGTTTGAGAAAAAAATATTTATAAAGAAAAATATGTTTATATAATTTCATATAAATAGTATAATAATATAAAAATTTAATATGTAGTTGTCGAATAAGGTACAATCATAGATGAAAAAGCAAATATTCAAATATCACAAGTGCTAAATGTATCTTAATATAATAATTTTCTAAACTAAAATTCTTAGAAATAATAAGCGAAACTAAATGCAGAAGTTATTTGTTGGCGATAACCCTATCTTGTGTGAGATTCGATCAATCAGCAACGTCAAAACGACAGTGAAATAGATCTGCACAATGGGTGACCTTTCGTGTGGGAAGTGGGATCACTTGGTGACATCTTGTGGCGACATTGACAACTAACTCTAATGAATAACGTTTCATAGTTGTTATGTTTTAATGAGACAAACATTGAGAATAAGAATAAAGTTAGGGTCAGTTCAAGTACTAACAAAGAAAAGTGGATATATAAAATATTTTTTTTGACTTTTAAATTTGAAATTGTAAGAAAAATAATAGATTTAATTAAAATAATATAATATAATTAATGTATATATATATATATATATTAATAATAGTATTTTAAACTCATATACTACATAGAGTATTTTGCCAAAAATATAAATTTTTAAAAAATTATTTTAATGAATTAAATATTTATTTAATGTATATAAATTTTAAAAGAAAAAATTTGAATAAAAGATAAATGGTCACCATAAAATTTTATAATAAAGAAATATATGTGTATATAAACAAATTATACTTTTTTATATGAAGAAGAAATTAACAAATAAAAATTAACAATAATTTTTATATTTTATATTTTTTTAAAAATTTCTTTGAACATAAATAAATAGTAAAAATAATACATAGAGTATTTTGCCAAAAATATAAATTTTTAAAAAATTATTTTAATGAATTAAATATTTATTTAATGTATATAAATTTTAAAAAAAAAAATTTGAATAAAAGATAAATGGTCACCATAAAATTTTATAATAAAGAAATATATGTGTATATAAACAAATTATACTTTTTTATATGAAGAAGAAATTAACAAATAAAAATTAACAATAATTTTTTATATTTTATATTTTATTTAAAATTTCTTTGAACATAAATAAATAGTAAAAATAATATTATTTAGATTCAATAGATTATAGTTGTGCTTATTATACATATGTTACATAGAAAATATTATTTTAAATTAAAATATAAAAATAAAATTTAAATATTATCAATAAATAATAAATTTATGATAATAGTAGGTGATTGTAAAATTTATAAAATATTTACAATGTGTTTATTATTTGTCATTTACTTTATGATTTAAATATGAATATGATTTTATTAACAAAAATATTTGTGTAAAAAAAATTTTATGTGTGTCATATATAAATAATATTTAAAAAAAAATCAATCTCATATCAACTATATAATAATTAAATAATATAAAAAATTATTTATGTGTGTCATATATAAATAATATTTTTTTTAAAAAATCAATCTCATATCAACTATATAATAATTAAATAATATAAAATAGTAAATAAATTTTTTAGTTTACTTTATTATTAAATATATTTTTATATTAATCTTTTATAACTTCACATGTAATATAATAATACAAAAATTCAATGCATAATTGTAGAGCAAAATTCAAACATACATATATATATATATATATATATATATATGCGGGTATGAGGCGAGGTGGGTACTTAGATACCCATCCTCGCACCCATCTCCGTTAAAATTTGCAGATTTTTACCCACACTCATACCCGTACCCATAAAGCGGGTAAATACCCTACCTATTGTGGGTAAATTTTGCGGGTGTCCATTGGGTACTTTACCCGTTGCCATTCCTATTCAGCATTGCTAATCAAATCCTAGATGTGAAGAAAATTATACTGAATGGAATAACATTTTGTTACAATTTTGATCGAAAACAAGATTGATCTATCTCATGAATCACCACCCCGGCACTCCATGCATGCTGCTTCCTTGGCCTTGACCACCTTTACTCAAAGGAAAGCTAATAGGACTATTTGGAAAGGATTATTGCCAAAAAGTAAAAAAAAGAAAAGAGTGCCCCTCAAAAAGTTTAATGGGCCATTAATTTGGAAAAGAAAAAGAACAAAGAATGTGGTGACGAGAATTTTATGAGATTTCAGACTTAACGAGAAAAGTTATTTGTGTAAATAACAAAACAGAAAGTAAAAAGTGAAAATAATACAAATTGGAATTATTATACGATAGCATTATTATGCTTATTAATAAAATAAAAAATAAAAACAACAAATATTTATGGTATGAGATTATTTCAACTTAGCCTCTAATCTCAATTTTGAATGATTTTTTCAACTAAACTGACTATTTCCATGATGGAATTTTTAGCCACTGTTACAACAAAGATCATAAAATACAATCATTGCAAATTGCAATTGTGGTAACAGCTACTAACATTATCTTAGAAACCGTGGCGCTTTACATTGATCCATCCGAATTTGAATTACGTTATACATGCATGTATACATATTGAGGAAGACTAACATCTTTGGAGTCTTCACCTCATGGTTAGAGAGCGTTTGTGGTTAATCCTTCAGTTCATAATTGAAATCATAAGCAGAGTGAGTACAAGAGAAGGTGATTCATTGAAAAAGCAAAGACAATAATATATCCACAGACCCCACTAAGGCAAATTCTATTACAGTGTAAGCTTACCTTATGAAGACAGTGTTGACTAACAATTGAACGGTTTTTTGTATTGATCAAAATCTCACATGACAGTATTACCTGTTGGGATATCAAGAGACAGAAAGCATCAACAAATTTAATGTATCAGGTGCAGATTGCAGTGTGCAAGTTCTCCAAATGAAGATCTTAGGTTTCAACTCCTCAGTGTGAAAGTTTTACATGCATTTGGTTTCTCCAATTTTTAGCTCAAAACTTTTGGTATTAGTGACCAAGCACCACTATAAGTTCATTTTTAATAAAATAAATAAATTATGAAAGTGAACAAATTTAAAAATTAAATCTATATGGATATTTTGCAAAAAAATAAATAAATACAAAATATAGAAACTCATGGCGATTTTTGAATAAAGTTAATTAATTTAAAATGTGTTATTCTCAGTTTTTGAATTCCATAGAAGTAGCTAATTTTATATAAAAATTTTAATTTTAGAAATTAATAATTTTATTAAAAAATCTCTATTGATGATTTTTAAATTTTTTTTAAATCTCATATTTTTGTATATTATTGTTAAATATCATATATATAAAAAAGCCTAATCTATAAGCGTTTAAATAGTATTTCATTATTTATTTTCTCTCTATCAAATTATATTAATTATCATATTTATAAATCTTCTTTATTTATGTGTAGACACTTCTATAGATAATTTTTTAAAATATTTTTGAATTAAAAAGAACATCAAGATTTTTTTGCCAAGAGTTACACTAGTTACATAGACTCTCTTTTACAAGAACAATCCTACAAAGATATTCTATCTAACCTTGCCCATGAGTTTATAAAGACATGTTTTTAATTAAATATTTTTTCAAATTATTTATTATTTTAAAATCAATTTTTTTGCATAAATACAATCAATAGAAATTTAAAAAAATGAAGAGTAATTTTTTCTAAAATATCAATCACAATTAATTAAAAAGAAAATGAAGGATGTGATATTAATATTTAAAAATAAAAAAAGTGATGAAGAATACCTTGAAAGTAAGAGGAAAATGAAATAAGAAAAAGCCAAGTTGGCCAGTGACCTCCGTAACGGTGTGAAAGTAAACCCTACCCTTTGCGAGATCCTCCAACAAATGGGCCACTTCAGACGCGGGAAGCCCACTAAACTCCAAGTCACCATCCACGTGGGAGAATCCCCACCCTCTCACGTGCCAACCCTCAGACTCCACGTGACCAAGCTTCTTCCCTCTGTACCTTATTCCCACATCAACCTCTCTCAGCTCCAACCAGTAAACAGCACGGTTCCGCACTCTAACCGTCACCGACATCATTACGTCAGCACCGATCGGCGGTAATGGATGCAACTTCACCCGCTTCACCGTCAGCCGTTCGATCTTCAGCTCTGGATCCGATGGCCACACCATGTACGCGCACGCCAGACACACTGCCAGAGCCACCGTCCACTTCAAGCAGCAATACCGCGGTAAAACGACGTAGCTTCCGATATGTTTTGCCTTCGCCATGGATTTTTAAAGAAGCAATCACGAACTATGGTTGATTGCTGAGGTGAGTTTGGCTTTGTTTTGTGGTTATAATATAATGCTTTGTTATGGTTTTCTTTCATCAACATTGGTAATGCTTTGTGTTGTACGTGTATACCAGGGCGTAGAGGAAGGGCTTTTCTGGTTTTGTTTGAATGCCTGTTTCTGTGTTTCTTTGTTTTGGTGCGCGAAATTGTGGTCGAGCTTCCTATTTTGTATGCCCTGTGCGTATCCAGTGTTCGTTTCCGGGTAAAATTTGCCTAGAGAAACACTGTAGGCTTAGATTTATTTATAAAACACGAAAATAACGGGAGTTTCACTCTTAATTTTATTTTATTTAATTTAACGATTAATTTTGTAATTCTCAATACATTTTAACTAACAACAAAAAAGTACGATCCTAGTGTTCTCTCGACTTTTCTTATGCTTAAAGTGCCACTTAGAACAGATTTTGCCGTTTCACAGCATTTTATTTTACATCTTAAAGCAATATTCTTGAGTTTAAGATTATAAATTTTAATCATACTGCTAAAAGCGATGGAATTGCAGTACCTAATTGGAAATTCTATTGTTTTTATAATCAGGACTTTTAACCTGACTCTGACGCACTCAGACGCTATTAGATAAACTACTGTAATTAAATATAAAAAACATTAAATTAATTCAAATAAATGTTATGAGCTGCATAATGCACACTGGATGAGAAAGATTTGCTGCTTTAGCTAGAGCCATGACCATGACATGCTTCAGCCCTCGAGTTAGCAATGTTTGCAGTTTGTGGGGCCCTTAATAAAATCTAATAGTTACTTGATGGAGATCATCCCGGAAGAATAGAGATTAATAGGAACACTATCGATGGTTATTTAAATTGGAAAAACCTATAAAAATTGGACAAACTAACAGTCAACGCTCAACAGAACTACCAGTCTCTATCCTCCTTCCGCGTGTAGTTTCCAATGAAGAATTTGGTTAGTAGTTTCTTTGATCTATAACACTCTCCTTCGTAAAATTCTCTTCCTTTTTGTGTAGCATTTACAACTTTGTCCAACCAAGCGGTATGGCAAGGTATTGGACAGGGAATAGGATCATCTAAGCCAAACTGGTGGGTACTGTCTTACCTTATACCGCAGGTTTTCAGTCATTTTTTTTGTCAACTATACTCCTGTTCTTCCCCTTCCATGTATTCCTAAATCCTAGCCCTGAAATGATTATTATATTCACATGAATACTTATGCAAAAAGGCATTATATTTCTTGTTATTTAAACATTTTACCTGTCCATTACAAATAACAGGTTCACAGATATATAGAGCACACCTTCTCTGGCCTTCCTCATTAGTTGTCTAATATAGGAGTGCTACATTTAATTTGGACTTTTAAGCACCATATTTGATCCAAATTTTCACCCTTTTTCTTCTCTTGACTTCTTCTAGGTGCTTCTTAGGGATGTGGGAACTGGGAAGACCAGTTTGGCATTAAGATTTGTAAAAGGCCTATTCTTTCATGACCAGGTTTACTTCCATTCGATTTCACCAATCAAAAGTTGCTTGCTTCTTTCATATCAGTTTACCACCAACATGACAACCGGTACAGTTTGGGAACCTTGACATTAATTTGCATCCAGGAACCAATCATAGGAGCAGCATTTTTCACTCAAATATTATCATTATCTGAAGCTACTGTAAAGTTCGACATATGGGACACGGCAGGACAAGAGAGATACCATAGTTTGGCTCCAATGTACTACCGTGGTGCAGCAGCAGCAATTGTTGTATATGACATCTCAAGCTTTGTAAGTTTTCAGTTTGTTAAATTCAAAAATATTTGGCAATTCCTGTGTTATGAGAAGTCTCTATTGTCTATATTATACAAAACTTGGATTCTAATTAAATATTGTTTACGATCATTATCTATCTTAAAGTTAAAGGACCATTTGTGTTAAAAGAACCAAATAGTGACCCAAATGACGTTTGCCCCGCCATTCCAGGTCAACTTCAAAAAAGCTCTAGAGAAATATCAATATTATGCGCTGTTAAATCCTGTGATATAACAGAGTAATAAGAACTTTTGCCTCTAAGAAAATATAATTAAGAAAAAAATTATTTTCTGCATATTACAAGTATGTTAAACTTGTAAGATCGTCTACAGGCCATAATAATTGTCGGGGGAAAATGTGATTTCATGCTTGATGTACTCGTTCTTCAATTCTGTTGGTAACCTCACTTACGAGAAGGAAAATAATAAAAGCTACTTCATTAGATCCATATTTAGGAACAAATTCTCATTTCTTTCATTCACATGAATCTTAAAAACTTTTCTAATTGTAGTTATTTTATCTTTTTTTTTCTTTTTCAGAATACATTTGATAGGGCCCAAAAATGGGTTCAAGAGTTGCAAAGACATGGTATTGAGTACAGGAAATAGTTTGCTCTAAGCAGAGCCATGGTTTCTTCATGAATTGCATGCTTTGTATCTTTCTTTCATCACAATTTTCATAACCGTCTACTGATCTCAGCGGTTACAAACATTTTGACTTGATGCATTTTACTATATTTCCACGTGAAACCTCCATCCTTTTCGCACCCCTTTGTCCTCCTCATTTTGATAAATAACAGGAAGTTCATATTCAAGCGTTTAATTCTTGTCTTGGAATAGTAAAATTGTAACTACTGTTTGTAGGAAGTCCAAAGTTGGTGATGGCGTTGGTAGCAAACAAATCTGATTTAGAGCCAAAGAGAGAGGTTGAAACTGAGGTATTGTTGAGATCATCTTCCCATTCTGCCCCTAGGCTCCTTTCGTTTACTTGAAATATAAAAATGCAAATTATTTTCCTAAATGTATAGAATAATAACTATTTGGGGGTACTCTGATTCTTTTACTAACAAGCCATCCAGTCCTAAGTTTTTTGTTTCTGAATTCTGAACCCAGTTTTTGTTACGTATTGCACTTCTCCATTACTCTCTTTTCCTTATCCTTTTCAATGTAACTTATTTTACTAAACTAAATTACTGCAGCAAGGGGAGCAATTTGCGCAAAAAAATGGAATGTTCTACATGGAAACGTCTGCTAAGAGTGCAGAAGACATCAATGAGCTTTTCAATGAAATAGGTAAAATGGTAAAAGCTGAACGTAATTTAAACACTTTTGATATTTGGATCGATAGATCATTTTCCTATTTATCTTTAAGAAGATATAGCAGCAATATCAAGTAGTTGTTCCTGTTTGCTCAATGCAGCGCGTAGGCTAACAAGAGCACTTCCCCCAAAGCCAACGGGGGATGAATTTGAAAAATGGAATGCAGGATAGGAGAACGAAATTTTTCTGTTGCTCTGCTCGACATCCCCATGTAATCAAATTGTAGACTCACTGGATAACCAATGGTATCTGTATGAAAAACCTTCTTAATTCAGTCCATGTATATAATCATTTTCAATACCAATTGAAAACAATTGTAACGTGTAAGCGTTAGAAGATATAATGGGTGTTTAGAAATTCACTAAAATCACGTTAAAACTTTAACGTAAGAGCTGTAATCTTTAATGTAAAAATTTATTTAAATTTGAGCGGATTCTACGTCAATTCAAGCATAATATTTCTGATCCTTATTTGCGACACGCGTTTTCAATTTAGACCCAGCACTTCACTGTGTTACACTCTCGTTGTGTCATTTCTGATGCCTAGTACTTTTGGCCGGCTGTGTTTGAGGATACTTACACCAACTACAAATACGCAGCTGAAAGGCTAAAAGCAAAATCATCGACAACGTAAAAAATTGGGATTTCACGATACATAATGGACATCAATGCATTAAACTTCCAAAATTTGCAATTATATGATAACTTTATTTTCTTTTACGCCATGTATAATTTTCCTGGCTCTCCCCAACCAAAGAGATATAAAGAACTAGTATAATATTTAACATGCATCCTACCCAGAAGGACCAAAAACTGAAAGTAAAAGTTACATGCTCCAATCCATTCTCATGAGGAGTCCTGCCTTGAACTTAGTTTTTGTTATAAGGACCTTAATTCAATGTACATTTTGGAACATTCAAGAGAAAAATCTGACATAGCCCTAAAAAGCTCCGGCAACTGATTTTTTAGACTCACCAAAGTTTTTTGCCTAACCTGTAGGCAGTGTTTTGCATAGGCTTCTTCCTCTTCATCCAATCTCTTCTTCATTAATTCAACCAAAAGTTGCTTCTCTTTAACAACCTCATCAGAATCATCATTACCACCTGGCCTATCTCGATCAAACTCATCTGGCATTCTCTTTTGCTTATACTTGTGCTCCCAGTCATTAAACTGCTTTCTTTTGCGTGAATACTCCTTTTGTGTCTCCTCACATTTTTTCTTTAAAACCTTCTCTTCTTCTTGCTGGTGGAAAATAGTATCTACCACAGCAGCAAAGTTAGCTATGGCTGTCCTAGCAAGCTCATCAGGAAGTTTTTCTAGTTGATCTTGCCAAGCATGGAGAAGGCTTCGTATGGGAGGACTTTTAACTCTTGGTGGTGAAGAAATATTTTCCTTGAGATCACTCTCAATAGGGATAAGATTCAGTCTTAACCAACTGTTTAGGGCCTTTATGTATCCCTTTTGATTGTTTATTAGCTTCTCAAACTGTGACTGCCACTCTTGCACAACAATCAGTAACTGGTATGTTCTATCATGATGTTGTTCGCTTGTTTCAGTACAAGACTCAGAAATATCCAGCGATCTCATTAACATCACAATACTTGATTGCCGCTCATGGTGTGCCCGCATCCTTTCCCACATTGTGGCCATCCTGCATTCATACAAAACCACCAAGTGTTATTTTATATTAAGCTTCTCACTAGCAAAACACGTCCCCATGTTTACAAGATCAGCCAAGTAAGGTTATAAAACTTAATTATAAAACCACCCAAATGGGGAAAATGTAAAATTTTTAGAGAATCAAAACTTTATTAAACAATTATAAATATAATAGCTCACCCTTGAACAAGCTGAACAAGTTTTGGGTACAGCCGTTGATCACGTAAATGGTTAATCTCAGAGACAGTTGAATCCATGGATTGCATATCCACAATGTAGGTCGTATGCAAATGACTAACGGTTGCTTTTGCTTTCTGCAAAGCTTCCGAGTTTGTTCCTCTTTCCTTGAGCTTGTGAAGCGCCGCTACCTTTCTTTGGTACTCAAATTTCTTTATCTCAGCAGCCTATCCAACAATAATACTACTACTCAGCAACTGTTAGAATAGATGAAGCTAACCAGTGTTGTAGAAGGACTAGTTAAGAAATCAATGAATCATAATTTTTTATTAAAAATTAAATTGGAAGGCATTAAAAAACATGAGAGCGAGTGTATTTTTGCATCTTCCAACAAAACATTTCTATTTTGAATTCCTAGTGTCTTAAGGGCCCGAGGCAGTATTTTCCTCAATGAAATATCCAAAAATATTATCTTACCATATCTTAGATTATCCAAAAATTCAGAACACAAAATATGTGGACCCCTTTGTAGCTAGCTACTTGATTCAATGCCACAGATAAAACGAGAGAAATTCTAATACACTTTTTAACACATTTTCTGTCATTGGCTATTTATTGAAAATTACAAATAATGTGAGTTCTAGTCCTTATGGACTCAACTTACCTTAACTTCATCATAAAGTTTTTTTTCCCATGCTTGCAACTTGTCCAAGACAGTAGCAAGAGTTTCATGCTTCTCCGAGTCAAAGTCATCTTTTGCATCATCCGAATTAGGTATCCCTCTAAAGGATCGATTCCATGTAATAACTTGCATCACCTTCGCAGAATGATCAATGTGTCCTTCAAAAACAAAAGGTATCATTATAGTAATTCAAATTGAAGGATCAATACACTTAATTTTTTTATGTATAAAAAAGGTCATTAATTAATTACTTTACCTGTGTTATCAGCAAAATTGGAATGATAGTGGAGACGCGTGGCCTCAAGCATCTTTGAAACCTCACGAGCACTCTCTGAAGCCTTAAGAAAATGATCGTCCAAATCAGCAAATATCTGAAGAAGATTCACACTCTGTTTCCCTTTCAATCCCTTCCCCGATGATGACGTCACAGCACCCTCGTTTCTCACAATGTCCTCAGAGTTTTCTGCTACCTTCCTCTGAACCTCCACCTCCTTATTCAAACGACGTCGTTCAACGTCTGCATCCCTCAAAGCACCGTTCTTCTCCGACGACGGGAACAAATACTCAAAAGCAGCGTGCTGTTGCATGGGATTATCCGACGGAGCAGACCCAACCTCGTCTCCTTCTTCCTCTTCCTCTTCGATTATGGTTCCGACAGGGCCGGATTCGGAGGCGATGGGCTTGATCTCAGGCATGGTGGCGGAGCGGCGGAGAGGGGCGGGGAAATCCGGGAGCGGAGGAGGAGGGAGGGGAATTTCGAAGGCGGCTGCGGAAGAGGAAGGTAGAGGAAAGTGAGGGTTTCGGAGCTCTCCCTGAGCAAAGTCGACGAGGGCGGCGCCGGTGTTCTTGAGGTAGGTGGCGTAGGAGGAGTGTGCGGCGGCGAATGCGTTACGTAACGAAACTGCATGCTTCATGCACTGTTTGCGGTCCTTGCAACGTGCCACTGTTTCTTCGTTCTCCATCTTCGATTGGGAACAACCCATTTTACTTAATCAATGATCGTCAAGAAGAAGAAGAAGAAGAAGTGACTCGGTTTCGTTTTTTTTTTTTTTTTTTTGTGGAGCTGTAAAGTTGAACGCTGGGACAGTGTAGCCCCCAACAACTTCCCCGTTAAGGGAACTAAACGACGGCGTTTTCTTTGGAACATTCTGGAAGCTGATGGCGGCGTCGAGCCTAGAACACGCCATTGATTTCACTTACTAAGTTGGACTCAGAATCTCACTTTTTTGGAGTACCAAAGTAATGCTTCCTTGCTTGCTTTTATCTGCCCAACAACTTGCCACTTAAGGCAACTAAACGACGCCGTTTTCCAGCATTAACCTATGACTTGGGCCTGTTGGGCTATAACACAGTGCCAGCAAAATTGTTTCCTTGGTTGGAAGCATGAGCAGCCCATGGACTCAACTTTTTAATGGACTTTGATTTTCGATTTAAATAAATAGTCATATTAGTTGACCAAAATAATAATAATCACATTAGAAAGGACGACTAAAGTATTTGCAGTTGTAATGATAAAAAATAAGATTTGTTATATCTTAATGTTTAATAAGATAAAAAATGATTTTTAATATATTGAAAATATAAAATTTATTAATTATTTTTATTTAATCACTAAGATGATTGACTAGGAGGAATTGAAATTATATTAAGCATAATTGAATTGAAACAACTTTATTCTATTCTACTTCATGAATGCATGAAAGCTGACACTTAGCTTAGCTATTATTATATATCCTAATGAAAAATGAAAAGCAGTTACGAAGAAACGAAGTTCTTAGTTATTATATATATCCTATAATCTGACATTCATATTACAACTTTACATTTACAACAATGTGATTTAAATCCTAAACTTCACATACAGGGAAATGGACAAGAATGATGAATCTAAGAATGCTGAAACAGGACATAAAAATATCCTAGATAACATGAAATTTGTCAATTGTTTACATAAAAGAATAACCAATGAATAATGAGAACGAGAAAGTTTTGGTGCTAGTCAACTTGTTTCTTACTCTTTCTGAGAGCTAAAAGAAAAGCTACTAAATCATCATAATCGGGTAGATTAGGATGTACATGCCTCGCGCCAACCCGCATTCCTGTTTCTAAGGAAATTGTTCGTACATGCCCTTTTGATGTTTCCACTGCATTAGTGGGTTCATTAGGAAGAGATGTTCCTCTGACATGTGATATTGTTGTATAACTTGTGTTTTGCCCAGTGTCATCTTCTGGTTGTCGAGAAATAGAAGCTTTTTCTTTGCCCAATTTCATTCCACCAGAATCTAGTTTTGCAGCATCATGAATTTTAGAACCAGAAACACTGTCTTGGTCAGGTACAGATTTGATAGGTCTCCTTCTTACTGATCTGGGTGTTGTCTTATTTTTAACAACCGGGTCATGAAGATTCTGGTTTGATTCCATTTTCGGTTGAGCCTCAGAATATGTTGTTTTCTTTGAAACTTTTTCACCTTTGTTAGTATTTTTTTTGAGGTAAGGGGGTGGAATGAGCGAATAGGAAATTGGCCTATTAGTTTCTACTTCATCCTCAGATACGCTTCCCAATGAACTAGAACTACCCTTTTGGCCATCATGGGATGAAAATGACATGCCTGTGCTGGTTTCATCATCACTATTGCTTTGGTGTATCCATGAGTCATCATTGAAATCCCACTCTAGAGAGAACTCTTGTGCTATATCATATAATAATTGATTCTTCATTTCGCTTGTTGGCGGATTTCCCCTTAACTTCTCAACAAACTGAGGAAAAGCAATTATTTAAGTTAGCTTTGAAAACAAAAGATGTCCTGAAGAAAATAATTTATCTTTATGATCAACAAGATTTTTAATTTATGCATAAATATGTGCTATTAGAGTGGAGTCTTTGGCTTACCTCTTCATTTATATAAGGTTCAAGATCATTCCCAAATTTCTCGGTAAATAAAGTTCTGAGGTCACGCAATTCTGGCAGATCAGCTAATCTTGCTGCAGCATACATCAATGAAGGTACAGCTTCCTTGCATTCATCAGGGCAATCCCTATTTAACAAGGTTCAAAGATTGTCAGCATACACTATTGTTAATGCCTTGTAGTAGTAAATAAAAACAGAACCTACTTCTGCTTTGTTAGTTCTTCAAGATTATCTGATATGCATCCAATAAACTTTTCAATGAGCTCATAGCAGGATAACATATTTTGCTCCGACAGAAGACCTTCAGCCTGTTTCAAGTGAAGCAACATACAACCCCGTGTCATATGCATAGAATGTTAAGAGTTTTGCATTAAAAAATGATTGCATCTCAAATTACATCTTCTTATAAAGTCATGCATCTTATATGCCAAATTTAGAGTACACATTATCCTATCTTCCCATATGAGGATCTGAAAGGATTACTAGTAGACATTATTTCATATTTACTATGTGATTCACACCAAAATTAAACCCAAAAAAACAAGACAAGAGATTTAGCAAGCAAACCATCTAATACAACGAGTAAACATTTACAAAATTCAAAACCACAATCCAAATATTACCCTTTTATGTGCATCATTGTCAAGGCCTCTCCTAAGAAGCTCAGCGATGTCACTCTTCATAAACTTCATCACTGCTCTCCTCCTCTTCTGTCGAATCTCTAGCCTTGTCTTTATAGTCTTAACGTACGATAAGCTTTTATATATATATTTTTTGAAAGTGAAATAAAAAACAACATTAGAATAATAGTAAAAAGACATGTTCCAAAGAAAAAGCTGAGGTCAGTGTCGTACCATTTTGAATAGAACCTTGGCTTCAGTAGCCACCGAAACATTTTGTCTCCGAGAATCTGAAGGAACCAAGTTAGCTGAAAAGGGAAAATGATTTTTGGTTGGTATCTTAGATGTTATGTTCTGCTTATATATAACTGCAAATTGAGAATGAACATCAAGTTACGCCAAGAATCAGCACAGAGAATACCTCAAAGAAAAGAAAGAAAGATATTGGTTATAGGAGAAGTTCTTCACAAGAGGTAAAACCTGAAACCTCACTATGAAAGAGACCAGAAAAAACGACCCAAGTGTAACGCAAAACGGCGAAAGAACGAAAAACGGTTCCTTGATTACCAAGGAGGAAAGAAACAACAAAGGGTCTCTGAAATGTGCAACAAAAACCAGCAAAAAATGTGGTGTATGATTGTTTGAAGCGTGATTGTTACGAGAGTTGTGAAGCTATAAGGCTTATATATTTAGGATGATGTGATTAATGATTAGAGTTCCCAAATTGGCAACCAAGAAACACAAATGTGAGACTAAAAAGTCAGTGGCAGATTGGTCAGAAACGGTTTTAACTGGAAGCTTGCTTGTGTTGTGTGACAGTTAAATGGAGGCTGTGACCAAAATAATCATTACTAAATTCAGTACTCTGTAAAACACTAAAATAGTTCCAATGTTTCCTAGTACTAAAGTTAATAAAAAGATTAGTTAAGGCTGAATTTAAATTACTGCTAATAATAGCATTTTATTAAAAAAAATATTTATTAATTTTTATAATCTTGATATAATAAATATAGTTTTTTAATAAAAAAAAATTCTTCCTTTTATATGTTTAAACTAACTCTAAAGACAAATGTTAACAAAATCTTAAAAGATATTATTAAAAAATGAAATTAGCATAACGTGGTTAGTTTTAATTTACGCTTGTACTATCAATAAAGATCTAGAAAATATATATCCATCAACTCAGGGAAAGGCCTGTAATAATGTATAAAGGGCAGTCATTTTCATTTTCTTTGAGAATAAATAGTAAATCCACATCGAAGTAATTTTTCAAGTTCTTTTTCTTGGGTCAATTTTGGCCATGAACAGTAGTCTTACATTCAAAATTGACTATAAGACTACATTTAACAAAGGTCGTGTAAGAAATAATATTAAATTCGGGAGTTGTTTGCTTGCTATCATGGTTAATTAAGGCTTCTAACTAGTTGAGATAACCATTCGGCATTCTCATTCGTCTTGAACTAAACCTCGAGAATCATATAACACTAAGGTATAATTGTAATCTATACACTACTCTATATATATATAATAGATAATACAAAGTTCAGTTCAACTGATAACATTACATGAACCAATACGGAATATTACTCTAATAATTGTTTTCTTGATAAAGGCATGCAGAAAGTGATGTATAATAAAGTGTTACAAGCAATGACAACGATTTGCCATAGTTGAGGAAAATGTGGGACAGGCACAGGAAGGGTATATCATTTATTTTATCAGATATTCTTTCGTTTCTTCTTCAGCAATTAATTAATATAATATTCGGAAAGGCTTGGGAAAATGTCACAAAGTCACGTTGGCGGTGAGTGAGTTGCGTTTGCGTGCTCCTTTGAATGAGAGAGACAACATAGTCAAATTGCATGGTGATGGTTGAAAAGATGCTTACTCTCTACAAACCAAGCTCAGCTATGAGCTAGCCTCCAAGGTGCGTGACCCTTGACTTGATCCTTCTTTATTCTTAAATTATGCTATATTATATCCCTTTTTTATTATTCACTTAATCACTTTACTTAATTGCCAAGAATACTCAGGCTTCCCAACCATGAATAACTAACACATGCAAAGTTCAAAAGCGTGCTAACTTTTGGGCACGATTTCAGGTTACTTTGTGATGAGGTTGTGTTAGGGGTAACACACTATATGATGGCTAATCAATTTGTTTCACATGAATTCACGGATAACATGGAGCAGGTTCTACTAAAACTCGATCACTTTACACAAAAATTATGGATCCCAATGAAGTTCAAGCAATCTTCTAAAGAGCTGAAAACTACGTGGAGTTTCATAAATAAGTATTGTGAGCTAAGTTGAGAATGCTCTTCGTGAGTTTATAAAGACTATGAGTTTTTTCATTATTGTTACTTCAACGATATATTTTGATTATTGTGTATAATTGTAAGTCGATCTTTTATAGATTCATTTTATTTCAGATGTGTTAATGAGTACAAAAGCAATTAGTATGGAAAACTCACAAATTGTAATCGATCTATTACATGACAGCATTGCCAATTTGCCATGTATAGTGATTCTAAATGGGTTTATTTTTCAATAAAATTGCATGCAAATTCGTAATTTTTGTTTACTACCAAAAACTACTGTTCAAATTAAAATACAAGTAATGTTATTTTCTTAACGTGAAAATTATAAGTGGAAATGATTCACGTTTAAATGGATTTGACGCAAAAATAAATATGTTATTAATCTTTTTCGTTGAAGCTAGGCTAACTGGTCCCTCTTATTTCAAAATAGTAATTTCCTGTCAAATGGAAAATAAATGGCAGGAACACAAAACCAGACAGAATTATGTTGTAGTCGAGAAACATTCAGTAGGAGGAGGACATTGACTTAAAGAGTGAATTATGATACTTAGGTATGTTAGATGTAAGAAGATAATGCTAGCTACCTGTATAGAACGACAGAATAAGATAAATTTGGTAACTAAAATGTTTGTATACCCATTTTCTTTTATTGTTTCTTATTTTTTTTTTTAACATGTGCTCTTGGAGAAAAAAGTTTTCCTTTTATATCTCATTTTTTTCTAATCATTTATTATATATATTTCACTTTTTTCTTTTGTTTTTATCTCTCTCATCCTTAATGCACTTTATATACCTTTAATCTAAAGTTGGAACAAAGCAAATAATGCCAGCTTGCCTACTTCAAATGAAATATCTCTCTATCTGGCATAGTCAAAAGTACAGTCTGGCGTGTGAATGTGTATACCCTTTGGCAGATTTAAGCACATAAATGTCACTGCCTAATGAACATATATTTTGATGCTGAAGATTCAAATGAAGTGCTAGTTTCAACTATTTGGAAAGTTAGCTTTTAGCCTTGTAAGGTCCTTGCCGAGTAAGGAGCTTTGAAATTTCCCAAACACCAGCTGGCAGTGGGTTGGGTCTCAAGAAATCAGAAGCAATTTTAATGATTTATATTGGGTTGTTTGTGCCTAGTTGAAACTTTTTATGCTTGTCCGTTGAAAAATTGTAAAGAGATGCAACACAAGTCAGTGCAAGATATATAGTAATCTTTTCCAAACAGATAGAGTGGAAATAATACATTAATTTTCATTGTCTAGCGTACTACTTCTAGTGATTTTAATATTTTGGCCATTTACTCTCTCAAACTTCAAATATTTTAACAAATACACCCCCCATATTAAATATTGAAACTAATTTATTATGTGAGATTTAAATTTAGCTAAATATTTTGTTTGTTATGTTTTATAATTAAGATATAAAATAATACTTTGTTTAAATAAAATATATGTAATAAATGTATGTATAGATGTCTAAATAATCATAAAATGGAGGAATAAATATTAAAATTATTATTCATGTGGATAAATTTTTAAAACAAATATTATAATATTCTACTCAAATCCTATTGATTGATTATAAACTCGACACAGGACATTCAACCTCTTGTTTTATAATTTGGTTCATTGATTGACATTCAATCTTCCAAGCACCTAAAGTGCACCGTGGCTGTCTGAAAAGATCAAATCCTATAAGATGGGCTGCAAAGGCCTGGGAGATCCTTTCAGGTCATTATGAATCTAAACGCAATTGACTAGGCCCAATTAGTCTATATTTTTTGTCATTAGGCCCAATGTAGTCATTCTCTTTCCAACTCCACACACACACACACACACACATACCTTTTTCATAGTTGACCGAAAAAAGAAATACTCCTTTTTCACATAGACCAAAAAAGAACCTTTTTCAATAGTTAATACTTTATTAAAAAAAAAAAACCCATCTACGTGCAACATGATTAGTTCAAATTTGACTCATGTTTGTTGGGGCTTCTAAATTAATCCCCACTCCAACAAAGAAAAATACGAAATTCCATGACTGATCATTGAATTTAAATACTAATTAAAATATTTAAAATTTAATTCTTTTTTTTTGGTATCATTTCAATTCTAAGATTTAGAAGGTGCGCTATGGACTGTCACGAGAAATCAGTCGTATCAGAAAACATCAATCTCGATAATTGCTTAGACAATAGAAACATACACTTCTAAAAATGATAAATGTTTGACAGAAAATAATACCCCCTTAATGAAATCCACAATGCATGTGGAATGATAATTATCCTTAAATGGAAATTTTAAAAAAGTGGTGATGAAGAGAACAACACAGAATGTATCCATATAAAAACAATGAACATACAGAAAAAGGATTCTTCTGCAGTTTTGGCGCAAACTGCATTCAGTAATTAGTTTATTTTTGCATTTTGGCATAAGGTTGACGGTCCACATGCACTTTCAACAAGGAGCACTGTGCTACCACATGGACTGCCCCAAAAAGCACATGTATTAAACTTGTCCCTCAAATATCCTTCAACAAACCCATGTCCTAATTAACTTTATGATAACACCTGAACTCAACATGCTATCTACCAAACACACCTCAACATAGTGATGAGAAAGAGAAAGAAATGGTTTTCTTGGTGTAGAAATTCGCGTCTCACAAATCGCTCCAAGTTAAGATCACGGGGAAGAAGATTGCCATAATAGAGAATGGTTGTGAGAGTGGCTGTAGGTTCACTCACTAGTGCTGTTGCCAGCTTCACAAGTGAACGCAGCATAAGGGGCATTAAGAACTGCAAAATAATAATAACATTGTCACATTATACTATATCCTCATATTCATATAATATAATATAATAACATTGTTAACAACATTGTGCAAATATTAATAAATTAAATAGCTGAACATTAATTAATAAACAAAAAAAAAAATACAACAAATGTGTAATAGACAGAGAGGGAACATACCATGGTTATTGTCTTATGCTCTTACTTGTGAGGGAAATTGCAAGATAGGACAGGACTCATAATGTTGACGATGATAAGGAAGTGAATGTTTTTGTTATCACCAAAGTAAAAGAAGAAGAGAAGAAGGGATGGCAGAGAAGAATAGATTGAAATGCAGCGAACTACTGATCTAATTCAGCTGGTTTGCTCAGACCTACCCTTCAAAGCTGTCACAATATCCAAACTGTGGAAAACTGCAAATGCTTAATGCATTGACACACCCAAAAATATATATACAACCAAATGGCCCTTTCTCTGAAACTAGTGCTACCAACTATTGGGCCTTGTTAACGACAACATCGGGCTTATCGACATCTTATTTTCAGAAGAAACAAACAAATAAATCCTTGTCAAAACAAATTTTTAGTACTTATTTTTTATAAGAAATTTTATAAATTTATTTGCACACAGTTTAAGATAGATTTATTTAATAATGCTAGAAAATTTTAAGTAAGATTGATTTATTATTTAATGACTTGTATTAAAAAATTTAAAATGTCTATGAGTAAAGTGTAATATTGTTTTTCAAAAAATGCCCTCGGAAGAGTCCAAACTTTTTTGAGGCCAGTGCCAAAGCATGAAACTTGCACATTCTCCGCCACTTGTTTTCCTTCAATTTGCTTGTTTGTAGGCTAATAACTTGTACTTTGCTTGTACTTTTACATTATTAAAACACAGTAAATGAAATGAAAATAGTCCCATAATTACGGAATTTAATCTGATTTGCAAGTAAAAAAAAATTGTGGTAGAGAAAACTGTGGGTGCATAGGATACACATTCTGATGAAGAGGCAAAAGGCTGAAAAGTGTGGTTTGGAGTTTCAGCTTTGGGAAAATGATAAAACTGTTTGCTATGTGGTGATTTGTTTAAGGATAACTCACTATCTGATAGCGCCCATTGCATTTAGAATCTATGCGCTATTGATCATCAATTACTTCTTTACGAGGCTGTTTTTACTGCTATGGGTTCTGTTCACTTTTTAAAACTCTTGCCTCTTATTGGATACCTATTTTTACTATTTAAACTATATTTTGTACCTCTGTAAAATATTTAATAGTCTTTATATTGTTAAAAATGTATTATATATTATTAATTATATTAAATATTTTGTTTATATTAAATATATATTTAATAAAATTATTAATATTTATTTAAATAAAAAATATTGAATTATTTATTTAATATCTATATTTTTTCTTGACTTAAATATAATTTTGATATTTATAAATATTTTTCATTTTATGATAATTTTTTATAGTTATTTTTTTAATTTAGTATTTAAAAAATTAAAAAAATTAAGATTTAATTAATACTATTAAGTGTTGAGTTGATAAAAATCAACTCAATATTTTTACATAACATATTACTATATTATTTTATTTTATTTTTACTATTTAAAATTAATATTTTTAAATAATAAAATATTAAAAAATAAATAAAAATAACATATCACGTGAGACAGTTGAGTTGATTACTTTATATGTAATAAAAAAGATTAAATTTTAATTTTTTTAACTTTATAAAATTAAATTTTAAAAAATAATTATAATTATATATCATAAAATGTTCAATATTTATATAAATTAAAAAATATAATTGAGTTTTTTATTTAAATTTGATTATTGAAAATATAAATATATAATAATGAAAAAAATAAATTTAAAAAATACAAAAAATGAATGAAATAAATTTAAATATAATAACAAATCAAGATAATTTTTAAAAATAAAAATGTCATGCAGCAATTTTGATAGAAAATTTTAGTAATAATTGTGGAGAGAGTTTTTTTTTTAATGTACTCTGTTAGTATAAAATTGTTTACTTTATTAATCAATTACAATAATTAGTAGATATGTAATTTTTTTAAAATTGTTTAAAAAATCAATTATTCCTATATAATAATCTAGGATTGATTGAATGAAAGTGTAAACAAATATTTATGCATTCAATATTTGTTGTCTATTCAATACAAGAAAGGAGGGGAAAAAAAAAGAACAAAACAAAACAAGAGATGGAAACAAAATCTTCTTATTTTTAACAAAAAGACAGCTTTGATCAGATTCTTTTTTATGAATAGTTTTGATCAGATGTTAAACGAAGAGCATGTTGTTAGTAGACGTTAATGCTAATTCTAATGAAGACAAAAGAGTTTTGTATTTTTTATGTTTTGTTAGACTGATGAGTCTTGTTATGAAATCAAAACACATATCATTCTTAAACTATGTTTTAATATATATATATATATATATATATATATATAAAATACCAAATAAGAAAGTAATAAATTGGTACTTTCAGGGTGTGTTTAGAAGTAATGTTCCAGAGGAGATGAAAAAAAAGAGAGAATTTTTTTTAACAGGTATTTATAATTTTTTGGATAGAAAATAACATGATAGATCAATATCAATTTAATAAATTTTAAATATTTATTCCAGAGAATAAAAACTTTTTTTGATCTAGTTTTTCATTTAATAAGTCAATAATTTTTTATATCAAATATCTTACATTATTATTATTTTATTATTTGCATGTTAAGTTGTCTTGATTATTTTGTTGCTACTACCCAACTTTTTAAATGCATAAAATTAAAATTCATTAATTTGAATTTTGACATTATTAATTAAATCAATAAATAATTACAACAAAAATTAATAATTAAATTGTATGATTTTTTTTTAATATTGTCTCTTGAACTTGCTTTGATGTAATATTTTCAAAGGTTGTATATTTCAAATTTATTCTTATATGATAAAATATTTTTTAGTATTAATTATGAGAATTTTTTAACATATTTTATTTTTAAAAGATAAATATTATTATTGTTATTATTTAATAACATTTTATATTTTATCAAAAATTTAAAATATTTTACAATATCAAGTATATCTTATTTAATAGTTTTTTTTTATAAAATAACATAAAATATAAAATTTATTAATCTAATCATTAAATTATCATATATTATTGTTTATTATGTATGTCAAATTTTATATAATTTAAATTTTTATATTTATTATTTAACATTTATTTATATTTTAAAAATAATATCAATTATGATAAAATAAGATAATAAATTACCCGATAATAAATTACCTAATAATAAAATTTTATAATATTGTTGCAACATTTCAAAGCAATATTAATTGAATCAATATAAGTCATATGAATGCTATATATACAGAGTCAAAAATAAGATATCAACTAAGATTTAAAAGATAATGATATATGAAAAACATTTTAAATTACCCTCATCTAACGCTTTCAAAATTACAAGTAAAATTACCGAATCCAGTTTTAAAAGGGGAAATAAAGAGGGAATTTTGTTTTGTTTTTTTTTCTAAAATCGAAAAAATAGATTATAGATTGATGGAGGAGATTGGGAAAGGAGGCAGTGGTTTCGCACTATATATATATATATATATTCAATTGAATGGGAGAATGAAAAATTGTGAGGCGAGGGTAGGGTCGTGTCGTGTGTTGTTTCTTTCTTTGTCGTTTTGGTATTCGGACCGAACCCTAGCTCCGCAGCGCAATAATGTCGTCCAAGCAAGGTACCATCATTCCTCTATCTCCGTCCTCCAAGCTCCTGATTTCTAAGATTCCATTGATTCCGACCCTGAATTTCAGTCCGATCCTGAATTTCAGATCTAATAATTAGGATTCAGATTTTTGTTTTTGCAATTTATCTGATTGTGTTTTTTTTTTCCCTCCCCTTTTTGGCTTTTAGGTGGAAAAGCCAAGCCTTTGAAGAAACCCAAGTCTGATAAGAAAGATTATGACGAGGTATTTCATTAAAATCCGTTTTGGAATTATGCTTTTTTATTTTTATTTTTTTATATTGTGTTTAAGTTGTTGTGGTCATTTCCAAGGTTGATGTACTTTGGTTTGAGAATTAGTAATACGTTTTAGGGAGAGAGAATGGACGGTTGATAGGTTTGGGCATGGCTGGAATATTGTGTTCACAATATGAAACTTTTCGAAAGTTTATTGCAAATACCTTATGTATATTATTCAGGCTCTTGTGATATCCATTGAAGAATCGGAATTTTATGATTTCGCAGAAAAAGATAGGCATATTGTCGTAAATAGAATTCATAGTTTGCTGTAACATCCCTTTTCTTTCGTTCCTTGTTTGTACGGCTGGTTAGTTTTCCATCTGGGCTTTCCATTCTCTAGAGAGAGACAGGACCTCGGGAAAGTCTCAAGGGAACCTTTTGTGATATTTTCTTTGTTTTGCAACCATTTGCTACCTTTCTTGGTGACTGAATTCAATGTTAATATAATTATGGATTCGTTCTTCTCTCTCATTTTCTTGAATTCTGTTAGGCAAACTACCATACTTGATAATGTACCATATGTGTGGAATTGAAGACATGGGCAAAGTATGTGAGGAGCAGTGTGGGAATTGAACTGTGTGGTTTTGCAATGTAACTACCTCCTCATGTGGAACTAGTCAAAGAACCAGTCTTCTCTTTCTTGTTTTATGTTTGAGAGTGTTTTCTTGAATATTATGTTGTTTGTTCACTGTGCTGTGATCTTAGTTTCAACCAAGATTGATATATGGTTTAGTCTTGCTGCTTAAGACATGCAGATACAGTCCTATGTCAACTTCTGAATCTAGTAATGACCTTCCATAATTTATTTTGTATTCCTATTTTGTAGGTTGACGTGGCTAACATTCAGAAGAAAAAGGAAGAAGAGAAGGTCAGATATTGTATTGTAATTTAGTACTTTCTACATTTGAATCTTTTGGAATAATGATCCTAGTTATACTTAATCCTGTTGCTCTCACTGATTGTGCAGGCGCTAAAGGAGTTGAAAGCCAAGGCGCAACAGAAGGGAAATTTTGGAGGTTCCGGGCTCAAGAAAAGTGGAAAGAAATAAGGGCTCTTTATCATGATTGTATACATTCAATATTGAGCTCTGTAATTACAGTTGTTACCTTCGCTTATTGTGGCCTACTTTATTGCTGATGTTAGTACTGAACTAAGGCATGTCGTGATGTAAGCGCAACAAGTTACTTGTTTGCAGCTTTGTTGTGTGTCCCTCACGGGGTTCTGATAATTACATCAACTAAGTAGTGTTGTGGATTTGGCAGACTTATAAGTAATAATGGCTTGGCTTGCGAAATTTCAATTATAAGTTCTATTTCGCATTGGTTTCTAGTGCATGCCTTTGCCTCCGTCTTTTGCTACGCTGACGAGCCTATGAAATTAAGCCGCATTATTTATTGTAAATTAGTGAAAAAGGAAAATAAGTATATTTACATGATAAGATGCGTATAATGAACCTTTAAGCTGTGTTAAAATATAGATGCCGAATGGTTAGTGAAATGAAATAGCATGGAATGTAACAGAACGGGATAAAAAAGTTATGTTAAAATATTAGGGTTTAGGGCTGCATTATTTATTGTAAATTAGCAGAAAAAGAAAATAAGTATATTAACTTGAAGATGCGTATATTTAACCACAAGTTATGTTAAAATATAGTTGCCGAATGATTAATGAAATGAAATAGAATGGAATGTAATATAACGAGATTAAAAAAAGTATTTTCATTATGTGGATATTTAATGTTATGAAATAAAATTTTCATTCTATTGTTTGGAAAAGGTACGGAACAGTAGAAGCGATAATTTTTAATTAAAGAAATGATATTGAAGCTGTTCTAATTGAACAACTGCTTATTTCCAAGCTTGAAGAGCTGCAAGAATTATACATTCATTAATAAGAACTGAGTTTGCCAGTGAGTTCTGAGGCGTATCATTTGCAAGACAGGAAGTTAGACTGGCACCAGAAAAAGTTATATACCAGTAAATTGAAGTAGAACACAGAGAAAAGACAACAAGTGAATATGTAGCTGGAATCCAATCGTAAGATGATATTTTATATACGTGTATGCACGCCCCAATTAAATGATTTGATTTTAAATTATAAATTTTAAATTGGCAGTTCAAGAATCCAGGTTTTCACATTTTCACTTATACGTCCAACAAAACCATAACATTCTCACATAAAACTTGCATTGCATTAACATTCCCACATAATGGCAGTTTATGGTGGCAAGCAAAAAAGAGAGTTATGCTAGTTCTTTAGCAATTTACGTAAAATTTATCAAAACATTTACATGAATAAAAAAAATTACAAATAAAAAAATATATAAAAACTTGTATGAAAAAAAAAGAAAAAAAAGGACAAGGACATTGATGATGAAAAATATATTCACACCCCATAACTATGTATAAAATTGGTGTATTAAGAGAGGAATATGAAGTAGAGAAAAAAAAAATAGGGATAATATAGACGTCTTATATTGAAAGAATGAAAATGAGATAAATAGAAAGAAAAAAATAAGTATAAATGAAATATAAAAAAATGTTATAGAAATATTACTGTTGAATAAAAATAAAAATAAAACAAAAAGACAGCAAGATAATATATCAATATAAAATGAGAAGAGAAAAGAGATATCTAGACAGAAAAAGATATAAGATATAAAAAAATATTATATACAATGCTGCATACAATCTTAATTTTTGGTTGATTAAATAAAAAATCTGAGAAGAACAATAGAGAATATGGAAGAGAGGGACTTAAATGAAAATGGGAGTGACGGAATGATTTACAGATTTAGAATTTCAAAAACCCCATGATTCACAGATTATATGACGTAAATAGGTCAGATCAATTGGACTGAACCCTCTCTTTTCCAAGCAGATGCCTACTATAACGTCCATATACTACTTGGGCACCATGAGCATATGGCAGCCACCATATGAAACCCTTCACGCAGTACCCACCGTATGGCACCTTGTCAAATTTCCATCATGCCATGTCGGTTATCTGCCATGGCTACCATAGCCCGCCTTTTCTTACCGACAATAGAATGGCTTTAAAGATAAGGGTCGCAGTACCCTACCAAATGCATACAGTTTTAATTTAAAATTATCAAATTAATTTAACCACTTAACCCCATGCAGTTAAGTATTTCGTATTAATCATTTAACCAAACTAATTTAATTACTTACAGGAAATAATATAATATACTATTCATTATCCTCTTCAAAAAATGCATTTTAAAGAAAGCTCCATCTCTGTGGCGATTCACGATGACGTTACAAGAGCAAAAAATGGATCAAGTGGAGAAAAAAAAAACTTCATTATACTACCTGATCAGTAATCATATGTTTATAGCCCAAAATTGTTATTGTTTTGAAGGGAGGAGGGGGGGGATTGAAATCTAACTCATATAAGGGCACATACAAAAGTGCAAATGGCAGCTAGAAAAACTAGAAGAAAGCTAAGCAATAGTATTCATATGATACCCTTACATTAACAGCAAGTAACAGTCTGGCTTGACATATCAAGATAACTGGCAAAATCGAGACAAGTTATTTACTACCCTATTGCTTTTCTGGCTTTTCTGTCTCCTCCTGTTCAGGTTCTTCTTCTTCCTCTTTCTTTTCCTCCTCCTCTTCTTCATCCTCTTCAGGAGGATCTGCAGGTAATGGAGGTGGCAGAGGTGTCTTCATTGGACTAAATTGAGGGAATATATCTGGTCTTCGTCCAGGCTTTGGCCTTTCCCACTCCTGTCAGCATATGTATTCAACAATCTATATTAGCACGCGCTAATTAAAGAGGGTTCAGAATGCCACAAAACCTAACATTACCCAAATCTGAACTTACTGTCAAAGGCACCAGATTATGTACACATTGAAACTACAGTTCAGAAATAATAGTTTGGCGGCTAACTGCTCTACCATAACAAATTCCCTTCTACACACCATTAGACTAGAACTATAATCAAAGGGCAGAGCAAAGGCGGTGCTTACTGTAATAGATCATTTACTTGGGTATGCATCAGGAAATGGTAGCACTAATCAAAGTAGCTTTGACTCACCAAAACACTCACACACAAGTATAACAAGTTCGGAATCATTATATTTCCTTTCATCAGCTTAATAGTGCATTTTGGGACGGACTTTAGTTCCTCTAAAGTATGGGATGTACTTCACTAGTAAAGTACAAAGTGATGGCTTATTCCCAAAACACTTTCTATTATCGGTTGAAATTCATTGAAAATTATGAAATTATGAATGAGGCTTTTTAAATAGGAAAAAGACCCACGTAATTTTAATGATTCTCATTGTATTTCAACCACCAGAAGAGATTGCGTTAGGAATAATATATTGCTAACATTTCTCCTAAATTTTATAACAAAATGAATAATCAATTTCTCAATTATTGGTACAAATTCACACTTGATCCTGGGGGTCCTTTATAAGGATGAAAATATTAAAGAAAAAAACATTGCATCTAAACTAGCTTGAAACATGAATAGGCGCAGAGTAATAAACAGAAATAGAGTAGAAAGAGTAAAAATAGGGAAAGCTTACGATAGGGAAATCGAGAGGGGAACGGCGAGTGATCTTCTCTTCCTCGGGAGCCATACGAACGATGTGCCTCGGAAAGCGGGGAAGGGGTTTGAGAGAGCGAAAACGAACGATGGAAGGAGGTGCATAGTAGGAAGAAGAAGAAGAATTAAGAGAAGAAGAAGGTGTGTGAATGGCGTTGAGGCTCACCAAAGCCATGGCCATGCCTCTGTTGCTGCGCCTGCGGAACACCTAATCCTAATCCTAATCCTTCCTCTCTCTTCCTCTCTGCCTCCTATTTACAATAACTTAGGTCGGTTCTTTTGTGGCTCAATCTACCATAGTTTTCGCTTTTTTCTTTTTTTTTAATTAAATGTTGTTAATCTGACTTAATATTATTAAAAATTATGAGGATGAGTGCATTGTATTTTTATTTTATTCATTAATATTTTTAGAACATTAATTAACATTTTCATTATAAATATTTACAATTTGATTAGTTGAAAAATATAAAATAATACTATATTTATCGTTTAGTTCAATTTTACCTGATACTTTTGATAAAGAGAGTTTAGTTTTAATACATTATTATTATAAAAAAAATTCATTGTTAAATGCAAGGTAAATATGATTTTAAAATTAAATAGTACGAAAATAAATAATTCTTACTTATATGCTTATTTATGATTAAATTACAATATAACTTTTTAATCATGTATTTTAATTAAAATTTTAAACTAACTAGTGTAAACAATATGATAATCAGAATCAATAATAGAATATTAAAGGATAGTAAAAATAGTATAATAATTAAAAAAATTCAACGTTCTTTGAATTACATTTTATCACGATATCCTAAAATAGTAAATAAAATAAACTTATTATCGAACATTGCACTGTGAATTAACCATACTATTGTAACAAAAAAGGAAATCATTAAAAAAAATAAAGATGAAAATAAAAATATAATAAACTATAAGTTATAAGGTCAATTTTTCTTTTTGTACAAAAAAAGGGGTTAAATTTTATTTTTTGAAAAAAATGCTGAGTTAATAAGATAAGCACATGTATCAATTATCTCTATTTTAATCAAATAAACGTATAGATTAAACAGTTTTTTTGTAAATGAATGCAAAATAGACACTTAAAAATGATAATAGATACATCTAAAATTATATTCTTTAATAAAGAAGAGAGAAATTCTTAAAAACACTCATTAAAATAATTCATAAGGATATTTCTTTAAGAATACGTTTAATATATAAATATAAATTTATTTATTTATTTATGTATTGTTATCCTATCTTCTAGTCATTGAAAACAAGTGAAAAAAAAAAATTGTATTCAGGACGGAGTAACCATTCTAACTAGGCATGAGCAAGGAGCATAGGAGACTTACACCTTTTTTTTTTTGTTACAAGGGACAAGGCCCAACAAAACCACAGCCTAGTAGTGGAGATTCCAACACATGAGGCCCAAAAACTAAGATGAATTTGTCAGATAATTATACTAATATACTTTCTTACGCATTTTTCACTTCACAATTTTTATTATTAGATAAAATTTATTAAAAATTTAAAATTATTAATTTAATAAATAATAAAATTTACATAATCTTTAGAGTTTTTAATAAATTTTAGTCAATAATGTGAAAGATAAAAAAAAACTATTTATAAGATGTTTGTGTGTAAATAAAAGGAAGATTTAAAAAAGAATACGAAGGATAAAATAAAAAAAAAGCTATTTTAAAATGAATAAAATATAAAAAAGATATAAAATATTGCTGAAAATTTTATCAACAATAGAACTTCATAAAAAATAAAGTAGAATAGTCATTTTATATAATTTTTTAATGCATACTTAAAGATATATAATAAAATTTATTATTAATTAATTTTAAAATTAAAAAATTTAATATACTAATAATATCAAATATTACAATTTTAATACAAAATTATTAGTATATTGCGGATGACACATTAAAAAATCAGTTTTCTATGTCACATCAAGCCTAACAAACCTGTAACTTGCAGCGTAAGATGAAGCCTCGATCAATATGATACATAAAGACAGAAATTTCTGGAACTTCTTCCAACTTCCACGGCTCAAAACCTATGTCATAGATATGAGTTTGAGTATTTGATATGACACTGACGTTTTCTTTTTTCTTTTTTTATAAATTTAAAAATGATATAAATTGAAATATAAAATTTTAAAGAAAATTATAAAAATATTACTATTAATTTTTACATAAGACTAATTAATTTTAAAAATATTATTAGTAATTACTGAGTTTCACAGTATAAAAATCTTCAAGTACAATTTTTGAGATTTTATATTTTTGTAGTTTTTTCCTCAAAATTTACAGCATATAATATTTTTAAATTTTATGTTAAAAACAAAACTTGAACATGACACGTAAATATGTTCAAATTTTAAAACTTTAAAATACAGAAAAATCCATGATAATATATATTTAAAAAAAATGATTTTATTTATGAATATTATTAAAATTTTATAATAGCTTTTAAAATAACCATCTTAATATCACGTAATTAAAATTTTGAATTCGAGTTTTTATATACCTACAATCATAATTGAATATTAGATTAGATACTGATTAAACTAGATTAAAAAAAAACACTTTATAAAAATAAATTTTTAAAAAAGAGAATATATTTGAAAAAAATATATAAAATATTAAAAATATTGCATTAATAATTAGATAATATAATTGTTATAAATTATTATTTTTACATCAATCTTTAATAAATTTTTAAATAATAAAATATTTACTTAAAATATCTTAATACATTAAAAAATTATATTAAATCATCTTTAAATAATAACATTTAAAAGTCATTTTAAAATACTTTTAATAAAAGTGAAGCAAGTATAATATACAATATATACCAATACTGGAAAATCTCCCATTTCACGAGATTTTCCATTATGAGTATTGAGTAGTAATTAATTTAATAGTACTTAATAAAATTATATTGGCCTCAGCCATTATTAATGTATTATGCTTCTGCAGGCACTGAAATATATTTCAATTGGGTTAGCACGCAATTTAAAGAAGTTGGTGAACACTAGGATGGAAGCAACACCATGATTGAGCTTTTCCACGTGTACATCATGTAATGGTAACGTGGGGAGATTGATTGGGGGTTGCCCATTTCCTTGCACTTCAAAATAGCAAACAAAATAGCCACCGGTGGCATTTGTTTCGGCCTTATTATCAAAAACAGAGGTTGGAGTTGTCTGTTTTTTTCAACCTTTCCTTTTCTCTTTTTCTCCCAACAATGCGAAGCTGAAATGACTTCATCCTAAACTTGATAAAATTGTCAAGACTACAGAAATTGATTTTTGGGTTTGCCAAACAATAGAAAAAGACTGAATTTTGAGATTGAGCTGCCAAGGAAACTCGTTTTAGTTGAATAGCTGATCCCATTTTCAAGATTTGTAAGCTTAATAGCTTCACAGGAGTTCTGGGAAACGTGTGTTATAATTTTGGGTATGTTCCTTTAGATGATAGTGATAGTAGTGCAATTTGATTTTGAGTTTTGAGGGGTTATCGAATTTCATTCGGTGGGTGATTTGAGAAATGGATTTCTGGCCAGAGTTTCTTGCAAGCAGTTCGGGAAGAGAGTTTGTGGCAGGTGGCCTTGGAGGCACTGCTGGTATAATCTCTGGTTATCCATTAGATACCCTTCGCATCAGATTACAGAACACCAAAAATGGCTCTGCCTTCACCATCCTTAGACACATGGTATCTAGGGAAGGACCAACTTCTCTGTACCGTGGCATGGGCGCACCACTGGCTTCTGTTACTTTTCAGGTCAGTTTTGGTCTCATTCATCAACCTTTTTTTTTTTTTGCTCGTGTGTAAATTTAGATTTAGATGCATATTCATCCTCACATATTGCAGTGGAATCCGTAACATGGGAGTTTATCTTAAATTTCAATCTCATCTTGATTATTTCACAAAGCATCCTTAACCGTCCATCTTTTTTACGATTTTGGTATGCTGTGGGGGTCTAAAATTTTCTTCAGATAAAAGCGATTGGATATAAACGTTTATGGCCGACAAGTCTTCATTGGGTGGTTCTTTTTATTTCGAATACACTGATTGACCCTTTAGAAAGTCACTTTCTCACGGCTCTTTATTTTATAATCTTGTTTTAGGATAGGGATAGAATCATAAGAATCCTTTTTGGTTTTTGCTTTTGAATTGTTGAAGAATCATTAGGATAAGGACTGTGACTCGTACACACCTTTTTCTAATTCAAGCAATATTGAACTAAATTTTCGGATGAGGCAATGGTGGTGTGTAAATTCTAGTGATCTACCTATGGCTTGTACTCCAATGCCTAAATTGAGGAAAAGGACTTCCCAAAGTTTTATTTTTTGTGACCCCAAAATTGTAACAGTAGCATTCTGACAGGCACTTGCTAGCATTCGATTTTCATTTGCCATGATATCAAATCAATTGAGATGCTTGAAAGTTGAAACCATTTCTGATCACCCACCTAGCGTTTTGACAAGGCGAGCACATGAGGCTATTGGGCCATAGCCATGGCTCATTCGAATCATTTTTAGCCAATGCTGTGTTGGGATATAACCCTGTAGATTGGCATATTATGTGTCATTGTTTATTTCGTTTTTCTTCACTCGTTAATATCAAACGAAAGTGCTTCTAAAGTTCATTGTCTCACCTTGATTATTGTTTTACTTTATGGTGCAGAACGCTTTAGTTTTTCAAACGTACGCAATTCTGTCAAGGGCATTTGACTCCTCCGTTTCTGCCAAGGAACCTCCTTCCTACAAGGGTGTTGCTTTGGGAGGAGTTGGTACCGGGGCTCTTCAAAGCCTATTGCTTTCCCCTGTAGAGTTGGTTAAAGTTCGACTTCAGCTGCAGAACCAGGGGCAGACGACAGAATCTGGAAAAGGTCCTTTAAGGGTCGCTAAAAATATATGGAGAAAAGAGGGCTTTCGAGGCATCTATAGAGGACTTGGCATCACTGTGATGAGGGATGCACCTTCTCATGGTTTATATTTCTGGACATACGAATACATGAGGGAACGGTTACACCCAGGTTGCAGAAAAAGTGGCCAAGAAAGATTGAACACTATGTTAATAGCTGGAGGATTAGCTGGGGTAGCGAGTTGGATTATTTGCTACCCTTTAGATGTTGTCAAGACAAGACTACAGGCTCAAACGCCCTCTTCTCTCAAGTACAAAGGCATTTTTGACTGCTTCAAAAAGAGCATTAATGAAGAAGGGTACTGTGTGCTATGGCGGGGTCTAGGAACTGCTGTTGCAAGAGCGTTCTTAGTGAACGGTGCCATATTTTCTGCTTATGAAATTTCACTAAGATTACTGTTTAACAATGGAAGTATTCCAATGCAGGAAACAATTTAGGACAATTACCATTCGCAGCTGTACTGAAAGCAATCAAAAGTTCAGCTATAATATTCAATAACCATTACTAAATGTAATTGCCAGATATTTTACATGTAATATTCATTACACCATGTAGTTGTCAAATAATTTATTTTTCAATTCATTGACAGCGAAGCCAGTTGTGTGGATAGGCTTAGGAACTAGGATCATCAACTTAAAATCAACAAATCTCAAACTAAAAACAACCAATTTATCTACCATTCAGAGCAACTAGATGCATGCATTGCAAGGTAAGGTCAACATTCAAAAAAAGCAGAAAAACAAACGAAGCAAATTCCATATACTATCAGAAAAAAAGAGATTCATATCATATACTCAACCACATATGTAATCCTCAGAGATACAAATTTATATGTTGTATAACAGAAAAAGAGCAGTAGAATACAGGACTACTAACTACTAACTAGTGAACCTAAGAAGAACCCCCGCCAAATGGCTCATTCTCAATCCTGTCATCACCAAGATTGAGGCCTCCCATGGCCTCATTCAAACTACAGCTAGTTTGAATCAACACGTGAGGATCATTGTAGTGCCTGACAGCCTGAATTATACCCCTAACACGCTTGAAAGGATCCTCACATTGAAAAACCTCGTATCCAACAAACACCCCATGACACCCAAGCTGCATCATCAACGCTGCATCCGGAGGAGTCACAATACCACCAGCAGCGAATTGAACAACGGGAAGCCTACCCATTTGCTTGGTTTGCACCACAAGATCGTAAGGAGCCTCAATCTTCTTGGAGAACGCGAAAACCTCATCATCATCCATGTTACTCAAAACCCTCACTTCCCCCATCAAAGACCTCACGTTCTTGACAGTTTCAGCAATATTCCCAGAACCCACCAAATCTCCTTGAATCCTTATCATGGCTCCACCTTCCCTGATCCTCCGCAAGGCCTCGCCGAGGTTTCGGGCCCCACACACAAAAGGGCATCGGAAGTTGTGCTTGTTGATGTGGTTTCTATCATCTGCCATACCAAGAACCTCGCTTTCGTCGATGTAATCAACGCCGACGGCTTCGAGTATCTGCGCTTCCACGAAATGGCCAACGCGGACACGCGACAGAACGGGAATTGACACCACGCGCTTGATGTCTTTGACGAGGGAAGGATCGATCATGCGGGAAATGCCGGAGCGGGGTGGCTCCGAAATGGTGATGGCGCATGCCCCTGCTTCTTCGGCGATCTTGGCTTCCTGTGGGTTCGATACTTGGAGAATGGCTCCTCCGCGCAGGGTTTGGGCAACTCCGACCTTGAATGAATATGGGTTCTGCTTGGGATCGGTGATGACGGTGGTGTTGTAGAGCGTGACGATGCCATCTTCCGCCATCGCCAAGTGTTTGCGAATATGCCTCAAAGAAAGTAAAGATCAGATACGGGGGCAAACGGTATGATATGTATTTGGGACGAGTGCAGTGTTTCTTGGTTTCTTATGAATTAAATTGACACAAAATGGGTCTACGAGGCACTGGGCGTGGCTTCCAGAAAATTCGACCAAGTCCAGTCTCAGTCGGTCACCCACGAGTCACTAGATGTGCATTGTTCCATTCTATTCCAGAAGGAATATTATTATAGCAAGGCTGCATCTATGATATATTCATATTTTTTCATTTTTATTCTAGTTCTAAATTCTGGTTTTCCTTGCCCTAAAATCTTTATGGATATGGAATTTCTATATGTATCAACTAAATTGACTGAATTTATAGCTTGAATATTCAAAGTCTTTAGTCAATTTACCCAAAAAAGACTCTAATAAAACCGCCTTATATGATGAAATGGGATACTTAGACACCGCTACTCGTTTAGATTTTAAGCCGACCTTTGGATATGCAAATGCCATAATTATTACCAAGAATATTCTCATAGATTGTGGTTCGAAATGAAAATTTTAATTTTATTTTAGTTTTAAAACAAAAATGTTTACATTTTTAAGCGAAATGTTGATTAAATAAGTAACGTAATATATATTAATCCTCATAATATGTAACAAAAAAATTTTACTTTGATCAGTCTTTTTAAATTTATCTCATTAGAATGTAAAATGCTAAAGTCAGATATAATCTGCAACAAATTTGAATTGTATCATTTTACGAGGGTTCTATTTTGAACATGATTTTCTTCTCTGAAAAATACTCATACTCCAGGTTAAAAAAGAAGTCAAATCAAATTTATTTCAATTAATTTTGGAAATTGAAAGTCGATTCTGAAATACATGCATTCAACACCAGTTTTAAATAATTAATTCAAAAGTTATATGCTTTGAATTTTAATTGATTAACATTGTAAAAAATATATATTAATAATATATCAAAATTAAATATAAATTAAATTAAATCAAACGGCTTTTAATTTTAGATGTGTCCAAACAAAAATCATCGATGTTTTTTCTGTTTTTTTTAATGAATAATTTATTTAAGTTATAGAATTACGTTTTTACTAAAGACATTCTTAGGAATGGCATCTTCTAAAATGTTATGACTAATATTTGTTTTATGGTAGATACCATTTTAAAATAAAGGAATAATGTCTTGGTTAATAGTCAAAACAAGTCTCTACACTCAAAAATACATTTGTAGAAAATTTATAATCATCTCATTTAAAGGAAACTTAAAAAATACTATATTGTGATAAATTTAATATTGCGTGTTTTTCAAAACATAGGAAACATTGTGAGTGCATGTGTTATTTTGGAAACAATTTTTTTACACTCTTAGTATTTATGAAAAAACGTACTTAACCCTGATAAGAATAAAAACAATTGACAAAATGTGAAATGTAATCTCTCTCTCTCTCTCTCTCTCTCTCTATATATATATATATATATATATATAATTAAAGTTTTGACGGAAAGCACAACCTCATTCCTTATAGCTTCTGTCTTCCTCCCATTTTTGTCATAATCTTTGTTCTGTGAGTGGTTTAATATACCCCCTGGCCCACAAGGCCCATGGTTCAATTGTAGAATTATGTTGGTAATGTATAATTGTGGAGTAAAGAACCATATAATACGGTAAGCCAATACTTGGGTTGATTTGGACACATCAAAATACAAATTTTTGGTACACCTAAAGCAACCCATAATGAAAAAGCACCCAGCCACCAAAACTGCTGGGGGGAAACCCAACAACCGTGGGCCTCCAACTACAATAGCAGTCCATTATCATCACAAACAAAAAAATCAAAACAACTCAAGACACGTGGCACGATATGAGAAGCTCCTGAAAGGTAGCAGGATTTTTGAATGCGAAGGAGCCAAGCGCGCAACGATAAATATATAGAAAAGCCGCGAGGTCCCCACCCACGTGAGAAAAAAATGAAAGCAGAGACCCCATTCTACGTCGTCGTTTGACAGTTCCACACGTGCCTCACTCTCGTCTTTCAGATTCAAAATTATTCAAAGGCTGTTTTTTCCCTGCATTGGGTCCTATTCCCTCTATATCTTGGGTTTCACTCTACACTACACAGTACACTTATACTCATCACACTCTTCATTTCATTAGCGATTCTGCTGAGCTCGTTGGTTTCTCTTCTCCGATCAACAATGAACAGGCATGGGCAGAGATCTGGTGCGACGGGGGTGTACCATCATCGCCAATACTCCGATCACTTTCTCGATGCCTCCTCCAAGTGGCTTCACTCCTCCTCCAATCTCGATCCTCCTCTTCAGGTTCCTTTTCTATTTCTCTTTTTTTTTCTTTCCATTTTTACCCTAATTTCAACTACTTCAGTCGAAATTCAAATGTATTTATTATTGCATTTATTGTTCACAACAACCACTAGTCCTGTATTCAGTGACGATTCTGCAGTGGAACTTCATTGGTGAATTGCGATGCATTTTGGTTTCTAGCAGGACTATAATTTGTACGGTGGAGGAGGTAGAATGTATAGGAATACGCAGAGGAGCTTCAGTGCGTATTGCATGGATCCATCCACGCCTCCTCGCAGCTACACCACCGTTAAGAGAAGCGGTGACAGAGATGATTCACCGCATGATTTTAGCCCTGGCCTCTTGGATCTCCATTCATTTGATACGGAGCTTCTTCCTCAGGTTATAAACTTATGCATTTTATTTCGTTTCAATTATCATTTAGTCTTATTCATTTTGTTTCAATTTTTTGCGTTTGATTTGTCTTTTCGGTAGATGTCGTCCTCTAATGTTTACGATGCCACCCTCAGTCAACTTAACCGTGGTAGAAGAAGCTTGGATGATCCTGAACCTTACATTTTTGGCAAACAAAATGCCAAAGTTCGTGCTCCTGAAAACATTGTCTCCAATAATCTTTCTGCAGATAATGTGAAATCTAGCAATGTGGCAAAGATTAAAGTTGTGGTACGTTCTTTTATCTTATATCTTCATTTATTATTGTGTTTATGTTTTGATTCACTTTCTGCTCACAGTATTTTGTACTTCTTGCTAGTAAGTTTGAAGGATTTTACTCAGAAACTGCATTAGTTGCTGTACCTGAAAATGAAAACTGTAATTTTATCTGTGCTTGAATTTTAATTTTGCTCTAACGTTGACATCTTACTATTTTTTATTAATGCAGGTTCGCAAGAGACCGCTTAATAAGAAGGAGATAGCAAAGCACGAGGAAGATATTATAGACACAGTTTCGAATTCTTTAACAGTGCATGAAACTAAACTTAAGGTGAGTGTATCAGGCTATTGAAATCCATGGTTCTGATGTGCTATTAGTGTCCTTGACTTTGAGAACGTTATGCTGGAGTTTTGAATGGCTCATAGGTACTAGGAAATTGATAACCAAGCATGTAACACCCTACATATTCTGCTCAGTTGTTAATCTTTACCCATTTATTTTATACAAGCCTGTGCATATGATAAGTTTTTGTCTGTAATATTCTAATAATAAATGTTTTCATTTGATGATTTTAAACTTTAAATACTTCACAGGTTGACCTAACTCAATATGTAGAGAAGCACGAATTTGTTTTTGATGCTGTCTTGAATGAAGAGGTTACGAATGATGAGGTAACTATAATGTAATTAAATGTTTCGTTGAAATAATAAATCAACAACACATAGCCCTATGTATATAGTTATCGTTTTAACCATCTGATTTCCTTAGGTGTATTGTGAAACAGTGGAGCCCATAGTTCCAATAATCTTTCAACGCACGAAGGCAACTTGCTTTGCATATGGTCAAACAGGTGAAAGCAGTCTCTCAAATTTGATTTGTTGCAATTACAGCCTGAGCCTGAGCTTGCTCTAGGGCAGAATCAGATTATGCCTATTTGGGAATGAATGTAACATGCATCACTCTGGAATTTTTCAGTATTCCTTTTTTTGTCATTTTCAAGAGAAAAACATGTTTGTAATTGATGATTGTAATTTGATAGATATTCAAAAATGGTTTCAATATGTCCACACTTATAATATGTCAAAGAAAAGTGCTTGAATTCTATAAAGCTAAGTGTTCATCATCTGTGGCTGTTATTTCATGCCAAAATGACTTTGTTAGCTTGCACTAGTACTGTCATGTTTCTACTAGTTATATATTTAGTGAACTTCTAAACACCATTTTCTTCTTATGTAGGAAGTGGAAAAACTTACACAATGAAGCCACTGCCTCTTAAAGCATCAAGGGACATCTTGAGATTGATGCATCATACTTACAGGAACCAGGGATTTCAGTTGTTCGTAAGTTTCTTTGAGATTTATGGTGGGAAGCTTTTTGATCTCCTTAATGATCGAAAGTGAGTCATTTGATCCTTCAAGTTTGCACCTTTGGTCTCTCTATATTCTTTAGGTGTAATGTTGTACTTTTGCAGAAAACTATGCATGAGGGAGGATGGTAAGCAGCAAGTTTGCATTGTTGGCTTGCAAGAGCACCGAGTATCGGATGTAGAGACCATCAAGGAACTGATTGAGCAAGGAAATGCCACAAGAAGTACTGGCACCACAGGTGCGAATGAGGAATCTTCACGGTCACATGCAATACTTCAGCTTGCTATCAAGAGATCAGTTGAGGGCAATGGATCCAAGCCCCCTCGTGTTATTGGAAAGCTCTCTTTCATAGATCTCGCTGGAAGTGAACGTGGAGCAGATACCACGGATAATGACAAACAGACAAGGTATATAGGTGATGTTGTGAAAAGCATGGTTTTATTATTAACGATATTTCCAATTTTCAGTTCTTATCCCTCTTAATGAACTTGTTTTGCTTCTTCGGATATTCCAAATTATATGGCTTGCAGAATAGAAGGTGCTGAGATCAATAAGAGCTTGCTTGCCCTGAAGGAATGCATAAGAGCTCTAGATAATGATCAAGGACACATCCCATTCCGAGGCAGTAAATTGACAGAAGTTCTCAGGGATTCATTTGTTGGTGATTCCCGCACTGTTATGATATCATGCATTTCACCAAGTTCCGGTTCATGTGAGCATACACTGAATACCTTAAGATATGCTGACAGGTAGCAATGAATTTTCTGTTGTTGGTTATCTGCCTCTGTCCAAACCATCCTTTCTTTGTGCAACCACTACAAACTGAAAAGCGTTTTTGATTTTGCTGTTGGAAACTGAATGAAAAATGCAGGGTAAAAAGCTTATCAAAAGGGAACAATTCTAAGAAGGATGCTTTATCTTCAAATTTCAACCTTAAAGAATCAACTACCGTTCCTTTATCTTGTGTTAATACGTATACCTATGAGGATTCCGCAGCTGATACATGGCCTGAGGAAAATGACGGGGATGAATTTAGTCCTCCTGAAGATTACTTTGAACAGGTAAAACCATCATGGAAGAAAAATGGAAAGATAGAGTCATCTGGTGCAACAGATGACAAATTGAAGAAATCCAGTGTTCAGATCAAATGGAAGGACATTCCAAAGGTTGAACCTAAAACAGTACATTCTGATGATGATTTGAATGCTCTCTTACAGGTAAGAGTAGACTGCTGACTTCTATATGAAAGTGGTTTTTCATACATCCAATACCTAGAGTAAAAGCATATATCATAATTTCAGGAAGAAGAAGATCTTGTAAATGCTCACCGGAGGCAAATAGAGGAGACCATGAATATTGTTAGAGAGGTATTTAAATTGGCGCTGTTACTCCTTTAACATTTAAGTGCGCACAATTTTGCCATTTGTAAAACCTTCAAAACGTGTGAGTTGTGACTATTAGTGTAGTCTATATAGAAAATGGTGGGTCATTCAAAACTTGGCTTCTCATCGAATTTCTTTTTCTCTGTTTTAAAATATGGGATGGTCTTTAATGAATATGTTGACTAAACATAAATATTGTGTATAAGCATCATATTCCTTTGTTGAAATTTAACTTCAATTTTATTTGAAAAAATGGAGGCAACAAAAATTAAATTCTTGACCATACATGAAAAATGAGTAGTTCCATGACATAGTTTGATGTCCAATGTTATTGTTATTAAAATATTCCGTACATATGCAGGAAATGAACCTCTTGGTTGAAGTAGATAAGCCAGGCAATCAGCTGGATGATTATATAGCAAGACTAAATGTCATTCTATCTCAGAAGGCTGCTGGGATCATGCAGTTACAAACCCGTTTAGCTCATTTCCAGAAACGTTTAAAGGAGCATAACGTTTTGGCTTCATCTACTGGTTACTAATTTAAATGAGACTCCTGAGGTTTTAGAATGGATGGAGTCGAGTGATTCATAATGGAATAGTTTGGAAGACAATGGAGTGAGAAGGTTAAAAAATTACTTAAGTTGTGTGGAAGTTTTATTAGGGAATGGTGACCATTGCTTGGAAGTTAAGATGACAAATAATTGAATTATATAGATTACAAATTTAATCCCAACGCCATTCATTGTCAATTTTGTTGTTACTCAACTTTTTCTTAAAAATAAAAACACTCGATTGCCAAATTTTCTTGCTCTGGAATCATGAAACAAATTTCCTTCACATATAACAGACAACCACATCAAAATATTTAATTGGTATTAGAAGGGCTAACTTTTTTATCAATAAACAAAAATTCTTGGTCCAAATGTCAACTTTCCTTGCGCACCTTTTAATAACAATTTTGAAAATTTTCCGCACACTGTACATCTATTTTACATATAGTTTTAATCTTTCTCTTCTTTTTTAATTATATGATTCATCATGTTTATTAGTTTTTCTTTCTTATCTTTTTTAATCTCTCTTTCTTTTATGGTGTAAGCACTTTCAAGGGTATCGGAATATTTCTTTCTTTTGATTTTTTTTTAAAATTCAAGTAATAATAATGTTCTTAGAAATTAAGAAAAATGCTAATTTCAGTTTTTAATAACTTTTTTCTTATTATATTTTTTATATTTTTAATGTAATAAACACTTTAATTTTTAAAAATAAAGTTTATTATTATTTAGATGCTTAAATCAGAAATTGAGGTAAATAAATTATATTGTAGAAGTAAAAGAAGGGAGAAATATTTGTGCAAAATGTCCATGCTTGAATACATTTTTATTATTCAAAGTGTGGTACTAAATTATGAGTAAATCTAGAATTTTACACTTAAATGCAATAACTTGTGTTGATAATATATAATTTCCTCTTTCAACATGTCACTTTTATGATAATTAGTCTTTTGCATTTTGAAGTAGACCAAATTTAGGAACTAAATTTCTTGTAAAATAGATAAATTAGAAACTAAATTGTTACATTTTTTAAATTTATTGATGTAATTTATTAAAATAAGTATTTTTTAATTTAGTTTAACAAATCTTATGATCAAATTTATAATATAAGTGTTTACATAAAAATATTAATAAATAAACGTTTAAGTTAGATAGTAAAATGTAACTTCAAATTGTTTTCAAAAGGTTTTAAATAACTTTGAACATTTTGTATAATTCATAAATCAAGTTATTAAACAATATACTTCTCTTCAAAATATGTTCTGACAAAGTTTTTTCTCTTTAAAAAAGTATTGTCATTAATAATTGCTTAAGTAAATGAGTGACAGTTATGTTAACTTTCATGAACACAACTGACCAACGAACTTTTTCCCGCCATCTTGTGTTGTGATTCAATGTGGAACTCTGAAACTGCAATCTTCAAAGTAAAAGAATTTGAAACCCTTTGAGAAAAAGATGGCAACTTTGATATTGCCGAAGATAAGTTTACTAATGGTTGTGTTGTGCCTTTTGCTCTCAAAGAAAAACAGCAACAACCACCCCATCACACTGAATACGGTTCCCTTACATTCATTTTCCCATGGCCCCATCTCTTTATCTGTGAAGAACAAGAACGACGATTCTTCTTCTCGCTCTCTCCTTCAATATGATTTCTACCGAAATTCCTGCCCCCATGCAGAGCGCATTGTTCGTGCTGCAATTCACCATCTTTACCGCACTACACCCACTTTAGTTCCTGCTATTATCCGTCTTGCTTTCCATGATTGCTTCGTTCAGGTTCTTTTTCTATGCCTTTTCTTGTTATTGAACTTTGAAAAAATATGGGCCTATTATGTTTTAGGATTTTATTAACCTTAATTTTGAGATTGATTTTACTCGTATAAAATATTGATAGTTATTGTAGTTTTACATTTTTAGGATAATAGTTTTCTATTAATAAAAAATAATTATTTTTATATGCTTATTTCTAGCTCTAAAAACTGAAATTAATATTTTTTTTTATTATAAATTTTGTTAAGACTCGATTTAAACATATAAAAGTAGTAATAAATATTTTTTTTCAATAAAATTTTATTATTAGCAGTGGGATTGAGATTAATATTTTTTATTATTATTTATTCTAGTTCTGACATCTATTCAATGCTTTTTTTGAGTGATGGATCAGCATAAAAGTAGTTCTTATTTGTTTATGAATTGTGCTGATTTTAATCATGTTTGCAACAGGGATGTGATGCTTCTGTTCTGTTGGATGATGATGATTACATTGATTCAGAGAAAGAGTCACCTCCAAATGCAAATCTCAAAGGTTTTGAAGTAATCCAAACCATCAAATCCAAGCTTGAAGAAGCATGCCCCGGGGTTGTTTCCTGTGCTGATATTCTTGTACTAGCTGCAAGAGATTGTGTGGCTCTGGTAACATTTTTTCTACTCTTCCTTTTTATCATTGTATGTGTGTTTTGTTTGACAGGCATATGTTGAACATAATTTAACACTGTTTTTCAGAGTGGTGGCCCATGCTATCCATTACGCACTGGTAGGAGAGATGGTTCTAACTCTTTCTCTGACATTGCAACATATGAGCTTCCTTCTCCCTATGGTGAATTATCCCAAACCCTTGCAGCCTTCAAATCAAGAGGATTCAATGAAAGAGAGATGGTCACTCTCCAAGGTTAATTTCTAGTTATTCTTTCCCTTTCCCTTTGTATTAATGTAAACATTAGTCTTTTTGTCTTGTATCATATTCAAATTCCATGCTACAGAAGCTAATGATATAGGATGGTTCTTGTCTTTAGATTCATCACATAGAAATTGTATATTTCACGCACAAGGCTCCACTAAAGTGAGCAAATAAGGATATCTGCTTTTAACCCAAATTAGAAGGATAGACACACACTTAATTGCTTACTTCAAAGGAGCTTTTCCCTTTTAGCATCAGGCATGTTGGCCTCAATCATTCCTTTACATAACCAATCTAATGCCCGGGTTTGGATGTCTTTGGTCTCTGCTATTTGGTTCTTGTGCAAATTTCTGTTATGATGCATGACTTAGTCTATCCAATTTTTCCTTCCAGGTGCCCACAGCATTGGTGTATTCCATTGCAAATTCTTCCAAAATCGTCTATATAACTTCAATGGAACCAATGAACCTGACCCTTCTCTAGATACTGAATTTCTAAATCTACTAAGATCAAGATGCAGTTCCTCTAATGCATCATCCTCTTCAGCATCAAGTTATACTTTCCATGGCTCACATTCTTCCTTAGAAGAGAAAGGAATCAATATAGGCTTTGAGCAACATCGATCGGAGTTTGGGACATTATACTACCGCAGCCTGTTGCAAGGTAGAGGAATCCTCTATGCTGATCAGCAGCTAATGGAAGGGAAAAGAACCAAGAATTGGGTTGAAACATATGCATCTCATCCTACTTTATTCCATCGAGATTTTGCCCAGGCAATGATAAAACTCTCAGATCTACAGGTCTTGACACTGCCTATGGGACAGATTAGGCTCAATTGTTCAAAGGTTGCATGACAGTGTTCCCAAGAATAGATGCTGTCTCACAAGTCACAATCCCCCCTCTTATGTTTGTATGCATTACATTTTAGTTGACAACTGTAAGTCTGGAATTGCTAGAAATTTTAAAATGTGTTTCTGTTTTCTAGCACCCTTATAAAATCAAATAACTAAACATAAGCTGAAAGTCTATTATGACCCTAGCATCTTTAAGAAAGATACTGAAGATTTAGTAGTTTACAAAATGGGAAAATTGGCAAAAAGAAAGTACGTGATTCTAGTACAAAAACCACTATTATCAAATGAACAGTATGGATTCAATTCGAGCAAGAATCAGAAAGTGCCCAATAAAAGAAAAAACAGAAGCTGTAAACAATGGGAATTAAACTGAATAAACTCATTAGTACAAGAAAATAAGTGACACAAAATAGTGAACAAAACTCATTTCCTATATATTAAAACATTATTTGCATTGTGGTTAACTGGTTATCCTATCTACAACCGAATTGAGCCAAGCCAAGTCTTTCCTTTGTGAGTTCGAAGCTGGAAGAGGGTTGAGGAACAGATAGCTCTGATAGTATGTCCATGAAAAACTTGTCGACAATATCTAAATAGACAGGGCTCTTAAGGCGAGAATAGTAGTGGAGTGCCTCTTCTATGTCTAGTACATGCTCGAGATCACCTGCATCGATCAAATCCAATGCCTTCATCTTTTGTGCCAAAACATTAGCTCCCTTGTTCATGTTTTGTGAATTTAAGTCCTCCCTTTTTTTGAGTTGTGAGCTCCCTTTGTTCTTCTTCTCTTTTGCTCTCTCTTCATGAATGCTCCTTTGTGGACTTTTCTGGGCAAAACACATGAAGCTTTGATTACATGGAGCACCTTCCACTGCTGATTTGGATATGCTGTTGCTACCATACATCTTTAGTCTGCTGAGGTCAGACTGCAGTAGATCATAAAACTCGTTGTAAAATTGGTCGCTTGTGTGAGTTCTTGCACTGCCAGTTTTACAAAGGAATGGATTGAAGGAAAGAGATCTGGGAAGTTTTTGGTACCCGCCAAAGAAGAAAGACCTGAAATTTCGGAAGCTTTTGTGAAAGAAAACCTTGGTCTTGTGAATGGTTTCTCTGAGCAGCATTTGTGGTTCTACTGTGAAAGCGTGTGGCTTTCTCCAAGTGGCTGTGTCTTCAAGGGTCATAGTTTTAATTTGATGTAGTTCTTGTGTAATCTCCAATTTTGTCTACATTCAGATTCATAAATAAAGAGACGTGTAGCGGGTAACTTTAACTTGTTTATTAAGGTCACCAAAATACAAAACCAATGTGTGTTTTCTCTGGCTAGCTTTCAATTCTACCATTCTGTCCACGGCATCTCATGCTGTTGTCCCTTTCACACTACGTCCCTCTCCGCTCGTGACCATATGGTAAATGGGGTTAAAGATATTTAAGGAAGAGACTATAAGTTGTGGACTTGGCCTTGTTTTGACAAAGCGCTATTGAAAAGTCCAGTGGATTTAAGATGGAAAGCTCTTAAGAGTGGGCGAATAAGAGATTAAGCTTTGGTTCCCTTAACCAAGTAGTCCTCAACTGAGTTTTTCAGGTCTTTGTGCTTTGTCATGCAACTTGATTTTAACTTTTGGTACTGCAGTTAACAATTAATGCACCTCCCAAGCAGATTCAGACACTGCTTTTAACATAAAATTCAGTATGTGTCACTGAGAATAATTAATGGCCCACATGCTCACAATTCTGGAAGCATATCTACAGTTGCAAATGCAACTGCATGAACTCCAGTTTAGATCCAAAGGATGCAAGGTTTTAAAATTAAGTTACAATTTGTTTTTCAATAAAATCAAAGTGATCTAAGAGTGGACATGCTCTGCAGTTGATTTTTCAATTGCCGACCCGGTTAAGTTGGTGCATAATTTTTGAAATTATCATGTATTCCTAGGGCTTTTAAAAGAGAAACAAAAATTATTTTGTGAGAAAAAGGTGCATGGTCCCCATTCTACAGTCAGGTTACGGGGAAAAGAGTGCATTCCATTTTCCTGTACTTGCCAATATTGGACTCTTGCCATTGTTTAATTCCTCCACCTACCTCTTTCCTAAATTATGAAGTTGAAGCTACTGCACTTGCAAGAGGTTGGCAGATAGCTGTTGCTTTCTTGAAATGTTATTTGCCCCGAGTAGAAAGCTACTGAACTCTGGCAACTGACATAACTTTGGAAGCATTAGCACGGTTATAAGGACAATAACTGCATATCTCATTCATGAGGATGCCCGTGAGATCTGTCACACTGATTAAAGATGACCAATATGTAATTATTAATGAATTATTTCAAGGTCTGTGAACCAGTATATTGCTCAAATTAGACCTGACCTGTTACAAAGTAATACATGTCTGTTGTTTAAATTATATGTAGTGCTACAAATTATCTGGATTATGAAACCAATAGAAGCGGGCTAAACCTCGTGCACAAAATGAGGAAAAATTATATTGAAATCATGGCGCCAAGATCGGTTGATTGTATGCATGTAATAAAACATCTGATACCATACTTGCCCAAGTCCATGATCAACATACTGCAATTTTTAAAACTAAAGAAAGTTGCACGCAACTCAATCTAAATCTTGAAAGACATCAATTCTCGTTGAATAGGGGATCAACGTGTTTATGATACATTCATGGTCACAAAATCTGCTGGTAGATGGATGCGACTATGAGCCATATGGGATGACGAAAGTCAAATTAACTTGTACATCATTAATGATACCAATTGCTGAGATCACATAACATGTATTGGTCCACGACTTCAACAAATGCAGGTAAAAGAGGAACCATTGGAATTTTAAAAGCACGGTTAGTGTGCAGTTCTAAAATTCAATGGTTCATATTGTAAATAATGCACCCTTCTCCGGAGATAAAATGTTACATACCGGAATCCCCAAACCCCCACAAAATAAAATGGACAAAGGTCAACTACGCAAACTAGAGCTACGCAAGGTTTGATTTGCCAACTCATATTTGTATCTTTACTGTCTTATTGCTTAGGATTCAACTTTAACTTCCAATACTACTCTGCCCAATGTCAAGTTTTTCAGGAAACCTTTACAAATGAAGATAATGGAATCACAGTTATACAAGATCTGCTGAAGGGACTAATGGCCACATGTCTTCTTGAGTTTGAAAAACTGATGCAACAACCTATGTACCTCTCCATAGTTAAGGGAAAAAGAAACGAGACGATCTCGTATCCACTGGGGGAGCTTGGTGATTGGGTGGGCAAAGCTCCGTTTTGAGGAATCAGATGCATACCTCGTGTCAACCAACAAAATTGCTGCATAGTCATTAATGTGACGGATTGCTCTACCTGAAACAAATAAACATACATTTATTAGTGAAAGGTAAATATCACCAATGGGATCCTATCAAAAGTAGCTTCCACCAAACCATGTTCAGCCTCTCGAGAGATCTTTAGTCCCCAGAATTGCATCGTAATTTGTAAAAGTACGCACCGATTGATTGATTTACAGCTTTCATGCAGAGATTCTCATAGTACTCTTTTCCTCTGTGACTGCAACTTCTTAAGATGTCAAAACCACCTTGTACATCTCCACTGTATAGATCACAACTAGCAGAAAAGCTAGGATTTTCAAGGAACTTTGAATTTCGAAAACCTTCAATATGCTTTATCCTCTCTAACAACTCAATATCAGACGGGCTAGCATATGGCAGTCCAACCATGACTATGCATCGACCCATTCCATCACTTAAATTGATCCCTTCAGATATCTTTGCACCAACAACAGCAAGGAGTACTGCACCACTAGGAGGTGTTTGGTTTACTTCTGAATTCAAGCTTGATAATGTATAAATGGCATCTTTATATTCCTTAAGAACAGATTCAACATCCATATTATTTCTAGGCTCCCTAAAGACACGCTTCCTCTTTGTAATCCTTTCAAGGATGCCAGAAGACTCCCAGGATTCATAAACTCTACCTTCATAATCAAAAGAAGGGAAGAAGACCACAATTCCTTCTGGAACCACAGTCACCAAATTACATAGCAGAAGACCAAGTTCTCGCATCTATAAAGCCCAAGAATCAGTCATTTTTTCACAATTAATATTTCAGAGAAATTATTCTGAGTCTGAAGAATCATAGACGGAACAGTGATATACTTACCATGTCTTGTGAGCTCCTAGAGCTGAAGCTAAAATCAAAGGAGCGGCCAGTAGGTCCACGTGTAACTGTAACTGGCATAATGCTATCTGGAGGGACAATATGACCACATGAAAAGAAATGCAACTGATTTGGTGGTAACCATGGAAAGAGTCGCTCCCTAGTCTCTTCTATAGGTTGAAGTGTTCCCCCTACTAATACAACTGCGTGTGCTTCGTCTACAATCTAGAGAAAGTTTCAGAGTTATCTTCTTGTTCATTATCTGTAAGGAAAAGAAACTAGAGCTATAAAATCCTTTTCTAATTAAGGCAATAGTATCTGGCAAACCTCAGAGAAAATCTTCTCTCCACTGAGCATAACATATTTAATATATCCTCCTTGTTTTCTGAGGCTCGCTGGTCTAGACCTGGAAATTATTATCCTTCCATCACTGTCATTGTTTGTCAGCGAGAGCAATATGTCAGCTAATGCCTGGAAAGCAGACAGACAACTTCCTTCCTCACCATGTTCCCCAATTTTTTCATGTGCTGATATCTTCTCCATAGCCACCTTTTCTCCATAACCACTAACCTGAAAAATGAAGTAAATTATGATATTAAAAAGACAAAAGAAAATTCAGAAGCATAATGTAATATTCTGTCGGAAGAAAATGTGTCCATCAAGTCGCAAGATTCACCTTATGCATGATATTACTTTCCTTTATATACGTCAACAATTTGACCAAGTTGATATTGTCTATATTTAATTCAAATAAAAAATCATTGATGGCCGTAGTAAAATCAGAGGTTCTACTTTCTTCAGAAGCATTTTCTATATCCAGGCATGAATCTATATGATTTCCATCTTTGTCGTTGTGTAGTACACCAAGGAAAGCTTGCATGAGGACCATCAAAGTTTGAATATATCTCCGATTGGCAGGTCCCAAGAGATTCCGGAATCTCACAAAGTACCGCTCCACATGGCTATGCACAGTCTCCAACTGTAAATATAGAGTAGTTGATAGGAAAATCACAACTAAACATCCAAAATATGGGCATAAACAATAAATAATTTGTGTTATGTCTACCCCTAAAGCCACACCTACACTGACTGCCTGATGACTGTCTCAAATCATTAATTTCCTTTCCCTCTGTTTGAAAGGATTTTCAAACCGCCTCAAATAAAACATTGACTTAGCTCGGATGATAGGGAGGCTAGGTGTTCAGTCAGAGTTCTCAGTTGTAGCAACATAATCGAGGTCCCTTCCACAAAAATGGCACCCCAAAATTGCATATGCAAAGTGCAAGTCTATACTAGCTTTTAAAAGGCACTAGTAAAACTTCAATCAAGGTAGAGATAGAAATGACAAGCATACCTGTGATAAAGTAATTTTGGAGTCATACATACTGATGAGTGAATCAGCTAAATTATGGGCCTCGTCTATTATAACAATATTGGATTTCAAATTCAGACCAAGTGCTTCACGGGATGATTTAGATAGAAGAGATTGATATGGCAGGACCACAAGATCAGCTCTCCGAACCATGCTTCTAGAGCCATAGTATGGACAAGTTCCCATAGTTCTTCCAAGGTTAGCAAGATCTTCAATATCCAATGGCCCTTGTTGAGATACTTCATTCCTAAATTCTTCTTGTAGTCTATGTTTTCTAAGCATTGGGCAACCTGATATGGCCTTTGCTCTGCGTACCCCTGCACCTACTTTCAAGTTCTGCAAGTCGGATCCACCATTGTTCAAGAGATATTAGTTTCTACACTCTATTATCTTATTTATTCAATTGCAGAAGTTGTCCAATAACATCGGGTTGTGAGCGCTGAGTAGGACACTACGTTGCTTAACTAGACATTCAACATGTAAAATAGTAAAATCACACGGTTTCATCTTCAGTTTTTCATTTCTAAACTGAATTTTCTTGGTTTTTCAGCTGAGCAAATGGACCAATTTTTAAATTGCCGACCAAGTAGAAGCATCAAATACTGAAGGTTCATCAACATATATCCTCCCAGCACAAAAAAGTAAATGAATATAACAACGAACAAGAAGCGATGTTTTGTGGAAATGGAAAAATTATGCATCCATAAAAACTTCAGCACAATCTTATCATTCTTAACAGAGAACACGCGAACAAATTCACCTGTCTATACTCATGCAAAGTATGCAGAGCTGTAACGTAAATATCATCCGCTAGAATGAACAAAAGGTGGCAAACCATTATAAATTTTAAGTTTCTACATGGCATCTTCCAACAGAACAGGGATACACCTGTTGATCATGACCAAAGTTCCAAACCCTACACACCTTAACTTTTGAAGCTTCATTTTTCTTTTTCTTCTGGAGTTCCAAGCATCGCTCATTTATGCGTGTGGAGTTTCCAAGTCCTAGTACTTCTGGAAAACATTTAACAAAATCACAGGTAAAATATAACTATTTGCAGCTACTTCAGTTTCAACAAGTAAACAAAGGAAATCAAAATGACCATCCAAACGAAGTAAACTCCAAACCTTCATTAATGCAAAGGTTTTTCCTGGAGCCTAAACTCACAACATCCATTTCATTAGCAAAGACTGTCTTCCTCAACTCCTTTACGAACTGTGAAAGCTGTGAATGAGTTCGACTACAGAAATAAACCTTCAAATTCTTCTCCTCCTCCTCCTCCTCATCAGACTCGTCTTCACTAGAAGAACTAAAAGCAGTTTTAGTATTCTTCCTTTTGGATGATACACTACCCAGAGCTTTCTCATCTTCACTCTCATAATCCTCCAGTAAAAACTCCTTATCGCTGACATTCACCGTGCCAATTTCCTTCTGCAAACTCTCACACCCCTTTTCAGTAGCAGACTCTCCAACGCCCATAACCCGAAAATCCTTACAATTTTCCTTGTTCTTATTCTTGCGAGATTTTCCCAACATAGATCCAACCTTCTCCTTATTTTTCTCTCTCTTCTCCTCTTTAACTTTCACGTCTTTGTTCACAACAAAGTCTCTCATCCAATCAGGTTCGTCATCCGAACCAATCCCATCGCCATCGCTATTCGCTCTATCCTTACCACACGCTGCTTCTTCTTGTAGCCTCCGATCAAGCACCCATTGCAAAGCACTACAAATCACACTCACAGTCTTCCCAGTTCCTGCTCCAACAACAGAACCAATCATAGTCACATACTATTTTTATGAATGAACCGAATTTAACAAACCTTAATTTCGAGGATAACAGAGTATCATGAAACTAGAAGAACGAGTAGTTAGTTAGTTACCAGTTGGGCTTTCCAACATGGAAACGCCTCCTTGAGTCAGAGATTCATACAGAGCGTTCATGAAATCAATTTGAATCGAATAGGGTTCGAAAGGAAACCCTCGGAATCTCACGTTTCCCTCTTTCGCTTCCATTTTCAAACCTTCCAAATACAATACACTTCTCACTCGCAACTTTTATTTCCCACGCGCCACTCGATGGCGGGAACAGCTTCATTTCCACGAACACCTTTTTAAAAAAATAAAAATGGACCGGGGCCCAAAAATAAGAAAACAACGTAAACTTACGAAAGGCCCAAAAAGAAGAATGAAAAGCCCATAAATAATTGAGCGGAAAAAAAGGCCCAAAATTCACTGTCGTAGAACATATAAATATCTTCTCATTCTGCGGTTAGCTCCATTTAGGGTTTCTGTCTGCTACAATGGTATTTCTCTGTCTTACACTCTCTGTGGATCTGAGAGTGATTTTGATTTTGTTGTGTTGATGTTTGAATGGGGATGATTGCAGGGGAAGGGAACTGGGAGCTTCGGTAAGAGGAGGAACAAGACCCACACTCTCTGTGTCAGGTGTGGCCGCCGCAGCTTCCACCTTCAGAAGAGTCGCTGCGCCGCCTGCGCTTTTCCGGCAGCCCGGAAGAGGAAATGTCAGTTTTGGGAAATAAAGGGAATTGGGTTTGTGTCAAAATTGAGTTTTGTTTTGACTTTGTTTTGTGATTCCAGATAACTGGAGCGTCAAGGCCATTAGGAGAAAGACCACTGGCACTGGTAGGATGAGGTACTTGCGTCACGTGCCTCGCAGGTTCAAGAGCGGTTTCAGAGAAGGTGGTCTTCTATTTAACCACTACTATCTTCTATGAGTATTGTTCTTTTTGTTTGTGGTTGTGTGTTTTTGTTAATATGATCCTTTTGAATCAGGCACCGAAGCTGCACCTAGGAAGAGGGGAGCGGCTGCCACTGCCTAAGGTTTGAAAGAGAGATTTTGGGTCCGCTATTGAATTATAGGAGTTTAGGTTTCTGTGTTGAGGCTAAGCTCTGTGGAACATTTTTCTTTCTGTCATTTTCATGCTCTATATTTCAATATGTAGTGGCTTTATATTTCAACATGAGGATTGTAAGACATTTTGTTTTTTCAACGAGAGTTTTTGATATTTATGTTTTGGTTTATCCTTTCAGGCACGAGTTTTGATGTTGTGGCACGTAATGAAATGTAACTAGCAAAATTTGTGTTAGGCTGTTTGGGTAACCTGGTTTGCTCTTGCTTGATCATTAACATTTTGGTTATTTTTCGAGTCTTGGCTTAGATTTGTTCTTACTTAATATAGGTGTTAATCAAATGTAACGTGTGCCTCAAAAGAAACATAGTCATAGAACAAAACACTTTCCTGATGCAAGGGGTGTATTAGGTTGTGTTTTGATTATGGATATTGTTATTAACATTTGCATATTGGTCTCACTTAGTGGGTGTATTGATTGGAGATTTGTGTGATATGAGTTATTTCATTCTTGTTTTAAGAATGGATTGTGCAATTACCGCGCATAAGTCACATTGATCTTTACTTTGAATGCGCATTTCAGCTAATTTTAGAAATAAACTGTTCTCTACCATCCACTTAGTTTCTTAATTTGAAACAGAGGTTCTTCAATCTTCTGCATGCTTGATGTTGGTTCATTGACTTCCCAAGAGCTTTAGAATTAGAAGCATTTCGATGCGTGAAAGCTTTAAAGAACATATTTGTTTGATGTTTGAACTAAATTCTGAGAAGTGATTTTGTTAATATGCTATGAGGAATTTATCATGTTAGGTGCTATGAACTACTATTTGTTAACAATTTTGTTTTATTGAGATGACAAAAAAAAAAAAAAACTAGTGTAGTTGAGGCACTTGTCTTCAGAACTTAAGTGAAAATATGCTTGTTGTGTGTAGAAAATTTACGCGTAGTCCCAATTTAAAATAAGTTATGTATACATGATGGTTTAGGGTTTACTAGTTTGATTAATGACTCCTCAATATTGCATATTAGAAGATTCTTGGATTTTAAAAGTTATTTCACATTTATTATGAAGTTGACACCTTGTTATATTCTATTCTTAAAGATTGCATGATAATAAAAACCTTTTTGTTTTCTACTTGAATTTTTAACATGAAAAGTGATGATACAAAAATAAATATCTTCTGAAGCCAAACAAACTCTCTACGTAAGACCAATTTTAAGTGTATATTAAGTATGAATTATGAACAAGGTTACTTCTGTTTGAAAGCCATGAGAAAGAGATAAACCGTCTTCATAGTTCATACACGCAAATAGATGAGCATCTTGGAAAAAAGAACGTTCTATTCGTGTCCTCAGACATAGACCAAAAATAGAACGTTAAGTAATGCAAGGGAAAAAATGATATCAAAACGTCCTGACTGGTTAATGACCTCACCAGTAACCCACTTAATAAGAGCCTTCTCAATCCACAGATCACTATGTCGACCAAGAAAATATCGACGGATCACTTGCAAGAGCGTACGACCCTGTCAGTCACAGTTTTAAACAGCAGTTGGCTTGAAAAGATTTTAACAGATAAAAAATCTGAATAATTGCACTAATCTCGAAATTTACAAAACGGCTACCTCATGATGCCGAACATAATTACAAAACTTGACCTGATAGACAGAAAATTTGAATTGCCTTCAAGTCGTTGACATGCAGAAGGGGAAAGATGTCGGTTGCCGAGACAAATGGGATAAACCAGGAAAAATCACAAAACAAAAATGCATCCTGGAAGACACAACATCTGCACTATAGTTTCTCTGCCTCATCTGAAAATTATAATCCTACTTTGTTCTGAACTCGCCAAATTTATGCTTTTCTTCATGCAGCTGCTTGAAAACATCCCCGAGTTCTGGAAATGCTGATGTAAGCAGCAACTCCAAGAAATCAAAAGCCAGCTGCTTCAAACAAACCGACGACTGCAAGGAAGTCAAAAAGAATATTTATAATGATGCCAAATCATGGGAATAATTCTTGCATGAGAATTGTGTCTATAGGCACGAAATAAAAAGATCAGCATAATATTAAAACTAACTTCAACATGGACTTCACCAGACTTTATTATTTACTTTCATATATCTTGAGCTTTTGAGTGATTTGGTGGGAATTTTACAGAGAAACTCAGTTACCCAGAAATGATGGGATGATGATGATATAACTATCAGTCGCAAAAGAAAAGTAGAAAGATAATCAAAATGAAAGTAGTACTTGACTACTTGTACCATAAAATATATTATCATGCTCCAAGTGAGCCAAGTGAATTCTAAATTGGAATGCAATGCGCAGCATCATAAATTTCATGGGATAATGTTACAACCAACATTGCCGAGGAATTAGTGGTAGAAGGGCAAAAGAAGCTTCTGTGGACAACATCAATAAATTTAGACAGAGATTACCTGAAGGAAAAAATATAGATCCCTAGCACATTGCTCATACTCCTTTCGACCAACCAGACCTACAATTGCTGGTGGTGCATGATCTACATGTACAGAGGGATGGGTTGCTTAGCACAAATTTTTTTTTTTTTCAAAAGAATCAGGTATAAAATAATGAATAATTGGAATTTTGGAGATGAATGAGTGGCAAAACAGTACCAATCATTAGCTCATAGACAAACTTTGCACGCCGTTCTGCCTCCTTTTGCTGCTCATCATCCACCATTGTTGAAGATACTTGTGTAGGTTGATGACCATGAGGTGAATTCTGAGATGAACTAGCAGGTGATTTTGGTGGTGGTGGTCGTCGATTTGGATGCTTAGTTAGGAATATTCCATCAGGCCAGAGTATCTATGAAAGTTGCAGTCACAATACCTCACATCAGTACACTATATCAATCATATGCTTATCAGGGTCCTATGATATAAAAATAGAAATATAGACATCACAAAAGAAAAAAAAAGGTCAGAAGATTACTTGCTCAACTCGCTTGACCCCTGAAGCAATCACTGATCCCTTACGGAGTAGCTGAATTTTCTCTATCAACCAGTCATCAAAGGCATCACCCATTCCTAGTTGTAATATTTGTTTAGCAACCCAGAAGGCCTTCCGCCTGTAATCACCAGAAATACATTGTAAGAACTAAGAAGATAAACATGAAACTAGTGAACTTAATATAACTTATGTTTAAGGAGAAATGAATATGAATTTTCAAATTACCTAATCCATCCACCATCTTGAACCTGGAAGATGACATCCACCAGATCCAATATTGGTACACTCAAATTTGGTGGCACCCACTGCATGGAAGAATTATATTAAATCAGAACCAAGATTTCCATCATGCATATAAAATCTAAGAAGAACAACATCAAAAATAAAATACAATCATTACTCAGTTAAATAACAGCAATGAACGATAAAAAAAATTACATCATTTGTCTATTCCTAAAAGAAAAGAATAAAAATCCAGAACTAAAGATTCAGTGTCTTCATAACCTCTGTTGGAAAAGTATCAGAAGTATCATGGTTCACATCAGAAACCTCATCTGAATTATCTCTTCCTTTCACCGTCTGCAAGTTATTGGGAGAAGGTGCAGTCTTCCTGGTTAGAATATCTTTATTGCTGCCAGAATTATCAAAAGACTTTCTAGGTTCTTGTGTATTCTTTTTAGGAAGAGAAAGAGGTGTGCCATCTACTTTTGACCTCAATCCATCAGCCTCAACATTATTTCTTGCTTGCAAAACAGCCTCTTTGCCTTCTGCACTACAGTCTTCTCTCCGTAAGGCTATAGGGTCACTTGCAGGTGCAGAGAAGTTGGAAGTGTTTTTAATCTTCTCAGATGGCTTGGCATCCAAGCCAACTAAATAAACAAAGAAATGCAAGACGTGTCAAAAATGGGAGAGGAAGATAATAAAACTATGTATGTTCAATGTCCTTCATTAGCCATGACTCACCTGGTAATGTTTCCATGATAGAAAAAGAATTTGAGAATATGTATGTCTGCAATAGATAATAAATACTAATAAGAGATAAGCCAGATAATTTACAAAAGTGTTGGCAACAGAAGGGAGGAAACTGTTGGACAAGAAATCAGACCTGAGAGTCAACACTGAGAAAATCCCATACTTCAATTGATTCTGAAACTGTTGGTAGTTGCATAAGTTTCTGAGGGGCAATAAGCCAGGCATCAACATATTATTGGATGAATCAAGGAAAATTGTCAGCAATGACAAAAACAATGCCATATGATACATGCAAAAGAAAGTGTATGATCTCAATAAAAATGAGTTTAAGAAGTGTCAAGTTCACCTTCAAATATTTATCCAGCAATTCACACCGCTCTTGAATGACTGGTACATCTAAACCAGTTGACAGAAAATGTTTTGGTGGTAAATGAAGATTGTACTCAGGGAACTCTTTCAGGCGTCGATGTAGCTCCTCAAAATGACGAAACCTTCAAAAAACATGCAACAATGTAAGCCAAGAAAGAAAGATAACAAGAAACCTATGAAAACACTGTCAGATTAAAAAATATTATTAGAAACATTGATATAAAACATGGAGAAGGCTTAGCACCTTCTTTTAATTGACCAACTGTTATTATTTACATCTGTAACGGATATGGAGTAAACAGCAAAGGTTCTTGAGCCACTCTTCACAATATTTGCACCTAAGACCTGCAGCAATAAGTTAGCTTGCGTTTTTGCATATACAAACAGATCAGTATATGAACTTATACATCATTTGTAAAAAGAGGTATATGTCACCATCATAAGTACCTCACATCGCAACTTGTAAAAGGAATCCATGGCAGAGGAAACTTTTAGGGAATTAACGGACAAACTACAAGATTCTGATTTAGAAATAGAGTATGTGGAAGAGGAGGCAGTGGCTCCACTGTAAAGTCTACCCAAAGTTTCAATATCAGCATCATCACTGGACTCCTCAGAATTTACATGTAATTTTGGAGAATTAAGTATGTCTTGACCATCTCCAGATAAAAAGCTGGTTCTCTCAACTTCCTGCCACGTATGTATTTTATGACCACTTGGCCTAGACCTTTTACTGCCAGATTGGGTTCTGGATAATCTTGGATAGCGAGAATGGCTCTTATTCCTTTTCTTTGTACTGTGATTGTCAAAAATTTCAAGTGGGTGATGAACATAAGAAACGGCCTGGTTTCTATTACTTCTTCCATCCCAGACCTTAGTGCCAGGGGAATCAAGACCAGTGACACTGCTGCTCTCATCATCTTCAGTACTATAAGAAGTACTGCCCTCTGAATCATTCATCTGCGTATAAATGTGGTTGTGCTCATCATCTTTATATGAGGTAACTGAAGATCGAGTTGATCCATTTGTGTCTGCAAGAAAGGACGTATTTTCAACAGTGGATTGACTGCTGTGTCCAGAATTAATGTGGCCTCCCTTAGAGGGAATGAGTTTGGAATTTGTGTCTCTTTCTTTGGGTCCTGATATTGACTTCATATGATCTGCTTTTGACAATTTTCCTACCACAGGATGCTGCAAAACAGGCTCATTTGACTGGTTCCCGTCATCCTTTTTCTTGTAATTTTTCCCTTTTGTCCATATGTTCTCAAAATGTTCTGGAGCAAGAGCTTGGGTCTTTCTGCGAGAGATGACATCTAAAATATCTCCCCACTCTCCTCCGGAGCGATGTCTCTGAACACCTTGGTTGTCATTAGTTTGCGAATTTGGAGGCAATGAGTTCCATGTGCGGGATGATTGAGCATCAATAGAAAGCAATGGATCTTTAGTAATATTATCACGGGTATTATTTTCTGCAGAAGACTCTCTATTTCTTGATTGACCATTCCTTAGCTGCACAAGCTCAACCCCAGTAACAGAAGGATCTAGACACTTGGAAAAATGATCAGACGAAGTCTGTAACTCATCTGGATTAGTGTGAGATGCCTCTTGTGCTGCAGGGACCCCCTTGTTAACCTTGGTCTTATTAACTACCACGGATTCAATTCTTTCATTAACAAATCTGCAAGTGTAAAACAGAGAAAATAAGAACAACATATGTTAAGAATGACACAAAATGAAAGGAAAAAAAATACCTCGGGTTGGCTAAGTTTAGGACAGGTCGCATTACAGCACATGCAAGAAGCTCCCTCACAGTATATCGAAAGAAAGAACACCTCAAATCCTCAGATTTGAAAGTAACATACATGAGACCTGTCATCAGATGCTGCAAAACCTGCAAGTTAAGAATACACACAGCATTATAACCCAAGGCTAGAAAATAAAAGAACAAGATCGCAGCCCATGGATGAAGACAAAATACACCATTACCCAATGCATGCTTCTAAAACAAGAAAGTGAAAAAAAAAAAAAAAAAACAAACCTTATGCTCGGCTTCAGCAGAAAATAGAGCAGGATGCAATTTGTTCTCAGCAGCCAAGACAATTTTTAGTTCAGTATCTCGACTTTCAATTGTTAATGAACCTGTATGTTGTTTTTCAATCTTTAAATGAGCAGCACGAAACAGCTCCAAGTGTGTGCAAATGAGATTAATAAGATCCCTGAACCAAAAAAAGTCAATTCTCCAGTCAATCAATATACAATTAGGGAAAAAAATCATGGTCAAAAAATGAAAATGAGAACCTTATCAAAAAATCTATCAGATTTATGTTTCTCATGCGTCCTGAAATTTCCCCAAGGACACCATTGATTATTTTCACCAACTCCTCAGGACCCTCTTTGTCTGGTGTTATGCGAGAATACCAAAGATCTGTCACCCACTCAGAAATTAAATGTCTGGTGAAGTGATCAATTGCATCCTCGACTACAGGAGAGTTCACTTTTGTTCTCCAATCAAACTTTGCAACGACTTTAGGATTTTCAATAGGCTTATTTGAAGACTGAACAATGGCGGAGCTTGCTTTGTTGTTGTATGCTGCAGCTTTTCTCTTCATTTCAAAATCTAGTGATAAATAGCGGAGAATAATAATTAAGGAGGCAGCAGCTGGCAAGTTGACCCAAACTGAGGAACTTGTCACTGAAACAAAAACAAAAGAAATTAAACCAAACACCAAGACCTAAAAATATCATGAAGCTATAAAATAACAAGTGAGAATCTCTTAATATACACAGTTTTCTAAGAGTTGAGGAATAATGCATTTGCTTGGGGACATGAAAGGAGGTATTAACAAAATTTAGTGTCACCAAATGAACCCAACAGCGGTAGGGGTGTTCAAGTATCCAACCTTAGCTGATCAAAGTGATGAAACTGAACCAAACTGCAGGGCAGCTTTGGTGTCACTGAAAGATAAATATTCTAGGATATTTGCCATAGACTTTATTCATAATTTTGACAAAATGTCAAAGCATTTAAATAAAACAAAATCTGCTATCATGCTCCTCTCCCCTTTAGAAAACAATTCATAGCTGCCAAATCCTAGACTGACCTCAATCTCTTTTTACTTTCTTTATATATCCAAATTCAAATCATGATCATAGGATTATTGTTAGTAACCTTCCACTGTTATTAAAAACTCATATAATTGTAGTTCCCTTTATCTCATCTCACCTCACATAAGCAAAATCAAGCACAAAAAAATGCATGAGGAGGAGATATCACAACGAAACGGACCATAAATTTCAGTAGCTATGAGACTACACAGAAATATTCAACGTCCAGAATGAGGTAAAAAAAAAAATTTGGCTTCCAATGCGCATAAAGGAGGTCAAATAATGATTTCGATGTGAGTCCTAGTTCCTATATTAGGAGGTTTGTTTATTTTAGTTTTTTTATAAAATTATTTTGCCAATTTCAAGGTGACTATGGTAGAATTAAATTCCTGTTGTAATACTATGTGGATTATGAAGCTTTTGGATTATTCACTTTTCACCCAAGCTTGTTATTGTGTCTATAGAAGTGTCCTCTGTGTTAAAAGGTAAAACACAAAGTACAACATGCATTTTCATGTCTGAATATTAGGATCAGCAGTTCCCCTGTGTTGTGGTGAATTCTTGAGTTTCTACCATGCCAGGTTCCAAGCTAGAATAATAGCTAACCCAAATAGTTTACAACATTTCAAGCTTCCACCATGGGTCAGTTTGGCTAGTACCATATCACATTATCACCAAGAAAAACAAAGAAGCAAGCTGGATATCTAAAAGAAAACAGCAGCTACTCTTTGATCACGAATACTGTAGTAGTACAGTAACTAAAGCATCACTTCGTAAGCAACAGTTTCCACTGAAAACCTTCCCACATTCTTCCAACAAAATAGGTCCAAACAATGTCGTCTTCTCTAAAAACTGATAGAGAAACGATCCTACGTCTTAAATTCAACAGCATTCTTAAATTTGTTTTTCCAAATTAAAGAGAACTGCCATAAGAAATTGTTCCTACCATTCTTCGCACAGCAAGTAATATAAAAATAACCGTGATGCTTTAAAAAATTGTGCACGTGATTACCAAAACAATGAAAAAAAAAACTGCTGAAACTAAACATTAAACAAGCAACACACAGTAAAAGGAAACACAAATCGAAGTCGTTGAACAGAACAGAAGCACGCGCTAGCGCGATTACAGAGCGAAATTAAGTAAAGGAAAAGAAAAACGAAAGTGAAACTCACAGGACATGAGATATGAGAGTCCAACGACGCATACGACGAGGATGACGATCCGTTTCTTAGCTTCCTCGACGAGGTCTCTCACTGTCACCTGGTTCGGCTTCGGCATGCTCATCTTATCGGAATCGCTACGCAACGCAATTCGGAATAGCAATACTCAATTCAAATCAATCCCAACGCCATCGCCAGAAGAAAACGCGAGACGGTGAAATAGGATAGGGAATTCGGTTGAGAATGAGGAATTGAAGAGATGAGAATGAGAGGGAGAGGTTGAATGCGCGAACAGTATCAACGTTAGGTTTTTGGCTTGTGTTTGCGTTTGCCGGTGATGGCAACGTTGCCGTGATGGCGTGTGCTTAATTTTCTCACTTTGTGTGAGTTTTCTCTTCCACTCTCTCTCTCTCCCTCTCCTGATATTGACGTGGGCTTTCTTTTCCACTGTGATTCAATCTATGCCTATGCAATTGCCATTGTCATTGGTTATGGTCACCATTCTGGTTAGCATACCATTTATTATTATTATTTTATTTTTCCAGTTTGTATACTCTGGAAGGATTAACAAAACATGTCATGTTTCAATTTAAAAACAATTTAAAGTTGTAATAAGTTAACATGAGTATTAATTGATTTGATAAACTTTTAGGAAAATACTCATTGCACATTTTAATTAATCAAACATTCTAGCATTTATTTATAATATAGAATTAATAATACGATAATTTATGATTAATTTATAATATAAATTTTTAACAATTAAAATATTTTAACTAATTTTTATTTTAATGTTTAAATTGAATTTGCAATTATTAACACTTTGACACACAGTCAATTGTTCGGGAAAGAGCAAACGTTTGAGGCATAAAAATGGATAATGGAATTACATAATTGTACCCTCGCGCGTTTAAAAACTATTAATTAGATCTTAAAAAAAGTAACTCATAAAAAACACTTTGTTAACTAGTGTATTAAATATAAGAAAACTGATATTTAGTTATTATATAATATATTTTTTTTTGTAATTAAGTTTTTTATGTAAAAAAAAATTGTATATTATTCTCTATATAAGTCCATTCTTATAGTACGTTATGACTTTAATTTCATTTTTTTGTTTAATAAGTTATTTAATGTAATAAGTTTAAATTTTTACAAAAATTTTTTCATTTAATTTTTATAAATAAAAAAATCATTTATCAGATCTTATATAAAAAATTGTTTTAAATTTTATTTGTATTGATCTTATGACAGTATTAATTAAATTAACATTTTCTTATCAACTTTAGAAGAATTGTTCTAAATTTTTTTAAAAATTTTGTATATTTTCAATTTATTGTATCCAACTTCATTTGTATAAGTTAATATTTATTCGCTTAAAACTTATGGGAAGAACTATCTTAATAAAATATTGTATCTTAATTTTTGTTTTAATAAGAGTATTACATTCAAGGAATTGCTTGTGTATTTTTATTTTACTAGTAGCCTGTAGGTCCCAAAAGTAATAGGTTCCTCTGGAATTTTTCTGTATGTCTCTTGCAACATGCGTTTGCATATATGATAAAAATGAAAGGATCAAATAAAGAAAAGTTACAAAGTCCAAATTCTATGAAATCTTCCAACAATGAAATATTTCAGACGACATGTTTCGTGATTGGAAACTGCAACTGGTGGAACTACACACCTCGAAACAGATCGATTCAGAAATAAATGGTTCGTAATTGATTCAATCCCTCACATACTTCTTTGTTTATTTATTTAACGACGAATTACTCATTTTTCCTGATACCAAATTATTTGTTCTTCAACGTGCCAGCTCAAATAATGACCTTCATCATGAATTATGGCTGTGGATCACAGTAGCGGTGAGCTATGGTCCATCTCATTATTCAATCCAACGCCGTGTTCCTTTTCGCCATGGACAGGAAGATGCGACAACTATATATATATATTTCAACCAGCATCGTATTTCCTTTTTAAATACATGTTTTGTAATCTAACTCTCTAACATATTTTAAGATAATTTTAATTCGGAGCTTAATCACATCTTTCCTATTTATTTTATTTTATGTGCTACTTAAAGTTGCTTACTATGTAATTTATGTCACCTTATCTAACTTCGTGAGTGAATTTTAGAGCACAAAAATCTTTATTTACAATTTTTTTCTTATTTAAGAAAAATGTATGTGATAATTATTATTGTTTAAGGGTTTTATTTGAGAGTGAAAGAATTTATAAATGTTTTTATACATGTACAGTTTGATAATTATAAATTGAAAAAAGAAAAAAGAACGCAGAAGCTTCACACGTGACCAATGAAGAAACGTCCAGAGGGAACAACTTAACTGATGTGGCAAGATTTGACAGCGAACACTTGTCATCGTTGGATTTAGTTATAAATATTTAATTATATTTTAAAAATATAATAAAATTTATAATTTATATATAATATTTTTCTCACTGAAAAAATATATTAAAATGTTTTATTTATTAATAATATTAAATATAATATATTATATTTTTATAAAAAATACTTCTTCATTTTTAATACATATTCATACACGCATAAAAAATTCATTAATTATTTACTCTCTTCCCGTAACTAGTACTTAGATCGGGAATATTGAGTACCCATCACGGCTTTAAAAAAGATAAATTACAAAATTTTCAACCATGCGCTGTGGCTGACCCACCTTTTACATGTATAAAAAATGCGCATGTTACAATGAAAAGTATAACGAGTAAGGCTATAAACGTTTGTCTAACATTTTTTTTATTATTTATTTAAAATTATAAAACTATATATGTCTTATTCTTTATTTTTAAAATAATATTTTTTAATAAATTTTAATTAATAATAAAAATACGTTACTGTCATTACTCAAGTATGATTGATCTGTGTTGTCTCGTCTTATCCATTAAATGTGTATATTTTTCTTGTAATGCCCCCACACGGTGTAATTTGGCATAAGCTTGGGGATTAATGCGCGTCGGAACATGTTTATTCTTAATCTAACTTTTCCTTGTCATAAATAATGATGCATGCCATTCGTCCCAAAACTATGATCCTCGATCGGAACTGCTTGTTAAGATAATTTTTTCTTAGTTTACCAAAAAAGCCTTCGAGAATGTTATCAAAGATCACGCGAGCAAAAGAAAACTAGTAATGATAATCTTTGGTAGGGGGCTATTATGATACATTATGTTAAAATAATTAGAATTCTGATATAAATATAAGAAACCTTAACGTAATTTTGAATAATTTTTAATAATTTTTAAAAATGTAATATAAATAAATATTAAATAATAATAAAACTGTTCGTCATAAAAAAAAGTAAAATATTACCTCCACATTCATTAAAAAAAATTATATTTATAATATACTATTATAAATATTTTAAACTTCTTAAATAATTTATTCTTGTTGTTTTCATATTTTACAGTTTTTATTTATTTATTCTTATGCATTGGATTCTTGATCAGTTATATTGTATAACCTTCCTGCTAAAAAGAGCAAGTGGTTTCAGAGAAATCAGAGTAAAACACATGAGGAAGCAAGTGAAGCGATGTAGAATATCGCGAAACCAAAAAAAACATGGTAAAACAGAGGAACTCCATTTACAGCGACTGTATTGAAGATCGTTTCCATTTACAGCGAGTTAGATTCGCAGTAGGGTCCACCCTCAAAATCCCATGCGAGGATGCGATCTCGTGAATCGTTATTCGTAAACCCTTAACCCCCTCTGTCTCTCTTTCACTCTCCCTTTCCTTCTTACCGTCACGCCTGAAACATCGTAGACCATGTGGTATCCGCCGCCGGAGAGTCCCATCGGAACAAACTTCACTGATTCTTCTCTGCCGCACAAGACCTATCCTTCAGTTCCAACTCGTAGCATCGAGATATTTAAGGTGCCGAATAATGAGGGGTTAGCGAGGAGTAGATTGATAACGGAATAATCATAGGGATTGTGTTAGGTTATGTATGTCTGCTTATCGTTGGGGGCGCTTTCGTCTGCCTCCATAGAAATCGGAAAAGAAAGACACGTCCCAACAACAACTCGCAACCGCCACAATCTAAAGGTGAGGCCTCTCCGGTTTCTGGGTTTTCCTATCCTCATTGCTCCGAAAACAGAAAAAAGTACGCTATATTACCGTATTATCCATTTATAAATTATCAGCTATAATATATATATATATATATATATATATATATATTTTGTTCTATTTCTTACATTCTTATTTATTTTTTCTTTATTTTTTTCTTTATATTACCGTATGTATGTTAGGCTTTTATTCTCACACTCTCATTTATCATAATTATTTAAATTAGAAATTGTTATTCTAATAAATAAATAATAAGGTTGAAATTAGTCAAATTACACATTCTGCTAAGACATAATTCACTTTTTTTCCCCTTGGGATTATGACCGTTTCTATATAGAGTAAATACCAAATCCAACGTTTGAAATAAATCGCTACCTAATTTGGTTCTTGAAGAAAAGAAAGTCAGTAAATAATTTCTCAAAATTATAAACGTCGAACACTTGAATCCTCGTTTTTCTTCTTCTCAGTACTATAATTAGTTATTAGAAAAGCGATTCGTATACCAATTTAATCCATAACAAAATTATTTGAGACCGAAATTAAATTTAGAAAATGTTAACTTAAATCATATATTAAAAAATTTAAGTGTTTCCCATTTACAGTCAATGAATTATTTGGTGACTTTTCTTCTTCTTGAAATAAAACATGCTTAATTTATAGTTTATATGAAAATACCATATATTAGTAAATTGAAATAAAACAAATAAAATGAGACAAATTACACATAAAAAATAAACTTGAATAAAAATATTTAAATAATATTCTTTATTGAAATCACTTTCTAATACCTATCATTCAAATAACCTTATTTTCAACTCACTTTTACTCAGGTCAGGTTAATTCAAATTCAATTCTACAGATATCCCTATAAACCAAAATAAAGTTGAGTTCAAAATTTTCACCCTCAATGTTCTTAAACGTGCTCGTGCCTTTACCCCACCCTTACATAGTGTCGTTGTCATACCTAACTGTATTATAGAGTGTTTACGTCCAACATTCATAAAGGGCACCAAAGTTTGTATAATCAAACACGAAAGGAGATTTAAAATGGTAAAAAGAGAGAGAGTGAGAGAGGGAGGGAAGAATATCCTTTAAGATATTTTTACGCATCGCACGTGCCGTCATTCCTGCTTTTCTTTCTTACTCTCTCTTTTTCCGACATTTTTTGTTATATTTATTTATAGCCTCTCTCCCGCTTAATAAAGCAACTGGTTTCGGAAATCGGAAGCCGGAGCAAAACGCAAGAGCAAGAAAGTGAAACGACGGAGAATGACAGCAAACAAAACCATGCTTAAGCCAGTTGAAGCACATAATCTTCGTTGGTAAACGTAGCTGTTTCAATTCGTTATTGGTAATGGAAAGCAATGCCAGTAAGTGAATGAGTGACTCGGTAAGAAGTAGCTATCGCAATAGGGTCCACCACAACATTGAACCACATTCCACTTTATCTCCTCAAAATTCTCATGTGAATGATGCAATCTCGTGAATCGTAAACCCCAACCCCCCCCCCCCCTCTCTCTCTCTCTCTCTCTCACACACACACACACACCCCTTTTTCAACAATTACAAAACCCTTCTTCTAATTTACCGTCTCACCGGAAACTTCGCCGGCAATGTCGTCTCCGCCACCGGAGACCTCTCCCGCCACGAACTCCACTGCCTCTCCTCCTCCGCCGGAACCCTCTCCCGCAACTAACTCCACTGTCTCTCCTCCATCGCCGGCGGTCACCACCAATTCCACGCCGCCGCCGCCGCCGCCTTCGTCTATTCCGACGTCGTTTGAAACGGTTAACAATGGGTTGCAGAAGGGTACATTAAACGGAATAATCATCGGGGTTGTGTTGGGTTCAGTAGGCATGCTTATCATCGGGGGTATTTTCGTCTGCCTTTATAGGAATCGGAAAAGGAAGAGACACCAGAATAGCTACTCGCAACCGCCACGACAGAAAGGTGAAGCCTTTCTGCATTTCCATGTCCTATCTACATTGAAGGAAAATAGTGTAACTGTTACCATGTACAATATATGTATAAGTTCTTTTGTCGTTTTTCCTAGTCCATTATATTAACTTCGATTTGTTGTTTGTTATTAATATTCTGAGAATCCCAGTAAATGTGCTTGTACCGATGCATTATACGATGTGATTTTAAAAAATTTATGCAAAAATTTCTGTCTGTTAGTCGTGAAGGTTTATTTTGTTTTATTTTTGAATTTCCTAGTTAAAATTTTGTTTGTAGGGTTTTTGGCTTCATGCACACACCACCAGCATTGCTCATTACATATGTTGCCTAGATTATAGCTTGCACAAAATGTGGTTTTAAGTTTAATTCCTATTTGGGTGTAAAACTAGCATTGATTCGGACACTGGAACTAATTCTGGGGGACAATGTTTTCAGCTGACTTGGCTGGTGGCCTACTTCAGCATTGGCAAGCCAGTGTTCCTCCAATGACAGATGGTAAAGTAGGCTTGCCGCCCAAGCCACCTGGGGGTTTAGTGAGTCAGCAACATTCATCTACTGGTCTCCCCACACCTGCCGTGATTTCTTCAAATACCAGCAGTAGTTTGGGGTCTGAGAAGCCATACATTCCCCCTTCTTCTGGCATTTCCTTGGCACTATCTCATAGCACTTTTTCATTGAACGAATTAGCAGTTGCAACAGATGGATTTTCCAGATCAAATCTTCTTGGTCAAGGTGGTTTTGGCTATGTCCACAAAGGAGTTCTTCCAAATGGAAAAATTGTTGCAGTTAAGCAGTTGAAATCTGAGAGTAGACAAGGGGAGCGTGAGTTCCATGCGGAAGTAGAGGTCATTAGCCGTGTACATCATAGACATCTTGTTTCCCTAGTTGGATACTGCATCTCAGACAGCCAAAGGATGCTTGTCTATGAGTTTGTGCCTAATGATACACTGGAATTTCATTTGCACGGTAAGATTTATTGGCTCATTTATGATACAAATACGATTTCACTGTCATTTCCTGAGATAGAATTTCTGAAATCAGTCACCCATAAGTGTGATGAATTTTTGCTGTAAATGTAGTAAAGTTGTGTAAAGCATAAATTTTGCATGCAATGGTTAAAGTGTTTCTTTTAATTCATATATTGGCCTTATGCTTTATGTGTAAAACTATATGATCAGTTTTAAACATGAAAAAATCTGCCTGATCTGATCTGGTTACTGATTGAGAGATGAGTATTCCACTGTCTCTATGGATGTCTGATAGTTTTACTCATATCTCACAAGAATGATACTGTAGATCTGAGTGAACTGTGAATATCATTGCAGGAAAGGACAGACCATCTATGGACTGGTCCACTAGGATGAGGATTGCTACAGGATCTGCAAAAGGATTAGCATATCTGCATGAGGACTGTGAGTTTACTGTAAATAAATAGTGTACACTGAAGATCTGGCAGCATTTTCTAGTTCATGATGTTAGTTTTGAGATATACTTTTTTTGGTCTGATATCTTTTTAGGTAATCCCAAAATCATACATCGTGACATCAAGGCATCTAATATCCTTCTTGATAATAATTTTGAGGCTAAGGTAAATTTTATAACTTTTATCCTGCATTTCTTGATATATAAATTCATACTCCTCAACTCTTTTGGTTTCCAGAGAAATCTCATTTTCCCTGTTCAAATTCCTGCTTCCACATGGCAGATTATGCCTGTTTTCCTGTTAAAAAATATTAAAATATGTTAGTTTATAAGCCCATCTGTGGTATAGTATGTAAACTTAACCAACATATTGAAGAACCTTTCACTTTTTAATGGTGAACAAGAGGTGCAGGTGGATGAACTGGAAACTATCTCAGTTTCTATCTTGCAGACAGTTTTCTGCATTTCTAAAGAAGTGAACCTCCCCACTCCCCAGGCCCTTCATTGGTGAGAATGCACTAGGCTGCCCTATAGAAATTAAAAGGGATTAAATGGAGTACCAGAATATTTAAATGAATTAAAAATGGAATTGTTCATCTTTCACATTTGGCACTTTAGTATCCATTTACATCATCTACATAATAAAATAATGATGCGGTACCTTTTGTTCAGGTTGCAGATTTTGGGCTTGCGAAATTTTCATCAGACACAGAAACCCATGTTTCTACTCGAGTGATGGGAACTTTTGGGTAAGATTCATCATTAAATTCTTTTCTGTTGAATCAGATTATGAAATACTTTTTTTGTGCAGTATGTTTCATTGATTTTATTTTTCCTTTTTCTATTAATTTTTTCTTCGAATCTTACCGAAATTCTGAGTTTATTTAATGCAGATACATGGCTCCAGAATATGCTGCTAGTGGGAAACTCACTGAAAAGTCAGATGTTTTCTCCTTTGGTGTTGTGCTTTTGGAGTTGATTACTGGACGGAAACCTGTTGATAAAATGCAATCCTTCACAGATGACAGCATGGTTGAATGGGTGTGTAGTATACAGTACATCATTTCTATTTCTGTCTTAATAGTTATGCATAACTAGGGTATAAAGCATGGTATGATATGACAAAATGTCTCCTTAGACATCCTTTCATATTTTTTGGTCAATCAATGAACTTTTCTGGGATTGAGAACATTTGGAGAGGAGTGGGTGGGATCACTATCTTTACATTCTATGTTGTATTTGCTTTTTTATACTTTTTTCTTCAATTTGGAATCTCGGATGGTTGAGTTTGAGCCCCCCCTTTTTTTAGTGTAGGCAATTCTTGCTCAAACCCCCTATTCCTTTGGCCACTTTAAAAACTAGGAAGGCTATGTAACTTTGTACAGTGGATCAGTTTTGAAGTTGAAGTTATTTGGTTCACTGAAAGAAAAAAAAAACTGACTGGCTCTTATCTTAGGATTAACGACAGTTCAGATTAGTTTGAAATTTGTCTTTAGATAACTTCTTTTGCCAAGTTTGTATTGATCTCGGGTGGACCTGATTATAGTTTGCAACCACCATCAAATTATTTGCCAGAAACTCCGAATATAATCAAATTGATGCTGAAATAATATCTGGAATATTCTGCAACAAGTAGTTGAGATTACTGTCTCTGACAATTGAACACCCCCCCCACCCCAAAAAAAAATAAAAATAAAATTTTTTTTACAGGCAAGGCCTTTGCTGTCCCAAGCTTTAGAGAATGGCAACTTTAATGGACTTGTTGATCCACGATTGCCAACAAATTACAATCTTGATGAGATGATCCGAATGACTGCTTGTGCTGCAACTTGTGTGCGCCATTCAGCCAGGCTTCGGCCTCGAATGAGCCAGGTGAGTTTACCTAATCTGAGAATATGTTTGAGAATAAACTGTGTTTTGTTTTTATATTTGAATTGTTTTGGCTGTTTCTGTCTGTCAAGTGGATGAAGTCAAATGCTTCCCTCAAAGACATTTGCCTGTTTCTCTTCGACAAAAATAGTCCAGTGTTGTGTTATAACATAATACAAACTACAAAGTATTATCAGGATATGTGATTTAGTGGCTGATAATAGTTTAGACTTTTAGAAATTCATGATCCAGTCTTGACCATCTGCAAACTAAGACCTGATGCTTTCCTTATTAATGATAAAATGAATGACATTTAGCAGGTTGTTCGAGCTTTGGAAGGTAATATTTCTCTAGAAGATCTAAATGAGGGGAGCACACCAGGACACAGCAGAGTTTTTGGTTCCTTTGAGAGTTCCAATTATGATACTATTCAATACAGTGAAGACTTGAAGAAGTTCAGGAAGCTAGCACTGGAAAGCCAAGAGCAAGGCGCTAGCGAGTACAGTGGTCCCAGCAGTGAGTATGGTCAACATCCTTCTGTCTCGACCAGTTCAGGCCAGCAAAATACTCAGGAAATGGAAATGGGGAATGTGAAGGGTAGCAACCATGTTTCTGGGATGAGCTCTTGATCGATGATTCCCACGTCTTGCAAAGTTGCACTCTACATCAGATTGCAAGTGCGCCTGTGAAACTGGTAAATATAACTTGGTATATTTTGCAGGTCCAATGTATGAAATGACTTGCTCATGATGAATAGCAGTTAGAGTTCGTTTTTTTTTTTTTAAAAAAATTTCAGTGATTTTCACGGTCTAACTTGTTTCACAAGTATGATTCCTGAATTAATTAATACACCTGTAGTTGTGTAAGCTTGATTCATTCTTCGAAGCTAACATTTGTTTATCTGGAAAAGCCTGACATTGGGATTAAAAGTGTTGGGGATGAGGTATTCTGTATTTATTTGGGGAACATTGTGATGATGCATTTTATAATGAGCGTTGGCCTGGGTTAAGGCTTGTAACTGCTCAGCTTGTTTGTGTTTTTTTTTGGGGTCAAAGTTCAGTTTGCTTGTTTGTATTTTTATTTTGGGGTCACAAGTCCACTATAGCTGAGAGTTTTTTTAGCTAGGAATACTAGGAATGAGGAGTCATGGACCAACCTTGGTGCGTCCTAAGTGTCAGTACTTGGATGTTTTCTGGTCTTCATCGATGTTTATACTTTTTGGTGTGCTTAACTTAAAATCAATAGTGAACACAATTTTGCTTTTTTCACTTTGAAAGAAAATTCATAATTTCATGCGTGTATGAAGACAAAATCCTCTCGTTTCTGAATGTACTAAATTTATTTTGGAAAAATTTTATCGGTCTTGTGAACAATTGATCTACGTGGAGGCTAGAAAGATCATCCTTTCGTATATATCTTGTTTCTCAGTGCCTTTCATATTGCTGGCCTTTGGATAATCAATGTGCTCCGAGGTAGATACGCCAAAGGGCAGTGTAATTGTCATTTAGTAGAAAAGTTAAGATTGGGGTCTTCTTATTCTAGTTTCACTTGTTTTTTCATTTTTGCAATTTACTGTAAAAAGTAAAATTGAGAAGGCCTTCCAAGTGATGATTTGTCAAAAAGTATATTCGGCACTTGTTTTATTCAGTCGTTTTGGATAATCTACGTTTATATACGAGGGATTTAATATAATAAAATATGTTATTAATAATTGTGTTCCATCAAGTTTCAACAAACTATTTTTTAAATACATTTCAAGATAATTAAACTACCTTTTTTACTGTAGTGAACATTTTTCTTTTCTTTTTCTGCAATATTTAATTCTAAGTTTGACAACAAATCGTTGTCCTTATCCGAGTTGCCAACATTAACAAAAAAACTTATTCATGTGAAATAGTATTAAAGGCATGAATATGCTAGATCTAATTGGTATATGTGTCACGATCAAGACTTGTGTTGCAATTTCATATCTGTACTCCACACTTGCAGCCAAACATATTAAAAAGGAGTGGACTATACGTTATAAATTTATAATTATGAATAAACATTCATTTAACATTAGAAAAAACACATCAATATAATCTATCAATTATAAAAAATTAATAACTAATTAATCTATTAATTTTGTGATCCTCACATGGAAAGATAGTTTAACGTTGCATTTTACAACCAAGATGAGAAATTAATATCATATATTTTTTAAGAACCAAGTAATAGTTAGTTAATTTTTAAGGGTTAAAATATTTTTTTTCCAAAATTAGTAAAAGTTGAAAGTGTAGTTAAACAAAGAATCATGGGTAGTTTGGGGAAAAAGGAAGCGAGTCATGGTTGGCATTGGTTGTTTAGTTGGTAACTCGGTGTTGTTCCTCCATCTGTCTTTCAAACTTGTGTCGCGCAAATAACTTAAAGCACATCACAAATTTTGGGTCCCAATTTTTTCCCTCGAAGTTTCCATTTTCGAGTAAAACACAGTTCCTCATCAATGGCATCTCGCCGCCGCATGTTATTGAAGGTCATAATCCTCGGAGATAGCGGGTACCCTTCTTTTTTTAATTTCAAAATTTTTCTTTTGAAATTAATCAGAGAATGGGTGATATTATTAAGTACAGGAAAAAAAAGGGTTGTTGCATTTATCTTCGAAGTTTATAGTTTTTATCGAAATTTCCGATCTTTGGTTTGTTTTGCAAACAAAAATTCATGGGAATTTTCTTCCAGCAACATAAGAAGTTAAACATTAAGGGGGGGGGGGGAACGGAAGTGATTAAAGACTGTGTTTGGATTCTTGAAAACGTGAAACTTTCTTGTCAAAATTAGGTTTTTATTTAGGGTAAAAAAGAAAATTGGTCATAGATTCTAAAGATTTACAATTTGCTAAAACGGGTTAGCTTTATATCCTGCCTGTGCATATATTTGAAAGCTTGTGATGTAAATTCTATGCAATTGTTATTGATTTATTCACCAAGTGCTCTCTTCTAATTAGCATTTTCTTTTTTTGGTGGCAGGGTTGGTAAAACATCACTGATGAATCAGTATGTCCAAATCTCGGATGTTTCTTTTAAAATTATTTTGTTTACGGCATTCGGAAAATATCTGATGAATATTCTTTTATTTGGTTCATATTATCATGATCATTATTTCTTCCACATGCATCCAGGTATGTGAATCGTAAGTTTAGTAATCAGTATAAGGCTACCATTGGTGCGGATTTTCTTACCAAGGAAGTTCAATTTGAAGATAGGTTGTTCACGTTGCAGGTGAGAGATGCAAGAGGATACTGTTTCTTTTTGGATAAAAATAAGTAGTCTTTTTTAATATGTTCACCTATGATATAAATTACCCTGCCATTCTGCTTTGAACCAAGCTATTATGTTTAATTAATATCTTTTATCAACTTCTCTATAATGTTGACCACTTTTTACGCAGCTTATCATTTGATGTTATATTAGTTCTATAAAATCTGTTTTCTCAAATTCACTGAGCAACTCATGGCGCTGTTCAAATCAATGCAACTTGAGTGTCTTCCATTCTCTTAAGTTTCTTTTTAAAGATTAATATTCTTTAAGTTTATTATTTATATTTTATAATATAAATGCCTTCTCTTCCTTGCAATTCTTTTGACGCTGCTACTACATAATGCGTTTCCTTGTGATGGGCAACTTCGTAGATCAAATAATTTCCTTTGCATTATCTTTCAATCTCATTTTTTATTGATTTTATGAAGTAAGAGGCCTTTCATAAAACTCAAAATTGGAGAAGAAAACAATCTGGTTTCTTGTAAAATTAATGTCTGTTTGATGTATGAAATGATGGCCATTGTGCATGGTATATGATGATGGTTGGGGATGGGTCTTGACACTTTCCACTTGAAATAAGATCAATGTTCGGTTATACTTTTTGCCATGATAGTCATTGAATAGTCTTCCATCCGTTTGAAGTTTATGAAGAGGGATCAATCATCTAAGATTGACATGTTCTCATCAATCATCATACCTACAGATTTGGGATACTGCTGGTCAAGAGCGGTTTCAAAGTCTTGGCGTGGCTTTTTACCGGGGTGCAGACTGTTGTGTCCTTGTTTATGATGTAAATGTGATGAAATCTTTTGATAACCTTAACCACTGGCGAGAAGAATTTCTTATTCAGGTAATTTATTTAATCATTCTCTGGTTTCTCCGTATTACCTTTATTAAGCATCAGAGGGAAACTTATGCAAATATTTGATTTTCAGGCTAGTCCATCTGATCCTGAAAATTTCCCATTTGTTGTCTTGGGAAACAAAATAGATGTTGACGGTGGAAATAGCAGAGTTGTAAGTTACTTCTTTTCTCGTTTCATAATTGCTTATTGACCTTTATAAACATTGAGCTCAGTTATCTTTGGAGAACAAGCTTTCTGCTGTATTTGTGACTTGTGAGAAGATATGATATAGGCTACTCTCATTTTCTCATGTATACTCAGTGTTTGGTGGTTATTTCTACATGCATGTGTTCATTACAACCACTTTTGTTGCAGATTTCTGAGAAGAAAGCTAAGGCATGGTGTGCTTCAAAGGGAAACATACCATACTTTGAGACCTCTGCAAAAGAAGGATTTAATGTTGAAGCTGCTTTCCAGTGCATAGCAAAAAATGCACTCAAGAATGAACCTGAAGAAGAAATGTGAGTATTCCTAAACTCTTGAGGTTTCTTAATACATGTCATTTTCATAAATGATATACAATTTCTTACTTCTAAAAGTTCAAGTATAACAGTTTACGTTAACTCATCACAAAGCGTGAGTATGTTGCATGTTGATTGTATCAGGTACCTGCCTGACACAATTGATGTTGGTGGTGGTGGAAGACAGCAGAGATCTACGGGCTGTGAATGTTGAGTGGAGAGTTGTGTGAACCAGCTTTACTTGCTTGTATGATGCCAATATTCAAGCGCCTCTCATTGATTACTAGCCAGCAACTACTTTATTAACAGCGTAAAACCAAGGACAAATTCCAAATCTTTTTTGTATCTCACTAGCGGATTAGATGTCCATCATGTTTATTTTTTCTATTAATTCCGCTTTAATGTTTTGTGACAAATTTTCGGCCAAATTAGAAAATGTACGTTGAAAATTGTGTACGATTGAGGTATGAATTGATGTTTCTAGTTTAAGTATGAGTTTAACCTGCATTTAATTTGGATTAAAATGAAATTGCTAGTTTTATTTTGCCAAAGTTAATGTCAGTTATGTTTTTGCGTCAAAGTTAAAGTATAATTATTACGTTTTTCATTTATATTGATGTCAGTAATGTATACTTTATTTTCTACAGAAAATAGTATTTATTAGCACCAATGTATTAAAATGTCTCAAATTCCACACACAAAGACTTGTATAAAGTAGTTTTATTTTTTTTTTATCACCCGATATCAACACTTGCACCATGGAATTTTGGTGAACATCACTTTTAGGATGAAAAATTAAGTGGACGTTGATACATACACTTTTTTCAAAACGAAGAACAGACTTCAATTTGTGGATGTTTGATTCTCATCACACTTAGACTCATTATGGAAGATTGTTCGCGATATTTTACCAACAAATAACAACAGAAGATGTCTACATCTGGTAAAGAATGCAATGTGTTTTTATATGGTAGACATGAACAATTATTTTTTATGTTCTCTATGATTATATTGATTCATCTACAATCGATTAACTTGAATTTTCTTTTATCATACATTAGTCGGTTGTTGAACAACCTCTAGTAAAATGGGCAGATACAATAATAACATGAAACTAAGCATTTTTCACACTGTAAAATCTCACTTTTGATGCATACGAAGTTATAAAATCACTCATTTTCTACACAATTAAACTCAACCTTGTAAACTGTAGTTACTGTATAAACATATGATTTAAATATCTAAGATAAATCAGTCTCAACAGAGAAAATTTAGTTTACAAAAAATAAATTTCATGCAACTAAATATTAATAAAAAAAAAACTTAACATAGAAAGGAATTATGTCACCCAAATTTCATAATTTTACGTCCGTCTAAAGTAGAGAGAATTGTGACAAAAAAAAGTAATCAATGATATCTTTAATACAAAGGTTATCGGTTTTACTTTAATTTAAAATATAAGAGAAAGTTGAGTTAAAAAAAAAAAGGTTGAGGAAGTATGTTGCAAAAGTGTGAAATACAATAAGTAAACTACAATAAATCCTTTAAACTAAACTACATATTAAAGTCAAATATTATGGTGCGTGGAATGTCCCACCTTTTTAACCTTTTTGGTTTTCCCCTCCTTCCCTTTTCAACGGTTCTCCATTTGATTTTCAAATACAGAAGATGCCAAACTGTGCAGGATATTCCTCTTTAGGTTCCAAGAGTGTTGTACTCATAATGAAGCATCTTTAGTTAAAACTTTCAAGTTTCAACAGTTGCTTTTTAGGCCATGAAGCTGGGACCAACTATTGCCACACACTCTGCCACAGGACAAATAATAAAACAAAAGTAATTTCGTTTAGAACTTTATTATATCTTCCTAATATTTTTTTAAAATATTTTATAAAATAAATGAACATTTTTCTATTATTTTTAAATGATGAAATACATTTAATTTTTTTGGTTCAATAGTTAAAAAATTATAAACATAAAAAGTAGGGGATTTAAAATTATTTTTCGCGGTTAATTGTGGAGGGGGATGGCTATTATTGAGCCAGGTTTTTCTGTGACAACCATTTTTGTCCATAGAAAACAAACAGAAAAGCCCAAAGACTTAAAATGCCCAAAGGGGCCCACTATCACATCACCGCCTTAATCGGTGCTATATCCATGAAGTTTGTGATTAGGGTTCAGACAAATGAATCACGTGATGTGATGGAGTCCACCAAGGAAAACTCTGGATTGCTGCACCAGATTCTACCTCCGCGCCTTGAAGACGCTGGCCTCGAAGATCCCGCTCTGCCACCCGAATCCATCCACCAAGCATTTCTCAAGGCCGCCGCCGCCGTCAAATCACGCGCCTCCTCCATTTTCGCCGCCGACGCCGACGAAGACGACGCTGATTGCATCAACGATCCCTGGCCCACCGCCAAGGACGCCTCCGATGCGGTCATCGGAATCGAGCCGGAAATTGAGCCGCCGGGAGCCTGCACTGTGGAGAGGGGATGCGAGGCGGTAGCTGACGAAGTTAGGGTTGGTGGCGATGGCGTGGAGGTAGAGGACGAGGTGGTGGTTGGGGAAGGAGTAAGATTGGGGGAGGATAAGGAACCGTGCGTGGATGAATTGCAAGGGTTGGATATCAAAGAAAAAGAAGAGGATGTGAAGAAGGGCGGTGACGAAGACGATGAGAAAGAGAAGAAACCTACGTTGGCTGAAGGCTATGTTTGTTGAATGTTGGGTTTCTTTTTATTCTCTACCCAGACTTTGTTTGTACCTAGTTTCTGTAATAGCTATAGGGAAGTGTCTTGTAGTTTTAACATGAAGGTTTTTCTTCAATGTTCATAATCAATGTCTTCATTTCATAAAATCAATTGAATTTTTGTTCTAAAGCAAGTTCCAGAGATACCACTCTCTTTGTTAAGAGATAAATTTTGAATAATAATCAAATATGCTAAAGTTCAGCGAATCAAGATTGATAATCTTTGTTTAAGCGTCACAATAAAGATGAACTAAATCATTCTTTACAATTGGAAGGGCACTGATATGGATATCAGGAAGCTCTCATCCAACAATCATGAATTTCCATATCACGAATTATTAAACGGTGATAAGGTAAATAATGCATGCAATTCAATCTTGGTAGTTCTATGAGATTAAACCAAGGGAGTTAACAGTGGCTTTCCAAGGAAATGAGCTTCAAGGTTTCCAAGGACAAGGTCAGCCATTGCAGTTCGAGTTTCTACAGTGCCACTTCCAACATGAGGTAACAAGACAACATTTTCCAGCCCAAATAGCTCTTCTGGAACATGAGGCTCATTTTCAAAAACATCTATTCCAGCCCCGCCCAAACGTCCTTCAAGCAAAGCAGAGACCAACTCTGGTTCATCAACATGCTTACCTCGCCCAATGTTAATAAGATAACCCTTGGGACCAAGAGCATTAATGACCTCTCTATTGATGATGTGATGGGTTTCCTCCGTAAGAGGGCATGCAACCACCAGTATTTGGCAGTTTGATGCTAACTCAACAACACTTGGATAGTACTTGTACTTTGACTCTCGCTTTTCAGTTCTAGTGTAGTAACATATTGGACAGTTAAATCCTTCAGCTCTCTTGGCAATTGCTGTGCCAATCCTTCCAAGCCCAATAATGCCAACAGTTTTCCCAGAGAACTGGAAGGAAGAGAATACACAATGTAAAAACCAATATCCTGTTGAAAAAAGGGGCAGGGATACTAAAAGATAATACATATATGGATTACAAAAACAGATTTTGATGAGTAGAATATGATAAGGTAATTCCAAAAGATTGAAGCTTGACACTTCTTACTGAAAATGCTAGCAACACACTCTTTAATACATATTTTATTATTATTATAATTTATTAAAAACTATAAAAATCATCTAAGTTACATCTTTCTCACTCCTAAATTAATGTTTCTCTCTCATTCTTTTTTAGCTTTTAATAAATTTTAGCTATCAATAGAAAGTGTGCTGGAGAATGTATGGCTATCATTCCTCATCCTAGTAAAAGTGAAAGCTATGACTTATATAATCCAGGGTAGAGTGCACTTAGATTCATGTTAGGATTATAAATGATTTTAAAGTACATTAGAATGCAGTTCCAAACATGCTATTATTCCTATTAGTGTTGGCATTGAAAATCAATTCTCTCATTTTTCAATAAAAGAACGCAAGTTCTAATGTAAATCCACAGCTGGGATTACTTTGAACGCACACCTAGAAACACACAGCATGATGAAACAAGTCCAAATGCATTCAACAGTTCAAAATCAATTTTATGAAAATCAAATTACATAATGTTAAAACAAACAACCCTCAATTTAAGTGAATAACACTTGCCCTACTGTTTCATTATATTCATAGCACACCACAAACTGATAAATGGCGTGTGCGAATTAACACGATTCGAACATCGAACACATGGAGTCGAAAAACAGATAAGAGTTTCATTGCGTTACCTTAGTGGTCAACTTGTAGTCACCTTGCTTCCATTTCCCGCTTCTGACGTAGCGATCGCACTCGCAGATTCTCCTAAGGAGCGCAAGTATCAACCCGATGGTTAAGTCGGCCACTTCCTCGGTCAACACGTCGGGTGTGTTGGTCACTCGAATCCCCTTCTCCTTGCACTTCTCCAAGTCTATCTTGTCCACGCCAACGCTAAAACTCGACACGATCTCCAGCTTCGGCAGAGCCTCGATCAGCTCCGCGTCGGCGCCGCCGCTCGAGTTGCCGACCACGGCGCGGATGGAGGCGGCATGCTGGCTTATGAGCTGCGCCTTTTGCGGGAAATCCCAAATTCGGAAGAGTTTGTAGCGCTTGTCGAGTTCTTGTTCAAGATATGGCATCGTCTGAGCCACCAAGAGTACCCCAATGGATCCCATTTTAGCTGCAATTGGGGTTAGGGTTTCGATAATCGACGAGTTCCACTGTGTGTCTGAGTCTCTGAACGACACACCTCGTGTTGTTCATGTGGATAAGATTACTCACTACGTAATTATTCTATTATCATTATAGTTTAATTTTAATTCATGTAAAAAAAATTAAATTAACTAACTATAATATATTGTGATATAATTTTTTTATATTAATTATGATAAGAATAAATAATTTTTATTGATAACGTATGATTCCACAGTAATATACATTTTTTATACGATTAATATATTTAAATTAATTTTTATTACTAGTATTTGTTTTAACTAATATTAATTCAATCTTATTATGCGACAATATTATTTTAATATTTTTATTATCCTTATATTAAAATTAAATTTAAGCATATAAAAGTATTATTTTTTATTAAAGTATCATATTTATTGCATTAAATTATAAAAATATAATAAATTTTTAATAAAATCTTATATTAATATTTATTTAAATTCAAATAAAAATTTTAAGAAATAATATATTTTTATTTTAATCACCCATTAAATATAGATGAATAATAATAAATAGTTTAAAGAATAACTTTTTTAGAATTCATATGGGTATCAACATTTTATATTTTAGAATTTCTCTTATTACAATAATCAATAGAAACAATCTCAAGTACAATATTAGTGGTTGTTATATTATAAAGAGGAATGCTATTAACGTATCCTTAAAAACGGGGTACAAGAAAGTTAATCCATTAATTTTAGCTTTATTTTTTAAAATTATATAAAATTCATTAAAATTGAAATTAAATTTTAAAAATATTTTATTAAAATATAATCTGTAACAAATTAAGTGAATTTAAAATTAACTCATACCTACCTTTATATGTTAAATATTATTGATATATAATAGATCATAGGAATTAATTATTATTCAATCGTACAGTTAAATATTATTTTAATTTTGTTTCAATTATTTTTTTAGCTCTTTCCACTCAAATGGAGTGTGTCAGGTTCGTGGGAAAATTTTATCGTTGAAACTATTGGTCACTGTGAGAAGGGATTAAGCAAAAAAAAGTGAAATATAAGGTTATTGTTTTTTTGGGTTCGAAATAATGGCCTATGAAATGTGGCTGTTATAGACATGAGCCCACACAACAACAGTTCATAATTTGGGTTTGTGCTATTTTGAAAGAAACAAAAGGTAAGAAAAAAATAATGGCTCTCTTAAGGTTTCTATGCAAGTGATATATTGAGTTTATTTCTTATTTTATTCAATTTTAAAGCTTTGAAAATGCTAAATTGTATTTAGATAGTAGTATGTGTGCTTGATTTGTTTGTGTATTTATTTTGTCCTATTTTAATACTTTATTTATTTATAAGTGTTATTAGACATCTTAACACATTAATAATGGAGAAATGTGATTAATAATCACTTTTACTAAAGGCAAAAAGTAATTGTTGAGACTCATTTTATTTCTAATTAGAATTCTAAGAGATTAGTCAAGTGGAATAAGGTAAGGCATCGCATCTCATAAGTCATATGTTTCAATTTTCTTTTGTCTTCTCAAGGTAAGATAAATATAAAGTCTTTATAATTTATTTTTTTTTAACCCAACGACTTTTTTTATATTAGAATGAAACACCCCCCAATCTTCTAAAAATTGTATACCATTGTTATTATTTTTAATTTGTTTCAAAGCATCCTACATCAACAAGATTTCGGTCTTGACAAAAAAAAAGTGGTATATAAGCCAATATATTTAGTAAGGGGTACATATCAATTTGTAATAGCTGTCCAATTTGATAAAGTAACGTTTTTAATAACTTTTATGAATGTTGAATTTCATTTTTTTAATAGTTTGATTAAAATAATAATTTTTATGAAATTTGAAAAAAAAAAACTTATTTTAAAATAATGTGATTAAGTATTAATAGTATTTTTAATTATATGAAGTTTTATAAACTTATTTATTTCACGGGATTTTTTAATAAGATACAATTAGATCAATAAAATCATAATTATCATTTTATAGTTTTAATACTTAATGAGATAGAATAAGTATTTAACATATAGAAACAGAATTCATAAAAAAAAATTACAGGAAAAGGCAAACTTTGTAACTCAGGCGTAATATTAGGTGATCTGATCCCAAAAAGACATGAGAAAACCCCGATTCACAACTGCATGCATTTATACAAATTACAATATTAAAATTTTAATAAAAAGAATTTTTCAAATACAAATAAATACCACTTAAAAACTAAAAACTGAGTATTGTATTATTTTTTTAACTAAATATTTTATTATTATTTTTTGCTATTCAATGAGGCTAAAATATTTTATTATTCAATCTATAATTTATAAAAAGCGATATGATTGTTTTAGGAAATGCCAAAACAAACCTCATAAATTATAACAAAAGAACTTTCTTGCTAAAAAAATTTAATGTAAAATATCACTAATATTTTACCATAGATATCTGCTCAGGTTGAAATAAATGACATTAGATGAATATATCACTAGGAAACATCTTTAAGGAATTGATTAGTGTTTTTAAATATTTGTTAAGAAAGTAAGAGTAAGATTTTTATTTAAAAAATATAATACCAAAATAAAAAAAAAATGATTTATTATTTTCTTGAACAATATTTTTGCAGGATATCTAATTACATAAGATTTGAAATTAATAAAGAAAAGTTTTGGCATGCGCCCAACTCCAAACTTCCTGCAATGACAGGGTGGAGAATTTATGGCACTCTATAATGGTCATAAAATCTAATAAAAGACTAAGGGCTGTGCAGGTAGCATCATCACAAAAACCAAAAACTTAGAATTCGAAAATTATGAAGATTTTGGACATGACAAATCAAAAGCAGTTAAATAGTTGTACGTGAAAGTTAAGATTGAAGTGATGTGGGTTATGGTAATTGCCTAGGCATGCATGTCGGTCTTCCCTGGTCTTTTGCTACCTTTGACCTTCAAATTAAAACCTTAACCATCCAATTTCCCACATCGTTGCCAAAACAGATTCCTTCCAACATAATAATAATAATAACAATGCAAAATTTTGTTTCTAACTCTCAAACCCATCTCATTTCTAACAACATGCACCCCACGTTCATTGAACCCAACTCAAAAAAGAAAAAAAAAAACTAACACAAACTCCATCAAATAATCACCTCCAACTTTTTGTCAAACTCTTATTATTCTCTTCACAAAACATCTCCCATTTCATTTGCAAGGGCTTCTCCTTGGTTATTTTCCTCCCTTGCCATAGAAGCATATCCCATGTTTTGTTCTTGCTTGTTCCTCCCTTGAGAATTTTCCTTTCAAGATATACACATATATATTTATACAAAAGGAAAATGGTTCGGGCAGTGGAACAAGAGCAAGAAGGTTATAGGTCCAGATTATTCAATTTCAAAGGAATGTTTGACAATACAGGAAGGCATGCAAAGAGTATGAGCGTTGAGAGTGCCAGCACATTAGATCCTTCTCCTTCAGAAGAAGATCCATTGTCATCAAGAAGTCATGGATCAAAATCTCTCAACGATGTAGACAAGGTTGCTAAGCCAAAAGTAATGAGCAAGGAGGAAATTGCAGCCAAAGAAGCCAAAGAGAAGCTTATGCAAGGTAAACATGAATGTTAACTAGATTGAAATCTACTTTGCTTTGATATGATTATATATGGTGTCATATATTTTATAACTATTTATATTGTTTCCATGCATAAGGGGGAGAATTAACAGAGCCAGCCCATTTTCTTCAACAATAATTTATAATATATTGATTTAGAAACTGTTTCATTCAATGTCTTGTACACGACTTTGATAATTATATATTGTTGGGTTTAATTCAGAAATGGAACAGATGAAGGAGAGATTTGCTAAACTTCTATTGGGGGAGGACATGTCTGGTGGAGGAAAGGGTGTTTCATCAGCATTGGCATTGTCAAATGCATTCACAAACCTTGCTGGTATGTTGACTTTCTCCTTCAACTAAGACATGGCATTCTTCTTTCTATACTTCTTGAATCATGATGTACAAAAATTGTGGTGTTCCATTTTCAGGAGAGCTTGATAGCAGAAATGTTTCAAGTATCAAATAATTCATTGTCAGTTTCTCTCATTCTTTTCTTACTGAGAATGCAGCTGCTGTTTTCGGTGAACAAAAGCGCCTAGAGCCGATGCAGCCAGAAAGGAAAGCAAGATGGAGAAAAGAAATCGATTGGCTTCTATCAGTCACCGATTACATTGTGGAAATGGTTCCTGTGCAACAAAAAAACAAAGATGGCTCAACCATGGAGGTAACCCTCTCTCTTTCCTTATCTTTCTCATTCTCCTATCATAATTGGTATATGATTGATCTTCTTTTTGATAGATTATGACAACACGGCAAAGAACTGACCTCCACATGAATATCCCTGCCTTGCGAAAGCTTGATACAATGCTTTTAGTAAGAATCTCTAACCTTCTTCCTGATTCCATCCTGAGTTAAATATGATCATTACTTTTCTATAGGCTTCAATTGGTTGGTAGTTCTCTAACACTTTTTTATGATGAGCAGGATAGTCTAGATAACTTCAAAGACCAAAATGAGTTCTATTATGTATCAAAAGATGCAGATGATTCGGATAAAGACAGTGCAAAGAGAAAAAATGATGACAAGTGGTGGTTGCCTACACCTAAAGTACCTGCAGAGGGTTTATCTGATGCAGCAAGAAGGTTTCTGCAGTATCAGAAAGATTGTGTGAACCAAGTACTTAAAGCAGCCATGGCTATAAATGCTCAAACTCTATCAGAAATGGAGATCCCTGAAAGCTATATTGAATCTCTACCCAAGGTAAGTTAAAAAAGAACTAGTATTTTCTTAGAAGTTATCTTGGTTAACATTCATACATATTTTTACGCACAACTTAAGTTTTGGTTGTTCTTCACTATTTACACAGAATGGAAGAGCAAGTCTAGGGGACTCAATCTACCGTAGCATTACAGATGAATTTTTTGATCCTGATCAGATCCTCTCTACTATGGACATGTCATCAGAACATAAAATCCTAGATCTTAAGAACAGAATTGAGGCATCCATAGTGATTTGGAAGCGAAAGATGAACCAAAAAGATTGCAAATCAGCTTGGGGTTCTGGTGTGAGTTTTGAGAAAAGAGAACTATTCGAAGAGAGGGCTGAAACCATCTTACTTGTCTTAAAGCACCGTTTTCCGGGGCTTCCCCAATCTTCATTGGATATAAGCAAAATCCAATTCAACAGGGTAGGAGCATGTCTTGTACACAGCTTGATTCTGCATGCCTTTTTCAGTGCAATGTTGCATGATGAATATTTGGCTAAGTTGAAAACTTCTTATTCTTTATAACATAACTAAGGATCACTCACCATTGCAGGATGTGGGACAAGCTGTTCTTGAAAGCTATTCCAGAATATTGGAGAGTTTGGCCTTTACAGTGCTCTCAAGAATAGAAGATGTACTTCATGCAGATTACCTCACTCAAAATCCACCACAAGGAGGAAGAAGAAGTGTTACCAAAAACCCAATTCCCAAGCCAGAGAAGTCTCCAACTTCTAAAGAGGACTCAGAAGCACCTTGTTCAATGACACTATCAGATTTCATGGGTTGGAGCAATGATCAAGTTGACTTAGACACCAAGAAAGACGCCTTTTCAGATGACTTCTCCAAAGACAGTGATAGTGGAAAGCCCCAAAAACTTCCAAACATAGCAACCGACAAGAAGGTGTCTTACCTTGAGACCTTGGGGGGTATGAGAAGTCCAACATCACGCCATTAAGCAAGAAAATGAAGTGCTAAAACTTGAAAGAGGGAGGAAGAGAAAAAAGCCAGAAAAAAACAAGCACTGGTGAGAAGCTTGCGGTCTTCGGAGAAGTTGTTTACGACATAATCATCTGTTTTTGACCGTCTATTCTTCCTTTTTGTACATAGGAATCGATATACACGTTACAAAATCATCGGGGTTTTGAAGCAATGCCACAAATGAATTTGTAGCCAGCTACAAAAGATATATTTTATGAATTCACAGATTCATGCCTTTTGCCGCCATTGTACCTTAAAATACTAGAAGGAGGATGGATTAGACCTGATTGTAAAAACCATTCCTAACTCTCTTCTGCATAAAACATTGTTCATTGGTTCCCTATTTCATCGCCCCTATAGCATACATACTTGCTGCCGCCATCATCAATTAGTAACTGTAGTTATCTCTCTCGTTACGCATGTACTAAGCTAGATAACATGGGAATTAGATCTTTTAATACACCATTTCCATTTATTTACCCCATAAAATGACATTAGAATAGTTATATACTTTAAGAAATAGATATTTGTAAATTATGAAGTATACTTTAAGAAATAGATATTTGTAAATTATGAAGTACTGTGAAAAATAAAGCTGTATTGTTTATTGTGCCAGACAAGATCTGATTAATTTATAATTCAAAGATTAAAATACATGTTAAAGAGTTTAAGATCAATACTCCCAATCCAATCAAATAGCTCATACAAGTTTGGCTTTGCTTCAATTGAAAATCAAAGCAAGGCACTCAATTAGACAGGAAATAAACATCTTTGAATAGTAGGCTTTTGGAATACTTACACATTATGCAAAAATAATAAAGATTAAAAGGGGAACATAATAGATGGAGTTATGCTTCAAATTAAATTAGATCTTGCCACGAGGACCAGGCTTTGGTGGAAGTTGTGGGCCCTTTTTGATTGGTAGAATATCACCTGAGGCTGTAGCACTGAGGTATGCAAGGGTGGAACCACCTCCCAATATCAAAAACTTGAGTAACAATCCCCTCTTTGTGAATGGAGCAGCAAATGTCTCGAAGAACTTGCTCTACAAACCATATCAATGAAACAGCTATATGCTTGTCATGGATGTTGAATTATGATCTAGACCGAAAACAACTGTTTTAGATTTCAAATCATTGTTCCTACTCTGCCAGATATTCAGAAAGCATGAACTATCTAATATTGCTGCCTCTGGCTTTGGCAAGAACATTTTGATCTTCCATCTTGAGCCATTTAAATCACAGTTCTTACATTATTGCACTTTACTTTAAATTGCAATTTCAATCTTGTAATGCCTACTTGTGTTTATTCCTTTCTTCTCTTCTCTGGTTTCTATGGTCGTGTTGTATATCAGAAAATTTCAGTTGCACATCTCTTTTAAACCATTTTTCATGCATACGGATTGGCCTCTTTAAGTGATCAATCCTATGCAAGTATCAAAATTGAAGCGTATAAAAAGTGGTGTGCAAATAACCAAAGCCCAAATATTGCTACCCTAGTCCGTTGTATTGTATGTTATAGCACACTCAAGTATGGAATTATGGAATGCCCCAAGTTTTGGAACTGACGCACACTAATGGCAGTTGAGGTAACACTCGAGTTTAAAATTAGACCATTTATGACTTGCCCAACATATGTTCACCAACAAGGCAATGCGTGTGTTTACACAACTGTGTTTTAAGCTTCAAAGTATTCATCAATGAATATAAATAGATACTCGGATTCTCAATTATCTACTAACTTTTCATGTTTCATATACAATGAAAATGACGCACATGAAGAGACTTGACAAACCTGAAGAGGGTTGTAGGGTGAAGGTGCATCGTTGCCGTACAAGTCCCACTGACCTGTAGTGTTGCCAATATCCTCCAAATCAAAGTACACACTCTTGTCACCATACTTTGCTACCACGGCACCAGTCCTGTAATGTTTAGTTATACTACTTCAGCATACAATTAAACACACACAAAGCATATATAAGGATATTTTAATTTAAATATACTGAAGTTTTTACATTATCGTGACTTCTGAAAAACTATTAATTTCTGTAATAATTAATTTAAAAATTATATTTATGATCTATTCTAATTGTTTAAATGTTAAGATGTTTACAATGATGGTGCACAAAAATTAAACCCATTTTCTTTTTTTCATCTGAAGAGAAGGAAATTAAGCCAAGTTGATTGAATTGTAAGTTTTGCAGATGCATGGAACCTGAAATTCTTGGATTTACAACTCTGGCGAGAGGGCTTGAAAGTGAGCTTAGTTCCAGTAAGGGAACTTCCAGCAAGGCCAGTGATTGCAGCTGGTTGAACAGCAGCTAAGGTTGCCAGAGAAGCCATGGTGATGTTAGCTCCTATAACTTCAGTATCAAGTGAACAATGGGACATAACTGTTTCAGTTTTTGATGTGTTACTTGGAGCTCATGTGTCCACGTGGCCAGCTACATTCCATTGAGTGGATTTGGGAATTCATTTATGAGGTGACACGTGACTTAAAGATAGATAAGCCTATCCACTTCTCAACTCTTGGCCAATAATAGTAAGAGAGATGGTATAAATTACTTTCTATTTATTTTAATAAGTTTTATAATTAAATTTATAATATAAATCATCGTAGCATTGAAAAATGAAGTTAAGATCATGATATTCTCCTTAGTTTCACCTGCTTTACGTAAAATTAGAATGTCTCATTTTTTTTTAATCTTACATCTTCTTTTGTTTTATTTTTAAAATATGTCAAATATAAAATGTAACTCATTTTTTTTCAGTCTGGTCAAGCAAGTCACCAAACTACCGAAGACAACTATATTATCCATTAAAATTACGTAGCCTTGATATATGGTTCTAAAACCCGCTTTTTTGTGTCTCTTCATGCAGATGCACACTACTCCTCGCAACTTAATCCATGATACTAATCAAGAATAAGGGGGTAGAAAAGCATGCTATTTAATTTTACTACTGAACTGGATACTAAGATTCAATTTGGTATTCCTTAAAATAATCAAAGGTGAAAAACCCACATGAGTTTTTCATATAAAATAAAGTTCATCCTTGAATTTTTTTTCTTTTTTTGAAGGAACAAGAAATTCATCCTAACTGTAAAAGGCTGCAAAGCCTATAACTATTGCAGCAAATCAAAGCCTATCTATCTAATAATCTTTTATCTTGACTAACCATCTTCACATTGCAAACTTGTTCTAATATTTCTTAATGTACAAGACACAAGATTATTAACCGATTCCACAGACTCCAATGTTAACTTGGCCGTTGGAGAAGCATTGGCAAGGATCTGGAATGTCATTGTAAACAAAGACCCTCCTTCTGTGTGTTTTTCTTCTTGCCTTGAAGTAATCACAAATGGCCTTGCCCCTAGTCCATCAGGAAGAATTGAGAATCCTGAGGGCAACACAGCAAGATTACTTGAATCACATCCTGTTAGTACAGATTGAATACCAGCTAAGTCCACAGGAGCATACACCACCATTGACTCATAAGCACTTGTGCAGCTATCTTGCAATATCCATGTACTGTTTTCTTTTGATTGTATTTTCTACAAAATGAGAAAAATCAAATACTATGTTTTAAATGCATCTTGCATTCAATTCATTATTGAACCCTCATATATATATATATATATATATATATACAAGCAGACACATGACTAAACTAAAAATTATAAAAGCTAAAATAATCACCTTAATTAGAACTAGCTTTTGAGGTTAAGATAGATAAAGATTCAAGACACTTCTCTTTTCTATAATATATAGTAGATAATTAGAACAACTTACATGGATATTTACAAAATTGCCTCGGTCTTTTCCTTTAGCTAAATTTGCAATGGACTGCACTGACGCACCACTGGCCATGATATCCCACTGCGACAATGATAATTATCAACATTCAACACAATGGTCCCGCTTGCTATAATTACTCACCAAATTAGCTAAAGAGCTGTTATAGGCTATCTATAGGAGACACAAGGTGGTTGATATGAATTCACTTGTGTGAAACTCAACAGCGGTGTATCTTCCAAGATGCATCTGCCTATCGTAACATTAACAAGAGAAGGGATGGAAAATAGTTGTACCTCACTTCTACGAGCTTCATCTCTCAAGAAATCAAACAGGACATTAGGAGAGACAGGAAGCCATATAGAAGAAACTGCTGACAAGATAACCCCAAGAGGTTCACCAGGGTCATTCAAGTTCTTCCTAGAACTAATCCTTATGTCTTCTCCAGTTTTACTTGTGACCTTCGTCCATGTATGGAAGCTTGATGCACCAACTGCATGACAGAAACTGCATGCCATTCTCTGTGCCAACTTCAAAATGCTTTTCCTCCCAGCCAATGTAGCAACACCTAACATTTCATGATCAATCTGTTAAGTGGACTATAGTGAAGCTTCCAACATGTTACTTTGAATTCATTGCTCACCAGTTGAATCCTTCATGGGAACATTTGTGGCCATGTAGAAAACTAAACGTTCACATTGGAGTTGCAGTGTTGCAATCCAGTGCCTTGCACCAAAAGCTAGACCACTATTAACAATGGCTCGATACATTGTATGAACTGTGATCTTCTGGCATTCCAAGTGCTCCACCCATATCACCTAAAACCAAAAGTAATATCAATATATATATATCCCATATTTCCCACACCATGTTGAAACTTTTATTTATACCTTGCAATGGCCATTTGACTTATCCTCAATAATACAACCAGATGGGCGTTTTCTGCATTTGACAAGGGATGCGTCAATGTTGTCTTCTACTTTGTCTATGGATACATCAACAATTGCCCACTGTTCAGCACTTAACTGTTTGCAGCACCTCACAAAATACACTTCTCTACTGGGCACCATTGGAGTGAGCATTTGCAGCTCAGCAAACATCTGCAACCATTACAGCTCATGGTTACTTTAAGACTCATCATGTCATGCAAAAACAAAACATCGTGCCTTTCGTACTTTGATGAAAAAAAGTCTCATTGTCCCTATATGGGGACTTGAACAGTTTCATCCTTGTCTTGCTATCTTAAAGTATTGAATAGGGAAACAAGTAGAATGAGAAATGCTAAATCTACCAACTATTTTGGTCTATTTTACATAAAAGTGACACATGTTTTTAAATAGATAAAAAAAATTAAAATAAAATTACCTAATGTTTGTGAGAAGATATATGTATTTTTTTTTTTCTAATAAAAAGATTTATAAGAAAATTTAACTTTTTATGACCAATGTAGCTACTAGCTGGCAGGATATGCACATGAAAGGAAAATCTTTTTCTAGCAATAAAGAGAGAAGGAGATATAGCAAAAACAAAAATAGAGAGAAGGAGAGAGAAAATTCCAGCTGGATATGTTGGATCCGATATTGGGAAGTGCGAAGAAAGTGCCGAGAGTTACTGAATGATGTTTGATCTTTTCTATGTATTCTTTTAAGCTTTTTTGTGTCCTTATCAATACTTTCTGAGATACAAATAAAAGGCTACGTTTAAAGACAGAAAAAAAGCATCAGCACTAACATTTCCCAACGAAAGATTATTGCTTGGGTTATAAAATCTCAAATTCTGTTAAGCAAAGTTAAATAATCATTATCCAAATGCAACCGAAGTTTTTTATCTTGAACTTCTACAACAGTTGGTTGAAAATTACAACTGTGCGAAAGGTCACTTTAAAGAGGAAGTTCCATCATTTTCTAGAACATGCCAAGGTTTGGACCACTTGAAGAAAAAAAATCAACGTTCTAACTCTAGACCGAAATGAATGATTGAAAGATAAATGAGACATTTCTTTTGTACGTATATAGTGTGACCACCTAACATAGCTAGCGTAATCATCTTCCGCTTACCAATTGCACTGCACCATTCCTGTTAGAACCTTCTCCCCTGCATATGACATCAACAGTTGCTGCTTTTGATATTAAGCACGGAAACATTTCCTTCCATTGATTCTGCAAGAAGGATGTTAATTAAAGATATTATAATAAGAAAATAAATACATTGATTCTGACCTAGATCTTAGTTATCATATAAGAGAATAAAAATTAAGATTTAAGCCTAATCATAAACTCGTAAAATCATGTGAAACAAAGATTTAACTCAAACCCTCGTGGTAAACTATAACTATATGATACATTTTGTTATGTATATTTATTTATACACACACTTATCTTACTCTTACCACGTCTAGAAAACTTTGGACAAGCCGTGAGAGATCCACAAATACAACCCCCACCTCTCTAGAAGCTTCGATGAATGTCTTTGGCCTTTCACTGCATGAATTTTCAACTGCGAATTGCTTCACATATTCATCATAGTTAAGTATTTCACGACCTGTCTCAACGCTACGAAGCCATAATGGTTCACCCATATTTGCCATCTTTACGAGCTCCTCCGTTGCTTGGTTCACTATATCCATTATCCTTGACTTCTCAAGCCCGAAAATTCCTTTGTAAAAACACAAAGAGTTTCTATTCTCTTCCTCATTATGGCCAGCAGAACATGAAGGAGACGTTGTCCCTGGTGAACTTTTTCCTACAACTGCTCGGAGCTTCTCTACCTATATATAGATTAATGACATAATAATTTTTCAGTCAAGATTTTACACACACATATAATTTTTTTGGTAAATAATAAATTTTATAAACATTTATAACATAAATTTAATTGTAAAATTTATTAAGATAGGAAAAAATTAATTTTGATAAACTATTCTAAAAAAGTTGTTAAATGGATTAAAAAGAATGATGAGTCATGAACTAGTATCATTGATAATTTTTTCAAGAGTAATTTTTTTTTATTTCCACGTTCCTTATATTTAGAGTTGGTGTTACACATTACCTCAGCTTTGAGTTTGGCATTTTCAAAACGAAGTTGTTTCTCTTCAGTGGAGGACATGAAGCCATCTAGGCTAGCTGTTCCCATACCACAATTGGGGCAACAAGATTTGTTTATGGTCTCTCGCATGGCCTTATTTTCCTCGCGTAATTTCTCTAATTCGGTCTTCAACAATGAATTTTCATGGCGCTCTTGTATTGCCTGCAAAAGGCAATATAATATTGCATGATTTCAAAAAATAGCTTACTGCCAACAAAATGTATTTTTGTTGAGTTGAAATTGATCAAACTAATTGAGTAGCATTCTTGAGTCATAATTAAAGTAAACAAATTTAGATACCTTGATTTGGGTTCTACGATTTTGGAACCAAAACTTTACTTGCCTTGGAGCAAGGCCAAGTTGCTTGCTGAGTTGTTGTCTCTGCTTTTCATCAGGATGCGGTGATTCCTTGAAAAGCCTACCATAGTACATTCATGTCAGGTGTTAGCTTTTTTGTTGTTTTATCTTTTGGTAAGTGATTGATGTACACTTCGGTAAAAAAAATAACAATATAAGTAAAAAATGTGATATATAATATGTCATGAGATAAAAGAAGAGGAATAAATAAATAATATAAAAAAGAATTATTTATCTTTCTTAAGCATAGTGATCCAACAACAAATAGAGTTTAATAATAAACACAAACTAATGAAGTGGAAGAGGAGGCCGGGTAGCCTTACATTGGCATAAGATAACAAACAAACCTACTTCGACAAGGCAAAAACAGTTACAAATTAAAGGCAAAAGATTTTATTTAACTTATTTAAAGAAATTAATAACATATTTGATTAGGTTTTTCACACAATCTTTCAAAAGAGACAAACAGATATTTTTTCATAAATAATTGATTTCGAGCTTGTACTAAGCTTTAGGCCCTTAGCTTTAATAATCCCCCTTTTAATTTGACTATATGATATATCGATCACAAACTTTTCTCATATAATCTTGGTCAGTAGTACGGTCTACAACTACATAAACTATGTTTTAAAGTTCCCCACCAATAATGTCGGCACGCAAATTAATTACTCAACTTTGGAAGAAACCATTTCATTGGTATAATGCTACTACAAATTAGTACTAATTAGTTAACAACTAACTAATACAACACATATAAAACCATCACACACCATAAACCATGATTAATAAAAGAAAATTGCATCTTAAATATCCTTCCCTCTCTCTCTCTCTCTCTCTATATATATATATATATATATATATGTGTGTATCAAACAATAAAGATTTCTTCGAAGACACCTCAAAAAAATAAAAAGTGGAAGAAAATTATAATGCTCATCACCCTAACCCATGATTCAATTAATATCACCTTTAACTCGTACCAAATACGTAGATATATACGCAAGTGTAAGAGTTTACGTACGCTTCCATTTCTCTTATTTGTTCAGCAGTGTGTCTGTGATACTTTCTCCTCTTCTTCGGGTTCTTATCAGCATCTCCATCATCATCATCATGTTCGTGACCACCTTCACCATCGAAATCTTCATCGGACCTCGATCTCACGGGTCCTGAGTTGTCGCTACTAATCTCAACAGTGTCCTCTCGCCGGACCTCATCGCCGACCACCTCCATGCTCGACGTCTCTGGCGCCTCCGCACCATGCCGGAAAATCCCAGCCTAAGTTCAGTACCCAATCAAACAGAAGAAGAAGGCAACACAGAATTCTATCACAAAAATAAATAAAAGAAAAGTATAGGAAGCTTATTTATATATAATATAATTATGTGTATAAGAGGAGAAAAGAGTAGCAGTGAATAATTTACTAGGCTAAGAGAGAGAGCTGGAGAGGAAAACAAGTCTTTGGTGTGAGGTGGTTTGTTGTTGGACATGTCCACGCCCATTGGCCACCACGATGTTTGGTGTTGTTCTTGATGATGTTTTTTTAAGGAGCAAAAATGGTGTTTTCAGGCTGAGAATTGTTTTTTTGTTTTTTTAAGGAGCGAAAATGATGTTGCTTTTAAAGATCCTTTCTCATGTTACACGCTCTCGTTTGCCCTTTTTTTTAATAAATAAAAATACTCTTGGCAATTAATGAAAACTGAAAAAATATAATGATAAATGCCAACAATAGTAACTAAGGAAATAAAAAAACAATATTTAATTAAATAATATTTATTGCAATAACATACAAAAATATTGAATGATTATTTTTATTCATTATAATAAATTGTATTTAATATTCTTTTAAAGTGCATTTTTTTTTATTTTTATAATCAATACTTATCTACAAATTAAATTTTATACTCAAAAAGTTATATTTTATTCCTTACATGAGCACTCGGTTATGCTTTAATCCTTAGTTACATAATATTGTTAAGAAAATATTAACATTATTTAATAACAGTAACTTAATAAATAATAACTTATTTAACAATCTTAAAATATATACGTCAAGGACTCGTACAAGAGTTAAAATATATTATTTTTTGTTATTATAACAAAAAATTATATAAAACTAAATTATAAATAATTTTTAATTATAAAAATTATATACATATATATTTTTTAATTAAATTTTTATAAATATTTTAAAGTTTAAAGCACTCAATTAACATGATATATATTTACAAATTTTTTACATAAAAAAATATGCAATTCTTAAATGGGTGAAGTTTTATTAAAATTTGTTGATACTTGTGAAGAAAGTATAAACACAAATTTTCACATGCAATGTAAATTTAACACGATAAGATTTATTTTAAAAAATTTACGCAATAATGATGAATATCTTCTGGAAACTAAATTAGTTAAGTAATAAAAAATATAAAATATTTAATACAACATCTTAATTTTCGGAAAAAAGTTTTTTTTTATTAAGTGTCTGTGTACAGATATTAAAAAATATTAAATTTTCTTTATTAAATATTTTTTTAAATGTAAACATTAAATGACTTTTATGTTTCCAATCTTATTCATAAGTATCTTAAATATATTGATTAAAAAATAGGAATGTGTTTGAATGAATAATTTAAAATTTTTAATACTATAAATTTTTAGGATTGTATTTAGGTATATAAAAAAATATTAATTTTTTATTAAAAATATATTTCTTATATTAAAATTATAATAAATAATATTTTTAATAAATCTTACTATTATTAGTTTTTAAAATTTAGTTTCAATCTTTTATAATTTAATTATATTAATATTTAATAATATAAATTTAACCATAAAATTTATTTAAATAATTAAAAAATACAATAAAAAAATTAAATATTATCTAAATAAATGTTTTTTATAGAAAACTGGTAAATAGATTATTTAATGTGTTTTCTTGTATTTTTACTTTATTAAAACGTCATTAAAAAAGTTTTGAAATATTAAATAGAATATTAATATGACTTAACAAATGTTTGCTAAATAATGGAAGTAGATAACATGGTGAAAAAATATAATATGAAAAAGGGGCATTGGTTTTGTTTGGAGAGAGAAAGTAAAAAGGATGAGAAACGTAAGAGTGATGAATTTAAGAATATAAAAACAAAAGAGAGGAACTCGCTATGCATTCTTTTAATTATTTATTTTTGTTTTTGTCTTTTTTGTTGGTTAGTAATACACAGAAAAAGGCTGGTAGGATTGACGGTTAGATATGCTTCGTTACATTAATTCAATTTATGGCTTCAACGGTTTTTTTAGGGCATCTTAAAGATAGAGCTGCTTCCACTATTTTACTAATTTAGGAAAAATTTATAAATTATTTTTTGAAAATTTATAAAAAAATGTATTATAGTGAAAAAAAATTTTATTGATTGACAAATTATTTTAATATTATTTATTAATTTATAAAATATTTATAAAAAAGATAAATTTAAAATCTTTTACTTAATTTAAATTTTTTATTTAATTTATATTTAACAGTCAATAAATAATAAACCATATTTTATTAAATATATATTATAAGAGTTTTTAATTTATTTTGATATAAGAAGATTTTGTCTCTATATTTATACTAATAGTATAAAAATATATATTAAAATTATAAAATAAAAGGCTCCATTACTAAATTAGAGCAATTTTAGTTATTTATATAAAATATATGTAAAATTTGTTTACCAATTTATTATTTTTTGTTACATCTTTGCTGCACAATACCGAAATAGTAGAACATAAATTTTTTGTAAAATTTGAATAATTGGGAGATGACAGCATTGGGTGAATTTTGCATATTGGATAGGAAGATCTTGCTAGATTTGGTGCTACGTGGCCATCATGTGGAACATACGTTATAAAGTTTGACAATATTTTGTTGTATTATTTTAATATTTTTTTTCTTCATTCTTAACGTTTTAGCTCTGTATTATTTTAATTTAAAAGTTTAGTAACAAGAGAGAGAATATGATATATATATATAAATGTGTATGTTTTCACAAACCAGAGAAATTACTTTTCAAAATAAGTTGTTAAGATAAACATGATTTATTATAAAAATTATAAATTTTAATACGAAATTTATTAATTTTTATACTTAAAACAACGTTTTAGATGAGTTTTCATCTGAGTTAAAACTCCCGCCATGGTATTTAATGTATCGTGAATCATAATCAAGTTTTCCGGCAGCTTTCAGTAACAAAAGTTAATGTGAAAGACTAGTTCCTGAACTAAAGTGATAAGATATTACTTTTTTATATATAAGAATGGCTTAAATATATTATTATTTTTATAAATATAGATTGTTTTGTAATAAATTTTTATAATATTTTTTTTTGGTTAAGACGTAATTCATAAAAAGTAAAAAATTTAAATTTAATTTATGCTGTTAACTATATTTTTGTTAAGTGCTAACCTCACTAATAAAAAATTAACTAAACATTTCATGTAATAATACTGCGTCATTTTTTTTTTATTTATTTAAAATTAATATTACAAATAAACCCCTATTATATACTAGCACAAATATTTCTCAAACCTTCTTTCTTTCTTCTTTGCACCCCTCTCCTTCCGGCATCCTATCTTAACTACTAGGTCCAACTATTTGATGAAGATGCGTGTAGAAATGGAACTCAATGCTCCATAAATACAAAGAGTATAGTGACTTTGTCTTTCAAACCAAATATTTTGTGTCTGATATTTTCTAGAATACCATGGTCACACCACTGTTGCTGTTACGCGGAGCTATGTACCCATAGTTTGCTATAGGACATTATCACCATTTCTCCACTTAGCCAACAAATTAGCAAGAAGAGGACACAAAATCTCCTCCTTCCTACCCAAAAGAACTAAAGGCCAAGTTAGAACATTTGAACCTTAAATTATATGTAGTTGGGGTGGAGGTGACACAAGCCAATTGCTTGCTGCAACAACAATAACAACAACTTTCATCATCCTCAACGCTCGTCCAGCACACATTTCATTTACCTTTTCCAACCCATCCTTGACCATGCCACCCTCCTCCATTGCACACAATCTCCTCTTTAACCCGTCCTGATTCCAAATTCATCTAACCAACCTCAGAGGCTTTGGTGCTACAAAACCACTCGTCAATAATAATCGCAATGGATTCACTAACACTCCTCATAGAGCTCCTGAGCCTTGTAACGGCGGTGATGGAAGCCTCGTTGGGGACGATGCCGAGGGTGGACATGTGGTGGAAGACGCGGAAGCCATAATCAAGAGCGAAGGATTTGAGGGATGGGTCGGTGATGGAATTGGAACAGTGGTAGAGTAGGGCATTGAAGTTGTGGTGGTTGAATCGAGTGTTGTTGGAAATGACGCCGTCTTAGAGGGAAATCACGCCGCGTAGATCTTTGGCTCTGGAGCAGGAATTGAGCTCGAATTGAAACTTGTTTTTGGCGTTTTGGTTGCTTTTCTTTTTCTTCTTCGTTGGGTTTGAGTGAATTATTGTATCCTCTTCCATTCACGAGTTTCTTTCCACTGAGGGATAAGAAAATAAGAAAGAGAAAACAGAATAGGATATATTTGTAAATATAAAAAAAATAATTAAGAGTTTATTTATAAATATTAATTTTAAATAATAAAAAATTATAAAAAATATCTCACATAAAACTATAAAAAGTTAATTAGTTTAATTTTAATCTTAATTTAGGTGAGTTAGGACTAAAAAATTTTATAAATTAAAAATTTTATGGACTAAAAAATTTATTGGGTCAGGATTAAGATCAAGATTTTAAAGGTCAAAAAATTTTAATATTTATAAGTTTTCAATTCAAAAAAGTGATAAAGTAATTAATAAAAAAGAAATAAATTTGTTTTTATATATATGTAAGTTTATGTTACGAAATAAAAAAATTATTTTTATAAAAATATATAATATTCAATATTATTGATATATGTACTATATACTAATTTAATATTTACAATAAAATTTTATTTATATAAATTATGATTATATTTTTCAAAATACACGTTAAAATAGATAAAAATTAATATACATATTGCTTTTCAATTGTCATTGTACACATATGAATTAAAGTAAAAATGATATGATAGAAATTTTTTATTAAAAAAATAATATTTAATAATATTAATATTTTAAATTTAATAAAAAATTGAACGCATATAATATTTTTATGAGCCAGATGATTAAAGAAAAGGTGTATGTTATAATATGATTAAAATCTTAAATTTTATTTTATTTGATGGTTAAGACATAACAGTAATTTGATTGATAAAGTGTGGCATTGAAAGGAAAGAGATTTATTAGTATATTGATATGTTAAGACTTTGCTGAGAAGATATTTTTGCTCACACTCCTCAACAATACATTCTTGTAACATCCACATATTCTCTGTCAATTTCACATCTATATGTTAGTAACTGCCTTGTTGTCATGAAGAAGAAAACCCACCGCTCTTCAACGCCTTCATTGGCTCCACAAGTCATCCTTATTCCCTTTATATATATATATATATTATATTTCTACCTCTTTTCAATCTTCACCCTTTTTTATAAGTCAGGGTTAATTTATAGATA